ACTTTTTTTGCTCTGTCCAAAGTTTTCAAAAATGGTCTGAGAAGTTTAACAATAAATTTCATTAAGGGACAGGAAAATACAGTGTCATTTCAACTATAATTAAGGTTCGATTCTGGGCCCGAGTAAATCTGAAACAGGTATGTTGAAAATTTTCTTATATATTTTTACCCTCACACTACTCTGTGATAAGATAAAATGTTCTAGTGTTACAAACCAAAACCGGTGAATGTGTAGTTACAGGAAATTTCATTATGGTTCATAGGATATTTTCTATTATTGTATTATAACATTTTTACTTTTCATTCAATTGATTGAATTCCCGAATTGTATAAAAATTGTTATCATTTTGTCAATAGCAAATTTTAATCAAACTCTTGTTTGTGCTCCGTTTGACTGCTTCCTTCAGCTTCGACTGTTTAGTATTATATTTAATTGGCTACTTAATTGCCTATAATTTCTATTTTTTGATAAGATTCGACTATTGATTCGCAATTTCTCTTTTTTTTATGATAAATTGATGAGCTTTTTGCGAAATATCATTACTACTTATGGACGATAAGAATCGTGATGAAGTGATAATAGTAAGTACAGTTATACAAAACAATATGATGAAAAAACTTAAGATATCACTGCAACTAATCATAAATCATCTACCTGGCAAATAAGTGGTTAACTTACACTAGGAAACTATTTCGCATAGAACCATAGCTAGCACCATCTAATTTTTCAGCGACATCTTCACTTCTCCTTGCTGCGGAAACCAAACTAAAATGCTCGATATTTATATTATCTAAGCAAATGGCACTTGCCTATTCTTTCCCTTTTATTTCCCTATTATGTTCCAGAAAACTGAATTTCTTATAAATTAAATTTATCCAGGGTTATCGAATTATTTCTTATCATCACTACAGGGGAATCTTGATTAAACTGGAAATAAAAAGGTGATTAAATCATCGCATTCACCCTACGCTCATTAACTGTGAGGAAAATTATAATATCATGAATGAAATTATTTTACGAGGAAATAAGTCAATAATTAGAAAAAATAGGCTTAATGTAAACTGCTAGACCGAATTCAGACCCCATAATAGTTTTTGCCTTTGCCGTTTGGAAAAAAAAAGCGTTTAATAGCCGAAAAATATTACCTAGTTTCAAGAGTGTGCCAGGAATGAGAAAAAATAACCTCGTTGTATTGCTGAGATTGTAATCATTGTAATCGTTCGGCCAAATGCCTCCGACCGGAATAAGCCTTCCACTAAAAAACTCAAGTGGTGTTGGAGGTGCCCATATTTCTATCTGCGAAGTCTCCAGCGAAAGTAGTTGCAAAAAATTGAAAACAGAAGATCAATAGATGAGATGACAATGAGAATTATGAAAGGACATTTTGTTAGGATATAGGATATTTTTCTCCTTTTAATGCTTTTCACTTTTCGCGTAGTTTATCGTTTTGTCGCAGAAAGCTAAAGGCTTTTTTTCTTTCATTTCACTTATGATAAAAATATTCGTTTCGGCTCATTCAACAAATTGTATAAATACTATTTCTAAAATCTACAAAAGTCGATTTTGTTTTTTTTTCTTTCCAGAATGCATTTTATGTTGGACCGTCCTTTACACATTTTCTGGAAAAAAATCTTATTCATTCAAAGTTTTTTTCGATCTCGTTTGGTCATTATTCGCATATTTCTGTTTTTTTCGCTAACGCAACAACGATTTTTATTTCTTGCAAGGCAGTTATTGTAAGAAATTATTCCCATAAGCGATGGAAAAATCCAATCGTTTTATTTCAGACTATCAATTTTTGAACGATTGAATCTTGATTTATCCAAATTATATTGCTACGCAAGGTTAACGCCCAAAGTGATAACGCTAAATCATTTTATGTTGATTTCACTTCACTTTTTTTTTATCGCAAATGCGGAATTATTTAAGAAGCTTCGCAGTAAATAAATCTTTTTTATATTACCTAATACTATTCCTAATTTTTATTTTATTAACAAACGAAAACAAAATTTCCTTGTTAAATCTCAACAAAGTAATATTTTTAAATGCATTAATAATGAATAATTTTATTTTTATTTTCATTTTATTTTTCAACATTTCAGCTCAGTGGAATAAAATATTTTAAAACGAGGTAAAGAAAAAAACTAGAAAAATTTCCTAAGGCAAAGTTCTGGCGATTTTTAAAAAATTTCTAAGATTTAAGATTTCTAAGAAATTTCTAAGACATCTATAGAACAATTTCTTTTTCCCTCCTATTAAATAAACTCATGCAATTTCAAGATATGTGAAATATTGAAGAAAACATCTAAAATATATAATTCGTGAATTGGTATACATTACCCACAAATAGATTGTCGCTGTAATTTTCAAATAAATAAACTTCTAGCACCAAATTTCATTCAAATATGTATATATGTATATATAGATATATATATATATATATAACTTAATGTATATATATATAACTTAATGCTAGTGCTACATCGGGTGATGCTGGCGACTCACCTGCACTTCTATCGCCTAGAGACTCTCTGGCATATTTGTCCAGTGCGACAAGCTAGCGGAGCAAGTTTAACCAGTAATCGTGAAAACTCTTTAAAAATATATATAACTCTTTAAAAATATATATATATATATACAGTTTCATTCCATTTTAACTATAGTACTAGAAAAAAATAGAAATTCGTTTAAATATTGATTAAAATGATCATTTTTATCCAGAATATCGAGAGTAAAGCACATCTCGCAAGAAAACGACTTGATTCTTAAGGAAATCTCAGTTTCGATTGTTTTATGTTAATGCATTAAATGTTTTTAGCACAATTTTATTTCCATTTCTTGTCATGAGTAAAACAAGAAATCAAAAATAAATGAGCATCATAAGGCATCAAGCAACTCTTCTTCAGATTCTATTTTATAATCTTATATTTTGTAGTGAATCAATTCAAAAATTTTTCTAGAATCGAGGAAAACTCTGGAGCGTGATTGTTTGCTCGAATTTTTGATTCGTAGTTGTTCCGACTTCAAATATTTGCTTAAATCAGAAAAATAAATTTGCAGAATGTACATTTATATTGACTCGAAATGTCGTTAAATTCTAAAACCTGAAAATTCCTTCTGTCTTGGCAACTTCGAGATCAGACTTTTTTGGTTCTTCAAGCGAAATCTTTGGACTTAGCTCAATTGTTTTGATACTTGTGTCGGGGAAATCTTTTGTTGGCCTTGTATCATTGTCGTTGTTTTCTATATTTGCATTGTCAGCATTATTCATCATATGATTTGAATCTGTTTTATCGGATTCTTGTTTTTCTATAGGAGCTGTTCCAGGCATTTCTATTGGAAATGGGATCGCACCATGAGTTTCACTTGCTTCTTTTCTTAATGTCAATTCGCCTTCTTCTTTCAAAACTTCGAGTATGTGAGGTGAAAGAACAGTTGGATTTTCGCGTGAGGATGATCGAGAGCAAATAAGCCGGTTCGTCAATAAATAATTTTCTGCAAAAATAGTAATACGTTAACCTTCTAAATGTATTTTGTGTGATTCTTTATTGTTTCCAGGAAAAGCTGGAAATATTGTACATCTGTACTAAGCTGATTTTCTTTCGAATGAGTGGCAAAAGCTAGTTGAACAGCCAAAACGGAAATGTGTAGTTTGAAAAAGAAATAAAGGGTTTTTCAATCAGTGTTTGTAAAAAATGTGCAAGATTTTTCCTCTACAAATTGATAAAGAAATTTAAGTAAAAAATATTAAATTAGTTTATATTTAAAAAAAAAAAACAAGGCAATACTGCTTGATTCCTTGTCGGCGTTACTGCCTAGACTACTTCTTCGCCCGCTGCATTGCTTTTCGAAAAGAGGAAGACTGGTAGCACTTGGGTTCAATCGATGACGATCGAACTGATTCGGTGATAAAGACGAATGACTTATAGATCTACAATGCTTCTCATAAATAATCAGTTTGTGAAAAAAAACTGTTCATAGACGCAAAATTGAATTAAGCCACTCTATTCAATATGGAACGTGTAATTTAAAAATTTTTTAAAAATTTGGTTCACTTTTTAATTTAATATCTTTCAAAACCAAGATTTCCTGTTTTGCTTGTTACAGCTGAATTTAATTTGCTCTAAATGCAAGGAGAAAACGAACTGGAAAAAAGCCTTAAGAATGATAGCAGTAAGAACTTATCTTTTCATTACATCTGGATGTGAAATCTTTGGTTCTTGATGACCAAGACTATAATCAGTTCTTTTATGAAACCGTTATGATCTTTTTTTCAAAAATTCATTAAATTTAAAATCAAAGTGAAGCTTCAGCTTTAAGTTCAGCTTAGCTGAAATTCAAAAAATATAAGCGCTGTACATATTCCGTGTGGTTTTAACTTTCTATAATAAAATATTTCGATTTTTCTCTGAATTTTTAGTTCCACGATAATGCAGTATGAACTGCAAAATTTCAAATAAAATAATGAAAAAGCACATCGAAATTCAAAATTCTTTATGTAATTTCTTTTTCTTTTCGTTAGAAAAGAAATTTTACTTTTGATTTTAATTCCTTTTAATCTTATGAAAAAATAATCTTGGGCTTTTAATCTTGGGCTAATATTGGCTAAGATCGACGGTCTTAATTTACTGCAAAAATTATGCATACTTGAAATCTGTTTTAGATGTTCTTCTTCCCCATATTGAACTTCTTCGCCTTATTTTATCGAACGCCGATATTTCTTCCTTCTCCTCAGGTAATGGCATCATTTTTATTTCTTTTGTATCACTTATTCTTTAAAGATTTGTAAAATTTACATTCATAGAAATTTAAATTTAAGGAATCCGTAGGGAAATCGATGATATAAAAATAAGAAATTTTGGCAAGAAATCATTGGTTTAACTAAAGCTAATGGAACTTTTGAAGATAAACGACAAAAGGGAAAAAATTTGGTCACCAAATCGTATTAGAAGGTGGAAATAGAATCCAAAGTTTAAGTTAATAACAAGTTAGTCATTTTTTTAATAACCACTAAAGATGAACATTATGTTATAAGCGTACTTAATATGGGCAACAGAACCAGTTACTCCGCTAGACCTTCGCTCCATTTGCATTGACTGCTCAGAATAGAGAGGTTGAATTTCCCGGCTCCAGTATATGTCTTTTATCATTACTGGTGGCTTATTATAGCCTTCATCAACTATTGTTAAGCCGATCTGAAGAAACATTTGAATATAAAATATCCATCATCTGATATCTTAGCACTGCTATTACTAATGACTAATTTTATTACTAAAATTTACTAAACTGCTATTACGAAAATTTTTTTTAAGAATAAAAAGTTTCTTAAAGATTACCGCTAGGTTTCTATCTAGTAAGAAGTTACATTCAAAATCATCATCATCTTCACCAAATGGATTGAGCATGACTTCAGCGACTTTTAACCAGCCCATGTAAAAAACAAATTGCAACGTCGTCATAAAAGGAAAGTATAGATCCATCTGAAATTTATTTTTTTATTTTTATGAAATCTTGACTAATTTTCGACAGAACATTGAATCTAATAGCTTTTGAAATAAATTTTAATATTTAATATCTATTAATATTTAATTAACGTGCTTCTGGAAAATTTATATTTGGTTCAAACTTTAAAATCTCAATTTTAGTGAAATAATTCGATTATGATTTGTTCAAACCGCTGAGAAGTTTGTATACGTGATTTTAGTAAATAAATGCAATGAAACCAAGAAAAAATCAAGCTTAATGGAAATTATTACTGCTGTCTTATTTGGAGCATGCTCGGATATTATATGCTGCCGTGCAATACTGCACACAACAAAATAAAGGTGTACGGCTAAGACGATTAACTGTGGATACATAATCGGAAGGGGTACCCAGTCATAGTTGCATAAGATTGCCATATTCGTTCTGAATATTTTGATTTCCTATAAAATAATAATTTCGTAAAAATGAAGAAAATTTTTTGGCCTGCATGAAAACTAAATCAAGAGTATAAAAGCAAGTCAAATTTTTTTTGTAAAATTCTATTGATGTTACTGATGAAAATCTCTAATTTAGGAACCTCATACTTTCTTATAATCTTAACCAGTGTTGATGTTATGACTTCAAAGTTGGTAAAAGAGTGCAAGTAAATCACTTTTTTTTTTAAGAAAGAAAAGCCTACTTCGCCAACTTTTTCAAGTAATCTGTCGCTAGCAATCTTCTGTTGTCTCCTTGCTTCATTGCACAGTGATAGCGCCCATTGGAAAGGCATCCAGTACTTCGCATAACGGTACTGAATTTCCTCGAATTTCTGTTTTTCATGTTCCATCATGAAACCTAAAATTTTTTATTTCTAATCACCCAATTTCATTTAAAATCGTTTAGAATTTAATTATATCACCAATAAAAATATTTGTCATTATTTGCCTTTATGCTTATCTAAATACCTCCTTTTTTCGCTATTCGCAAACCATTTGATGGTTACTTACTTGGCAGTTGTGAACTACCCAAAAAAAATGAAATTTGTCTTCTTCATTTTCATCAATTGTCACAGCTTCCTAAAAATATTGTCGCTGTCCGTTCTATTTATAGAAAAATATATTAGGAAGGAACTGAAATCAATGCCTCATTGGACATTCCCATTGTATCGCTGGTAATGAGGAAGAAATTACCGCTGAACTACGATCTAATTAAGCCTAGATCTGAAGATGTGCATTTCTTATTTCATGTCGAATTTGCTTCTCGGCTCTCATAGAGAGTGACTAGTGATCTAAAATGATAAAGATATGTGAATTATATGTGAATTAATAATATATTTTAGACTTTTCAATATCACCTACTTTAAAATATAAAAAATATAGATATAGCTGCCAGGTTAAAATGTATTTTGCTGCTGCACTAAAATGGGGTGATATATGATGAGATAAGATATATTTCGACCTCTTACCGTATGTTAATATTTCATAGGTAACAGTGCAAATTTCTCATACTTCAGGCTCTGCGTTAAGTATGAGCAACAGCTGCGTTTTAATTGGTGATAATAATAGTAAACCAATAACAACGGCAAAAGATAAGTAGCATAATAGGAAACATGAATCAAAAAAGAATCCCTCAGCAAAGAATCCCTCAACCGAGTATTTTTAAATATTAGCCAAATATATTTTAAAAAATTCCTTGCAAGAAATAACATTTCCTTTGGTATGTAAAATATTAACATACGGTTAGAAAATAAAAGTTAAATTTGCTCACCGGAAGAAACTACCGCATCCAGAGAAGGAAATCTCTTACGAACACGTATATTTATATCACGAAATACTAAGGTTTGTGAGAGGACGCAATATCTTACGATATTTCTGCGCATTTTTCTTGACTTTTCATCATCACCTCGAACGTATGCAGCAACCATTAATGCAATGCTTAAATTGAACGTTTATTAAGATTGCTCATGAAGTACATCAGTTATGATGGAAAATATTTAAAGCGCTCTGGAACTTACTTCCTGCAATTATAATTACAACTAATGAAAAATTTTTAAAGTCTTTGCAAATATTTGTGAATATCCTCTTTAAATTAGATTAGTATAAATATAAAAACTTTTAAAATTTCACTTGTCTATAAAACCAATTCGATCAAAAAATACTATCCAACGATTAAGGACAGATGTCACGAAAAACCCCAACATGAAATCCATTGGTATGTAACCAAGTTTCTCGTCAAGATAATGTGCAATTCGCTCAAATATCCTGCAAAATGAAAATCTTTATTAGAAAAAATAGTTTTTTATTTTAATGAACAAATTTAAATTGTAACATATTAGTCATATTAGAATATTGATAGTTTAGGAAAATGGAAAAAATGGGAATTAGATGGGGAATCAGTACGCTAAATCACTATATAATATTATTCCTCAAAAACATGAAGAGAAAATTAATGGAAGTAGGTCCAATAATCAGTTAAGTCCTTTGTCCTAAGCAACATATAAATTAGTGCTTTTTAAAGTACCGTAGCATCTGTAAAATAAACCATGAAATTCTTACTTTTTTTGATCATCGTTCAACATAAGTCGATAAATAATTGTTATAGAAGCATAAAGAACAAGCCAAATCGTTAATTCGAATGAGACTGATTTCCAAACACTTCCTTTCCATTTAAAAAGAAGTCTAAATAGAGTCCAAGGTCGTGATGTCGACACATCAAGATTGTATTTAACAGTCATACTCGTTCGACTGTTGATAGAGCGAAATGGAAATATATAATAAACACAAGTAAGCAAGTTTTAAGTTGTAATGCACCTGTAAAGGTGGATCGAATTTACGATTTGTAGGAAAACTCACAGTTAACTATCTATTCAAAGCAGTCTTTCACTCGTCTGTAACCATTCTGCCATGGAAAAATTATTCAAATAGCGAATAATGGCAATTATTTAGAATAATGGCGAGAAAATTTTCACGATGTATACGGTAGCTTACAAGCGCAAAATCTTGTTTTAGGTGCGTTTATAAAATATAATACGGTGCAAATAATCGATGTAATCAAGATGAAGTACGATTAATCTTATGATATAAAAAAAATGTGACTTTTACGAAAAATGATGTCATTGAAGCAATTATTACTAAACTTAAACTAAAAATTCCTGCATAAAAGGATTTTATTGTTCATAAGTATACAACGTTTATAAAGGTTTTTCTATAAAAATCAACAAGAAAACATTAATTGTATAAAATATAAATGAAATAAGTGGACAAATAGAGCAAAGAAAATCCCAGCTCCCGACAAAAATTGATAATAAAAATAGTGGCAAAATCATTCCTTTCTTCCATTTATTCATTCATTCAACCATCCTCGAGAAATTTAATTTTTCGTTTTTGCACCCTTACAGCTTCGAATAATAGAAAACCGAAATAATCTGACCGGTTTGAATCGATATCGTAAAATTATCGACCAACAATATAAATTAATGTAAAAAATTTATTTTACTTTTTATTCTTAATCAATTTAATTATTATTGCAAAAAACTGCAGCAATCAAATGAAATTTTCACTGAATAATTTTAAACGATGAAAAAGATGAGTGATTTAATTTACAAATTTTGAATTTTTTGAACAAATCGGCACCTTTTTTTTACTGACTGCAAAAAGTTATATTTAACCAAATAATGCAAAGGGAAATTGATCTTTGGAACTTTATTTCTATGAAGAAAAAAATAATTCACAAAAATTCGAGAAAAACGCATGCCTAAATAGCTTTTGAAAAAATATATACTTTTATCCATTATCGCAAAATACTGCTCAGATGTTATTTCCACGTTTACAGTGTTTTTAGTTAAGAAATTTTGCCTTAGAATGTTATCGTCTTTATGGACATTGACTTAAGAAAAACAAGAAATAGGTCATTCCTGCTAATATTGTAGAATTTTATGCTATTAATTTGTTTGATTAATTAATTTGCAAAAATTTATAAAGTTTATAAAAAAATTCATTTTTTCTCAAAGAAATCACTGTTTCCTAGATAAAAATGGCAAATTTTGAGCAATTAAAGTCAACTCATAAAAAGGAAAAACTGCATCGAAATCGCAATATTTAGATAAACTTTTTCTGAAAATACATTATTACGATAATGATGGCAAAATTATGAAAATCAGAATAAAATATTACGTGAGAACTTTATTCATTGAAAAGCAAGATAAACGAGGTAATTTCGATGATATTTAGTTAGTAAATTCAAATATGTGACAAATAGAATGAATGCTTTATTTTTGGTTTATATGTTGGAGCAAAGTGAATGGATGACGACAACAAACAAAAAGATTAAATTACCGCTCTTGAATAGATAGCAAAAAGCTAACAAGATAAGAGTCAGATTGAGAGATTAAGGGATTAACAGGATTCATGAGCATTTTGAGATTTTCGACATGATAAATTTATGTTATTAAATTATTTAAGACAAGTTAAGGCTTTTTTAAGGTCTAAAATCGCAATATTTAGATAAACTTTTTGATAAATTAAATGATTAACAAGCCATTACAAGCCTATTTTCTGAAAATTTTAAAAGCTATTGATCAAAACAGAATTGTTAATCGTGATTCTTAGAATGGAAAGCTAAAAAATCGCTTTTGTAGCGTGAAGTAAATAGCTTATAAAATATTGATGATCTTACATATTGTTTTTTCAAATAAAAACTGTAATCAAGACAAAGAACATTTATGCTCTTTTTCAAGCGATAATTTGTCGAGATTATTTTGTGAATTTGTACTAGGATCAATATTATAAACAGAGCTCAACTCTCTATTTATGCTTAGTATCCGCCTTGGTTGGATATGAGCCATATCGTCAGACTTTTCTGCATTTGTTGGGATTTCTAGCTTAGAAGGCGAAAGTTCAGTGTTTTTTCGCGAGCCGTTTGATTCTTCAGTTTCTTCTTCAAGATCCTCTAATTTTTGAGAGGCTTCATTGCGCGTAGTTCCATGCTTATGGTGATGATGAAGATGATGGTGATAGTGGTCACGAGATGTACCAAATGATAATGGTGCATCCTTCATTGCGAGCGGTGATTCATCTTAATATTACGTCTGATTGTAATTATCAGTTAAAAATATTCGCAATATTTAATGAACTTAGTAAATCCAAAATCGTCACGATATCATTATATATTAAAAAAAAAAGGACACCATACCATGGAAACCGCAAGCTCGCCGTAAGTAAAAACCTCATGTAGATTTTTGATGCGACAAAACAAGGTGGTATATAACGAATCGCCTCATTTGGAGTGAGGTGGAAGCGGTAGTTTACTTACAAACTAATTCTAATGAGCATAAGAAAGAAAGTAAAATTATTTGAAGATGTTTGAAATTTTATAATCGTTAAGACTGCATTATATATGATATAGCTTACAGCATTATTAGTTATCTTGCACAGATTACATTTTTAGGCAGTAAATTTTAGGGTGTAAATGGATTGCAAATTTATCCTTCTAAGTATTGAATTTTATTGAAAAACGCACCTCCAGTTATAACTCCATAGTTGCTATATGCATTGGATTCGTTAACCATTGCATCTAGAGCACAACTCAGACTGCTTCTACAACTATCTGTCGAATCTAAGTGTTGCCTGCGATATAATCCATTTTCTAGGCCAGCTAGGCTGTTTGAGCTACGATTTTTTCGTTCTTCATCTGACATATAACTTCCAAAGCGAACATGTGAGTGGCTAATGGACCTGCAATCACGCTCTCGAAATAAATTTTGCAAACATTTAGTGAACTTGAATAATAATATCTTCTACTATTATTTGTTTGTCAAATAGACCTGAAACCATTTTAAATAAATAGAGAAAAGCCCACCTTGCGAATTTATTGCGAACATTTTTGAATACATTGGAGGAGGATATGATGCTTTCACTTCGATCACTGAAACTCTGTTCTAGATAAATTTATAGAAAAACGAAATGAGTTTTATTTACGCAATGCGACATAAGCTATATAGCTATTTCAGTGATAATCATGACCTGGATAGTACCATTAAGGTTATTTATTTCAGGTGAAATTTTAGGTGATAATAAATTTTAGGTGATAAGAAACAATTTAATAAGAAATTCCAAGGTAAAACAAACCGCATATGTCCTCTAGAACTAATCGCTCGACGAAAGGAACTTCGCAAAAAGTTTATGGAACTTGAAAGTGAAGTATGTCGTTCCGATTCTTCTGGTAGTGGTAGCATTTTCAGATGAGAATCGCCGTGTATCCTAAATTACATTTCATTCTACTCTATATATTTATTGTATACTGTTTTATATTCGCTAAGTTTCTTGAAAAGTTCACTTGATATTTGCTGTTGACCCAGTGACTCCACATGTTCTGTGTTCCTCGCGTGCTGATTCTGCGGAATAAAGGGGCTCCACTGCTTTGTCGAAGAATATATCCTTTTCGATTATCGGAGTTCTATCATAACCTTCATCAACTACCGTTAAACCGATCTAAATTCCATATATTAATATTGGTTCGCTAAACATGCAGAAATAATTGAAATGGTTCACAATGCATTCATTTCCTTGTTTTCATTTTTTTCCTTTTTTTATTTCTTATTTCCTTTTTTTTATTTGAACAGGAAAAGAATCACTACGAAGAATTCTGACCGTAAGATTTTTGTCAAGAAGGAAATTGCATTCGAAATCATCATCATCTTCCCCAAATGGATTCAACATCGCTTCTGCTACTTTCAGCCAACCCATATAAAATATGAATTGTAGGATGGTCATCACGGGAATAAATATATCCATCTTAAAAAATATCAAATGAAGCTGTCGCTAAATTTTCGCTTTGATCTGACAAGAATTGAATCTCGTAAATCAAAATTCATGAAATGTCGCTAAATTTTCGCTTTGATCTGACAAGAATTGAATCTCGTAAATCAAAATTCATGAAAGTCCCTTGTAGATATCAATAAGCATAAGAATATTTATTATATTATAACTATTAAATTTATAAGAATGAAGTAATCTTAATAGTAAAAGCATACGCGCGATTGATTAGAAGCACCTTCAGTAATGACGAATTGCCTTGACATAACACATATGAGGAAATATGTATGAACTGCAAGCACGATAAGTTGCGGATACATAATCGGTAATGGTACCCAATCATAGTTACAAAGAACTGCCAAATTCCTACGAAAGAATTTGATCTCCTATAAGAATAAAGAATTTGTAAAATTATTATTATAAAATTATTTTGTGAATTTAGACTGAAAAAAGAGATGAAAAAAAATTCCTTTCAGCGAAGTAAATCAAATTTAATTTAAGCAGCGAAGAATGCGAAAGGCAAAAGAAAAAAAAAGTTGTTTAATATTATTTCAGAAGAAAATGTTTCAAACATTTTTACATTCTTCGTTGCTTGAATTAAATTTTCGCTTTTTTTCTTTTCCATTTCATTTTTTTTCGCTAATTCGCAGTTTTTGTTCACTGTATTACTAATCTAAAAAAAAATCTACTAAAAATCTAAAAAATCAGTTTTACCTCACCAATTTTTCCCAATAAAACGTCGCTAGAAATTTTTTGCTGATTGCGTGCTTCATTACAAAGCGCTAATGCCCATTGAAAAGGTATCCAGTATTTCGCATATCTATACTGGATTTCATCAAATCGTTCCTTTTCATGCTCCATCATTATACCTTTAGAAGAAATACAAATGAAGAAAAGAAAAATTAGGTGCAATCATGGATATATTTTCCAAATCCATTTTCTAAAAAATTTGCTTGTACATCAAAAAAATGTAAAATGTAAAATAAATGAAATACTATGGGCCTTTAAAAATTATCATGAAAAAGTTATTAAACGAACATATAGCATATAATTACAATTTAGTCAGTTTATTCACATTTTTCAGCCTTATATTCAAAATTATAGAAAAATTCGTCTCATTCAAGTAATAACCTGAAGCAACTATCGCTTCTATTGTTGGAAAGCGTTTTCGTACTCGCATACTGATATCTCGAAAAACTAGTGCTTGAGACAAAACACAATATCTTATAATATTTCGTCGCATCATTCTTGTTTTTTCATCCGATCCATGAATGTAGGCAGCCACCATGAGCGCAATACTATAAAATGATTTTTGTTGCAATAAGATTGCGGAAGGAAAAATTGATTTCCCATATAATTTCCTGAATACCTATTCTGAAAATTTTTTAAAATAGCACTATTTTTCCACTTATCATATATTATTGATATATCTACTGATCTTTTTTGTAAACCAACCAAGCGACAAAAGAATTCGTTAAACCATTAAAATAACTCGGAAGCAAATACAAACTTATCGATATATCCAATGTTATTGAAAAAATTAATCCATCGGGAAAGGACAGATGTTACAAAAAAACCAAGCATAAAATTGAGAGGTATATAACCCAACTTCTCATCGCAATATCGCACAAATTGTTCGTAAATACTGGAAAATCCTTCTTTCAATTGAAAATTACTTAGTATTTTGTGGAAAATTTTTTAGCAAACAATTTGAAACAAAAAAAGTTGATAAATAGGAGAGATTAAATGAAAAGTTTCTTTTTGCTAGCATTTGAGTTTAAATGTTTTACCAGTGACTGGTTATTTTTGTTTTTATATTTTGTACCAATGACTGATAATTAAAATAGAAATAAAATAATTTTGAAAATAATTTTTATAAACTTACGCCATTTGTTCTGGACTCAGAGCTTTACGATATAAAAGGGTAAGAACAATATAGAGAACAAGCCAAACAAATAGTTCAAGTATAACCGATTTCCAAATACTTCCTCTCCAGCGAAATAATAGCTTGAAAAGAGTCCATGGTCGAGATGTTGACACATCCAGATTGTATTTCACAGTCATCCTTCAATTACGATAGAGCACAAATAAATTTAACAAGCCGCAAGATTAATTGATTGTCCAAAAGAGTTTCCGAAAAACAGTTTTAGAGCACAAAAAAAAATTGTTAGAATTCTGGTTAAAAAATGTTAAAGATATATTTGAGTCTTTAAATCGTTAAAATACTACAGCAAAATGTCATAAGACTTTTAAAATATTTTTTATTATTTTTTCAATAACAGCAGAGAAGTAAGATTAGTTGTTCCATTTGTATGATGTGAATGACAGTTACCGAATACGGAAGAAGCAAAAAAGAGACAACTTTTTAATTTAATTGCGAACTAATTCTACTGACAATAAAATTGGCAGCACCATTTTAAAGTGGTTCGAAATGAAAACTTGTCAATATGCCGATTGTCAAATGTTATAATCAACAATTTAATGAAAAAAAAATTTATCATTACACTCAAAAATTTAGGTAATGAGCTTCTCTCCGTTATCCTTATTTTAGGCAGATAAAAAGCACAAAATGGATATAAAAATATAAATGGATATAAAAGTGCAGAAAAAAATTTGCATAACCATTATAAGTAAAAGCAATGAGAATCCAGAACCAAATACAACTCTCATGATTTTACGGAAATCATTGTGCATAAATGCGTACAATACGAAAGTATTCTAAGTTAAACACTTTTTGTTTACTTTCAAATCTTACAAGCGATTGTAAGCATGACTGGGAGGAGTTTTTATGGAACTTTTCTATAGAACAAGGAGCTGACTTGTTAAGTTTATTTAATTTTCACCTATATGGTGGGCCAAACAATTCATACTTAATTTGTCAACAATTATTTAGAGATGGAATGTGGGGAAATGAGGATAAAACTATATTACTCCGATGGTATTGACTACATAACCGATGTATTAAAAGGAAGATCGGGAGCTAAAAATAAAGACTGCTGGAAAAATTTATCAGATCTAATATCACCACTGGTGACGGAAACACATCTACGTCCAAGTGAAATGATTTCATTCTAATGGCCAGCGAAGGAAACGAAGTAACCAACAATTATGTAGGAAACAAAAGTATTTAAACGATCTACCGTTTACAATTTTTTTTCTAGTTTGAAAGCCCCATGCTCATACTTTCTTCTGTTTTCGATTGACTATTCATCTGCTTTCAATAATTTATTTCTTAAGACTATTTTGGAAAGATTTTTTAAAGATTTAAAGATTTTTAAAGATTTTTTAAAATAAATTACAAAAGTCGATCCAAAATTACACTTCACTGAACATTTTCAATTTATGGAGCAATCGTAACTTTTGCTAAGGAAGCTACTATTATTAAAGTTGAACAAAACCAATCAGCCATTTTGCAGCAGTTCTAAGGTAAATGGTATACTGTTGCTTATTCAAATAGATCGTTTATTTCATTTTTCTTTCTGAAAGGTTTTGAAAGGCACTTGCTTTGATTCCGTGCGATTCGATGACAAATAGTTTTATCAATTCATAATAATTTTCGCATCCATTTTATTAAAAAATGAGAATAGCTTTTTAGAAAGAATTACGGGGGAAACGAGGAATTCATTTACCCTAGTAAAAGTGAATACATTTACCCTAGTAAAAGTGAATACATCTCGGGAAAAAATCTGTGTTAGAAATTTGTATATAAATATAAAAAAATACAAGCGAAAAATTGAGAATCGATCATTACAGATTTATCGGTTACAAATCGAAGACGCCATGATAATAAATTTAGTGGATATAAAAGTACAGAAAAACTTAATATCGACACTAAGAATTGATAATTTGATTATCAATGATATGAGACCAGTAAAATAATCAATCAATAAAAACATCGATCACTGTTGAATATAGCAATAATCCTATTTGAATATTAATATTTGTATTGAAGTACCGTGTTTCTTCTAGTCAGCAATCAATCAAGCTAGTTACTTTGAATATCTATATAATGATAATCTATAATTATCGGTAAAATTCCGGATTACATGTATAATCAACAATCATTTTCCAAGTTATTATTATCGCCAAATCAACGGTTTAATTTTTTTGAGCTATAAGCTCCAAAGGTTGCTAATGTATTTTTTTCATCTTTCATTTTAGTTCATTTTTTGGAGTAACTTATGACCACAAGAGTTATATTTTTTATTACCACGAGAGTTATATTTTTTATTAAGTGCAATATTATTACTTGAACTATAGTGGATTTCGCTGTCCGCTATATGCTAATTCCATAATAGGTGGTGAAACTTTTTCTTACATTAAGTTCAAGTTTAAATGTAAAACAAATACTTTTGGTGCAAAATCCACTATAATCACTTATCAGTTTAAGGTTGATTCGAATTGATTTGACGATACAGAAAACTGGATTAGCAATGGGAATTTTATGCTTAACACTTGTCAAATCTATTTAAAACCAAAATTTGTAGAGCAGCTATATGTATGCTAAAAACAAAAAATATCACAAATGTCAAATGTAAAAGGGGACCACAAATTTAGACCAACTTTAGAAACAAGCAACCAGATGAAATAATCTAAAGGTAGATGAAATGCTGTGAAGAAAATGACCACCCAAACTGGTTGATTCTTGAACTGCTTTCGATCAACTGCATTAAATGAATGCATTTATTTATTTTTGTTTATTTATAACAATTGATGCAGTATATTTTAGTATTAAATTAAGCAGCAAAAAATTTCTTGCAACAATATTATTATTCGTTAAACGAGTAGATTATTTCTACTTCTGAATTTCCAGAAAAAAAACTGAAAACTCTGATTTTTTCGCATTTTCCCGTTATTGAATAGCTATCCAATCTAAATGCAGATGAAACAAAAGCAAAGAATTTTATGAAAATAAGCAAAAAATTACATTAATTTTAATTTAACCGCTCGTCTTTAGAATAGTTCTATCGATTTAAACAACTTTTTTCTCCGTATTTCATTCATCGATGAAAAATAAAGGCAAAATAATGATAATTTAGAGTTGTGAAGTAAAAAAATAATTAATGTCTCAATTTCTACCCGAAGCGTATCGCTGAAAACGCTGAAATGTATTATTTATTATTGTCCAACAGATGCGATAGAATTTTTTCGTATAAAAGATTGCACTGTAACAAATAGCATTTGCATAAAATTTGCTGGAATAAATTGCGAATCAACATTTACTGGATTTTCGGATTCTGCGAAGTTATGTTGTAAAGAATTTTCCAAATAGGAACTTATTTTTTGCATTAATTAAAATACACTAAATTTTTTTCTCTGCATTATGGCATCTATATAAATATATATATTTAAATATATATGATTCATTCCTAGTTTGACTGGCCTCATTAACCACTGGGAAAAGATCGTTTCGCTGTAGATAGAAGTATATTCTTTTCTTTTCTCACTCTCCGCGGATTGTGAGGGTCATCCTCAATCTCAGATTCTCTATCAGAAGCCTAGGAGTGTGACGATCGGCAGTATCTTAGTTGACACTTGGCTGATAGCTAATTCTAGTGTTGCCTCTTCTGAAATTTGTGATATCGTTCCCGGGAAGAAGCTACCTTTTCAGTTTAGCCCTTAGTGCCTCTACCACTGTTCCGATCATTTTGGTCTTCTTTTTCCACATCTTCCACAATTCTTCTTTCAGCTCTGGTATTTCTCTAGCTTCTGCTTATTTCCTTCTGCTTGATATTCCAGTCACGTGGTATTGGTATATCTATCACCAGTGCTATTTTCTGGTTTTTATCTACTACCACAATATCTGGTTGATAGTAAAAAAGCATTTGCTTACTTGCTATTCACGATTTTCTGAAAATTTTCTCATCTGGTTTGAGAAGAGTCTAAACCATAAATAGATAAATTCCTACAAATCATGCCAGCCTCTTTATTATGCCTTTCAGTGTATGCTGTTATTGCTTGCATCTTACATCCTTACACTGGACATGTTGGGCAGTTCCTGTGACTTTTTTTGCACAATATGTACCTTGAGTCCTGTCTGATGTGGTAGATCTCTGTTTTTGGTGCTCATTTCTTATGCTTGTGAACACTGTCTCTGTGTTATTTTTTGGTCTAGTTTTTTCCAATCACTGGTGGGATTTATAAATATCAAATCAAATTTATAAATATTAACGACCTCAGTCATATATGCTTCTGCCATATATTCTCTGCCATATATGCTTCCAGTATTTTTCATTTTCTATAGTTCGTGGCTGTGCTATTACTATTTTGTTGTACTACAGTTGGAAGTGTATCCCGGATAGTTCTTTAGAGAACAGAACATTTATCTTTTTTGGTCACCGTTTCTCCAATGCATCTGCGATAATTTTACTCTCCAGCACTATTTTTCCAGGTATTACTATTCTTCTTAGTTCTGTAGCGAAACATCTCGAGAATTATAGCTGCTGTAGCACATACCAATTCATTGGTAGTAGCAATCATCGAACTCTATTATCGCTATAGTGGTAATGATAACGCTGAGGATGCATTTCCATTAGGAATAACTACAGATAGCTTGATTACAGATAAATTCTTTATGATTTTTGCCTCTAGCCTTTTAATAAAGATATTGGAAAAGAATTACCAAGTTTCCAGTTTATTTAAACATTTCTTATATTTTTTTCGAATTATTTTGATGCTAGGATATAGTGCAAAGTTGGTAAAATTGAGAAGAAATTTCCTTTTTTTCCTTTTTTCCTATGTTGAAGCAATGAGCAACTAGGTTTCACAGTTAATTTGGATGCAGAAGCATGTTGGAGTAACATTTATGCATGACTTCTAATTTCCATTAATTGGTTTTGTTCTATATCTCTTTCTTCTTTACTATTTTTTAGTGTTGTTTATCGAATCCAGAATAACTTTACTATCATCGGCAGATTGTGGTATATCTTGCAGTTCTGCTTGATTAGCAATAAAGGAAACGTCTGCAACTAATCAAAACGGTTTGAAGCTCTAGAAACGTCTTCTAGTTACTGGGTCGATGGGAACTAATTTTGATTTGGCCATCAGGAATTTGCACTCCTTATTCACTTTATTCATTATAGGTTACTGCATAAGCAGTGCAGTGCAAACTGTTGACGCTTCAGCGAAATGTAATTTTATCTGATAGTTCTATTCTACTAATTTCCTCAACATTTAGTTTTATCGATACTGGCTGTCATCCTTTTAGCACATTTTCGCGTTCACTTATTCTCATTTCTTTCAGCTTTTGTTCCCGTGAGAAATGAGCTACAGTGTGTTTGTAAAAATACTTTCACGTGAGGTGTAAAAAATGTAAAAGTGAAAAAAAAAGTGAAAGGTTATGAATTGGTGTACAAGCTACAACAATTTTCTTTTTGTATTAAGCAGTTCTGTAGGTTTGAGCCATGCCAGTTATCGTTTTTATAATTATAATTGATGCCCAAGGCTTTCATCTAATCGTTGCCTGAATTATCCATCAATACTGGATTAGTGTGGTAAAGCACACTTTGCCATCTTTTGATAAAAACTTCCTCAAGTTCAGTTGGGTTTCCTTGAACAACATATTCAGTCCAGAAAAAGCCAAAAACCTTCCCCACGTAAAAAAATATTTAGTATGTTTTTCCAAAGCGTTTCGTAATGGCATCCTTTAAGTAAAGAAATTGCGTTTCATCGTCATTTATTGCCATGTGTTTGTTGCCACTTGTCTTTTTCTACATCTGCCATAAATATTAGACTTCCCTAGTTGAGCCTTAATAATACCCTAGCTGTGGTATAAAGATTTTATGGAATTGATAATTTAATGCCCCTTTTTACTAGATGCTAATGCATTGAAAACAACTCTCAAAGTAGCATACAGTTTATCTGGAGTGATGATTGGAAGATGTGCGGCATAATAAATTAAATATGTTATTACTTCAGGAGTAGCTAGTTGAATAATGTTCTCTAATTGTTCCTTAAACCCTTGATCATATTGGTCCTTTAATCGATTAGCATTTTTCCACAGGCTAATCCAAAATTTAATTCCAATGAGAGTTTTGGTTCTTTCAAGGCCAGCATATCGGTCTTCATATTTTCTGACTGATTTCAGAAACTGGCCACAGTCTTCCTCATCATCGACCGAGTCAATGGGGTCTCCAATTTCAATCGTCTCTAAGTACCGAAAAACATCTTGCTCAAACATCTATAAAAGTTAACAAGCTGTGATTTGTGTTATGCTTCAGTGGAAATTCGCTCCTGTAAATTTTTAGAATTTCGCCAAGTCATGTAGAGACCATGTAGTGTGCCGATCCTAGACTTTTAGCCCTTTTGCATGAATGGATGAGAGCGAAGTAAATAGACTTTATCAATAAGAGTTTAAATCACCATCTGCACCTGTTTTTACATTCATTTATTTCGACATACTTGATTTATAATGTTAACTGCCTCAGTATTTACTACTTTATGGCACATCGTTCTATTTTCTATTGTTCAAAATAAGCCACCTATAGTCATGTTTTTGTGAAGTTGACGCTAAGCTCGACTTCGCATTTATTTAATGCCCTAGGGCTTCAAGCTATAATTTCATTAAAACAGTAACGAACTACTTCCCAGTATCAAGTACCATCAACAGGCGTACTTTTCTTTCTGGGAACGAAGAAAAAATAATTTATTACTCCTTGATTTCCAATTTGCGGTGATTAAGCTTGTCTTAGATCTGGTTGATGTCGTCGTTCCTCCCTTTCCTATTGGCTGATACTTCTATAAATTTCCCACTGGATTTTCCTTTTCGAGAATGGAATCATTTCCCGAGTGATGTGCCTTGGCGTCTAATTCTAAGGTAGCTGCTTATTGAATAAGTCAAACATACCTCCCATGCATGTTTCTTCATCATTGCCTCGTATTTCTCAGTGTCTCAGTATCTACTTCATTTAGATTTAGGAGAAATATTATAGGAGATTGTTTTCTACTCTCGTAATCCATCTTCGATGATTTGGGTTAGTCGAGCCAAATCCATTCTGAAGTTTGACGTCGTTCTATATCATACAGCATCGCAACGAGGCCAGACTGAGATAAATTCCCTAAATCTAAATGAAGTAAATACTGAGACACTTAGAAATACGAGGCAATGATGAAGAAACATGCATGAGAGATGCATGAGACTAAGTTGGAGAGGGTTTTAAAATCATCCATTTCATTTAAATACTCCAGTAATTTAGGAGTCAGTTCTCAGCCTCATGGGGAATGCCATTTATTTTAAAGTAATTCTGTGGTACAAGTTAATAATTTGATATTTTGTTTTTACTATTATGCATGTTTGCTTTCAACTTTTAGAGGACTGTTCCCACGATCAGTTTGGAGCGCCCATGCTGAGGTTCTATTCCTCGTAGGGATAAACTTGTTGGAAAATTCGAGTGACGATGGTGACTCACATCTATTTCTATGGACTCTATCAATGGACTCCTTGGAATAATCGTCAATATATGATTAAATGAATATTGATTAGAACAATTATTTAATAGTTAAAAGGATCAAGTACTATGCAAATTAATGATGATTAAAGAATGTGAACGATTATTATATGAAATTGAATCGCATAATATGATAAACTGATAATATTGCTATTGTTTAAGATCACAAGTAGCTTTCCTGTAGTTGTAGTTCCTTAACTTTATTCACAATTTCTGAACATTTATTTCGTTCAAATCAGTCCATTCTTCCACTCAAAAATCCACGCCCAATATGTTAAGCTCAACAAATTCTACAAATGATTATGTTACTCTTCTCGCGTCAACATATGCGAAAATCAGCCAAATCAATTCAGCGAACAGTAATATAGTTCAGTTGTGATGCCAGTAGGTTGATTTCCGCAAAACTCGATGAATTGCCATGCAAATTTTCTTTTTTCAATTAAATTTATGTCGTTCTGGCTTTCTAACTACTGTGAAAGCTGCATATGAACGACAGAATTGTGTAATTAAACCTTTTATTTTAAAAAATCGACAAAGTAAATTTAAAGGAACCAAAACTTACATGTGATGAGCTATAAAATTATTTTATCGATTATTAAATAAAAAGTGAAAAAAATAGAATAATATAAGAAAAAATTATTTATTAAATTTGACCGCAAAGAATCCCATAGCTTGCATATTAATCACAATTCGTTTGGCTGATAGGTATGTGCGAAAAAACTCACCTCAGCAATCATATGGACTTGCATGTGAGCAGTGCTATTTTTTAATCCTATAAAAAATTGGAAAATGATAATAATAATGGTTTAACTGAGAAAAAGTCAACTTTACTCATTAAACAATACTCATTACTCACTGAACAAATTAATAATTTTCTTTGGCAAAATTCGTAAAGCCACGAAATTAAAAACTATTATGATCACATTTCGCTACAAATATAATACTATTTATTTGATAATTTTTTTTGTAATTATAATTTTGCCTCAAGATTATTAAGAATGAGGTGATGTAAAGTATTTCTCTTACCCGATTTGCGATGCCTAAATTAATAACTCTATACTCTTAAGCCCAAAGTAGAAGACGAGCGCATTACAGTTTGATAAGAAAGTTTTCACTTCTACTTTTTTTCCTATTTTTAAATGACTAAAATAAAATTCAATACTTTTGAGGATTTCTTTGCTATGACTCTACAAAGAAGGTCGAAATCAGTTTCGTCCACAATTTATTATGCCATGATCCGAACTACGTTTTATTATATTGCTATTTGAAGAGTTGTGGAAGATCGGATCCTTCTCAATCTATAAGCAATAAGCCATTTTGGAATGGAAAGGATGATTTCTGCAATGCAATCAGTTGGCAATTTTATTAAGAGCATTATAAAGTAGAGGCAGGTTATCTGATTTATCATGACAGCAGCAAATTTTATAGCCTTCAGCATAGAAATAAATGATAAAAAACAATTTCAGCGATATCAGTAGCAATAAAAGAAGTCTGATACAGCTATAAGAAAATAATAGCTTGAAATGCTTACCTTTCGATTAAATTTCGATATTATTTCTTATGTATAGTGGAGTGCTTTATCCAAATGATACGAGTTAGAATCGAAACCATCATAACTAAGCAATAATAGCGAACCAAGAACCAACTCAAACAATATATATCCAAAAAAACACTATTAAAGTAAAGGGCATATAAGGGTTGGAAGTAAAAATATGGGAAGGCATATATATATGTATGCAACAGAATAAAAAGTGTAGGCGACAGATGTAGCGGACGATAATAGTAGTCGAACGACAGTATAAGAGATAAAAATAATTGATAAGCCTGAGGGAGAAAACATGTACGTGGCTTGATTGAAATTTAACAACAAATTAGATTATATTTGGAGATAAGAAATTAATAGAATTTTTATGAATGTTTTCATAAAAATTTCTAAAATACTTCGAATAGCAACTAACGGTGTCCCGAGAATATTTTCTATAACATTTCTTTTGAGGTGCGCTTGGTTTAACCTGAGATCGAGTCTGAAAGAGAGTCACTGACATATATAACTTTGTACCGGTCTTTTAAGAAGCGATCCAATAAGCTTGCTATGGTGCCATATCTATTAATGAAGATTAACAACTGAATATAGAGAATTGCATCAAATAATTGGCCAGATCTAGGAAAAGACATTCAAAAAGATCAGCCACTTTTTTTCTCTAAGAGCACTCATCATCTTTAGGCGCATTTCACTGGCTTGTCGCACTAAAAAAATTTTGGCGATAGAACACAAGGTAATTTTCACTGTTTGAAATGTAAGCTGTTGTTGCCAGGAGTAGAGTCCCAGATTGGTGATGAAATAAGAACAAAAACTCATTTAGTTGTTTTATTTAAATAATAGATTTTTTCGTATCATGGTGATAAGAGAATATTAAGTCGTTGTTGATCTTATCGCGAATCAGTCTCTCAATCACTATGATAAAAACGCAGCTAATATGTAATTTTAATGGTCACAGATATTTCCTTTCTTATGAATGGGAGTTATTTGTGACAATGACCAGATTCTTGTAGTTCGGTTCTATTTCATCCCCTTGTGATCTTTATGTATAATGAAGCTGTCAAGCCTCTAACAAAGAGCTCGAGGTTTAGAAACGTCTATGCCATTCACAGGAAATTTTTTTACAAGTAGTGACCAGTACATTAGTTCATTATGATTCTTACGGACTGATAGCTGTTGAACTCTTTTATCCTTGAAGACTCCTTTATCATCTTAAAAATCATTGAGGACCATCTAAGTGCGCTTACTTTTATATCTGCAATATTCACAATAGAAATTAAAAACTAACATTGAGAGATTTTTATGATATTATTTATTGTTTAAAGTTTTTTTTACTCAAAATTCCTTTCATCAAATCTACACAGTTTGCTAAGACTTAGGCTAAGAGTAAGTTCGTTACCTCAGAAATAGCGTCATAATACTATTCGGAGGATGGTTTTTGCTTGGAAGGTTCATGAAAAGGTCTTCCATATCTTTGACGATTAGTAGTCTATAATTAAAATATTTCTATTAAGTTGGAAATATCTTTTTTCTAATCTTTCTAATCTTTATTTGCTCTTTATCCTATATCTGTGAATATAATCTCTGAATCTGGGTCATGAAGGGCAGAAGAACAGACAGAAGGGCATTTGAAGAGTTCAATATTATATGATTCACAGATTTGCCTTTATCAATATAGCTTGTCTCCAAAATTTCTTTAATACCCAGGATGTTGGATGCAGACTCTGTTTCATCCCTTCCTCTCAGTGATCGTATTCTTTTAGGAATTACATTGAGAAATTTAGTTGGTATGTTATCTAGGTATAATTAAACTATTGAATTTAGATATTAAGAATTTGCTGTGCTGTTCAGTTTAGAATTAAAAATCTAAGCTGCTGTCTCTATTCTTTCAATGCCAGTTTCTTTTTGAAAGTCTACAAAGTTATTGATGGGTAGCATCTTTTTAGAAGCACCATCTGGTAGTGCTATAGGTCAGTTGAACCATTTCCTATGGAACCCAGCTTGCCTTTTTTTCTCGAGATATATTCTAGAGCGAATTTAGACGACTTCTATAGACAAGCCTTTTATTGAGACCATTCGTTTATCGACCATTCTAAAGTTGCTACTCTGGCCTAAAAGATCTTCCAGATTTCATCTTTTCGTCTAGCTGGAAACTAAAGATTAAAACTTCGAAATTCAATCATGATCCTTACTGAAAAATATACATTTTTGAAACATTATTAGTTTTTCCCCATCCAATTCCCGATATCAAAAAACGTAATTCTTGAAATCTGTATCACTGAATTAAACCGAAATTATTTTCTTGGTATAGCTTTTCAAAGAAATTTAAGAATATATGGTGAACTCGCGGTGCAGAACCATAAACAAAATAAGAAAGAACTATGATTCTTGAAAGGATTATAAAAGAAGAAAAGTTTACTGCACAATATTTTTTGATTGCAATTCGACTTGTTGATAGATTATAAAGTAAGAGTTTTTTTCAGGAAAATGAAAAATGATTTCACTCAGTGATTTGGAACGAATTTGATCCAGGAAACTTTCATTGATTCGTTCATATTGTTAAACAATTTGATAGTCGATTTTATTTGACCACCTGTGTTATGTCATTGATTTCCCTCTAATTTAGTACTGATTACTATGTTAGATGAATCTTCAGCTCGTTTTTGACAATTTATTATAATTTTATGTGATATGCATAAATTTGTACAATGCCTTTTACAATCCATAAATATTTTTATGCTGTGCCAACCATTGACTGAATTTCGCAAAACTAACCAACCACCAAAGTTTGTGCTTGTATTGGGTCAGTAAATTTACAATATAACAAATTTTAATAAATTCCCGTCTTACCCGTGTGATGGAATATATTGGTCAAGTTACGCTTTAAACTAGGTTAATTGACCAACTGACTTCTTTGCAAAAACCTGTCTTTCAGGTCCAATTACTTCATTTGCGTTTTTTCTTGCCAATTTATGCTAAAAATTTGATTAAAAAAAAATTTTCATAAAAATTTGTAGAATTTGGATATCACTGCCTCTTAAATTTAAGGAATAAAGAAATCATTTGTTAGTGGTATTTCTCACTATTTTGTGCATTTTTAACCCTACATATCTAATACACTTTTCGATTTTTCAAACAAATTCAGAAATATGCAGCCAATTCTTACTTCTTTTAATTATCTAGTGTCTTTTTACTTGCTTTTTTGCCAAAATGATAAGTAGTTCCGTGAAAAAATTTCTGTCTTTGTTCTGCCTCATAAATTGCACTACAAGAACTTTGAGATTAACTATTTGTAAGAATTTTTGAAGTTGAATATATTCTTACATTTTCAGATGTCACTTTATGATCAGGTGAGGCAGGGATTTGCTAAAGTGATCCAAATAGCCTCTGATAATACCATATATGATTCCTTTCCAGAATGCTCTTTCTTGTCTACAACCAATGTGATTTCCATAAAACCAGCGAACCAGGAACAAATGTTAGCTTTTATTTTGCATATTTTAACTTAAAATGTTTAAATATTTTTTCGATGTAGAAACGGAATGAATTATATACAAATCATTTACTTACAGGCATATCTGTATCTATTCAAGTAATCGTACCTATTCTGATCATATTAGTCGAGTAAGTGGTATGAATAAATGGTGTAAAAGTGGTGTAATATTATTAAATTAAGCAAATAACACCATTTCTGATTGGGTTTACTCTACTGGCTGTTACCAGTGAAAAATTTCAGGTAGGGAATAACTTTAGAGAAAAGAAGAGAACAGAAACACAGATGCACCATCTTGACATTTTCATATCAACTTTTAAAAATGAATTTGTTTTGGAGTTGCCTTCTAGCATCTGGAGCGGAGTTCTATAATTGAAATGACGATCTATCTAGCTTACTTCCGACAGTATTAACCTTTGTGGCAATAACTGGTGACATTAGAAGTTAAAATATTCCTAAAGTTGCAATTTATAGAATAGGAACATTTCTAGTCAAACAATGCAATTTTTTATTCATTTCTTAACTGAATATATTTCTTTTAATCATTTTTTAAAAAAATCGTTATTGCAGCGATATTTTTTGCCGCAAATTAGGATTTCATGGTGTTGAAGAATTCAATATAAAGTTTCATTTACGGGATGAAACAGGGCGGAAAAGAATCGTTATAGAAGCTGACCTCGTTTCAGGTATTTTCCTGAAATTTTTTGCTGAAGAAAGCCACAGTCAACCAAACAATCATAGAATAAGCACTCAGTTCTTCATTTTACTATGGTTTATTAAAATAACCCTTAATAAATGGAAGCATGTTTGCCCTACTCCGATTTCTCTTTGGCATAAAGCAACCATATAAAAAATAAATTAGCCATATTTAGCGAGAAATATTAGCACTGCAAGGAAAATAAGCTCAAAACGCTATAAAGCAATCCCTAAATTCATTTTTTCATTCAGTTCATCCCACTCAAATATTCTTTTTTTTCGGTCGTGGATTCGTAATCAATAAAACTGATGGCAGTCACATAATGGAAATAAAACTTCCAAAAAATTCACCTGATACAATTGGCAAAATCGTGCATCCGTCACAGGCAACATTATACAAGGTCTATAGCCCAATTAGCTCATTTCTTTTTTTTGGAACCAGTCACATATTTTAAAATAAATTTCTTAAATTGAATTTGACTGATCTCACATTAATTTGTAAGAAATTGAGAATAGTTTTGGCGACTGAGAATCAACAAATTGAAATCACTAGGCAAGAAAGATAATGGAAAAAGAATAAAAACTTTGTAAAAGATGAAAAAACTAAAAATCTATATTCTTAATTTTGTATCGATGAACTGAGGTTGCAGCTTTAGATATTGCGTGAATAATTCTGCTAAGCTTGCTTCTAAAAATGGAGATAGGCTGTACAAAAATAGCAGTAATCAGTAGGTAAGCTGTTCCAATTCTTAATATTTCTAGTGAAGAAAATTTATGGTGCTGAGGCTGCAAATAGGCTTATGCAAAGTCAGTGCATTACTTTTAGTAGCATCAACATTTAAGCAATAATTGTAGCATTCATTTATTATAACCAAGTCACATAAGCATTAACTAGATCTTTCCTAAATCCTTTATAATCAATTGAAGAATCAAGGTTTGAGCAAAGAAAAAAGCATTTCTTTATAACCTCAATTGATTTAACTTACTGAATATATCTAAAAATCATTATACCTTAGAAATTGGCAAACGAATAGAACATCTTCATAAGGTATCTGTTTTCATTTTTAAAGGCTGAGCATAAAGTTTGCTAGAATAAATGTAAGCATTGTCTCCAGATGATGGCTGTTTGCAATAATGCAGACTTGAGGATGAATTATTGTCGACATTCCGATAAGCCTAAGCATTATAAGATGAAATATTTGATATGCCAGCTTGTGTTTAGACATGTAAAAAAAATTTAGTAAACCCAGAAAGAAATGAGTTGAATCAACTGGAAACTGTAAACATTCCTTCTGTTTTAAAATATAAATTTTCCAATCAATCAATGAATTTATTTCCAGATTTTCAAGAAAAATGATGGAGATTCACCTGTTAGTTATGAAGTGCGCAAAATTGATGACAATAAACCTTCAATAATCATTGAAAAGGTACCACTGAAGCAAGCTTGTAATATTAAATCTTTGTTAATCTTTGATTAATTTCAAGGAAAGCTAAATTGATCTAGTAGCGATGATAGAAATATGACTAGACTGTTGTTAATGAGAAATCATTTAAAAATCTTACATTGAGTTAAGCCACGAAGAAAAAAGCTTGTGATCAATGCTTTCTTTCGTTTATTTGGACTCAAACCATTGTTAATTATGCTAGTCCCGAGAGTTAGGCGCTTAGAATCGCAGATAGCAAAGATATTGCCTCGTCACAAAAACTTAGCTAACATCGAATTTATGACATGCTGATAGGCTCCAATTTATTTTAGGCTTCTGTATCAATTTATTCGATAGCAAAAATGATAGGAATCTTAGATGCAGAATCAGTGTACCAGTTCCGTTCATCTAATAGAATTATTATTGGTCATCTTCGACCTAAACTCTCCTTTTCTGGCAAGACCATGATCATTAAATTTGCGTAAGTTATAATTTAATAAGCAATTAGCGCAAATTTTTAAGTTCAAGAATTACCGCATCAAAGAATATTAATTTTAAACTTTTCGAAATCGAAAAGTATGAAGATTTGTACAAAAAAAATTTGGTTAAGAAATTGGTGCAAATGGCACCAGAAATATTTGATTAAAAGGGAGACTCATTACAAGGAACAAATTTTCAAATATTATAATATTATATTATAATTTCAAATATTTTCAGAAGAACTCAGCCTGATCCGCAACTAAGGGCAGCAGTAATTGGTGCCTCGCTGCTGCTTACTCTTATTGATGTGCATCCAATTTTAAAACAAGCTTGGGAAAAAACAATCGAACTTGCTCGATTTGATTTTTAGGTGAAACGATGCATAAGCAGTTAGCATAAGTTATTTGTATTTTTGACGGAGCAAGCTGTTCTTATTTTATATTTTCACTCATCGTCGTGTTTGTTTGTTATATCATGAATCATTAACACTAAATAAGATTAATTAAAATTCACAAAAGTAATAAATATACTTCCATCGAATGGAATTACCAAATTATTACCTATTAATTATTAAGCAATCTGCGAAAAACTTCTTTATTTCTTTATTAAAGGTGATTAATGAGATCAAAATTTATTTGAAGACAATAATTCGTTAAATAATGCTAAAATTTTGCCAAACATCGAAAACACATTTGAATTTCTGATGAACATCAGCTAACAAACATTGCAGAAACCCATAAACCATAGGGAAAAATTAGAGCTGTCTGATCGGTTCGATCTTCTTCTTCAAGAATATAAGTTGCATTGAACTTAACTCTGATGTTTTTTAATCAAAAGCCTATTGCTGTGGAAATACTTCGCAAATACAAATCGATCATGAAGAAAAATTAAACTTTTCTTCGTGTCATGCGCGTCTAATGAAATACTAGACCTCAGTATTCATTTTTTATAGTTTTCTACAAGTCCTTAAAATTTAAATAATTCAAACTTCCCATATTACATCTCCCTCGACAGTGCATTATTATACTCGCTTATGATCAATTTCTGTTTTTAAGCGTGTGGCGCTATTGGCTAGCCAAGCCTTTTGATATAATGCCATAACATATCTTAAAGTAATTGAAGCCACTTCATTCCTTTTATACTGATGTTTCGGATTTTCTAAAAGGCCAAATGAAAGAAACAACCATTAGTTGCAACTATTTGGGTTGCAATTTCGTCTATCGCTTGACTATTAGTATAGGAGTGGACATAAGATATTTAAAATTGCACTTTTTCCACCGATACGAATTTTAATAATTTTAACAGCGTCTGTTATACAAGACAGAAAGAATTGCATCCTATTTACATTAATATGGGACGAGGCTTTGCATCTTAATTTCAGTTTTTCATAAATGGAGCTTCTCGATATATTTCGGACCAAATAGAACCAATGATCATTCTCTTAGAAATTGTTAATTGGAAACTGTTACTTAGCAATGATGCCGACTCTTGTTTCGAAAGCCTGCATCAGATTTTTGCGCAGACGAAAATGAGTTAATGCAAGCCAGTAAAATATTCTTAATAAGTTGGATAATGTTCTTTGAAACATAGAAATTCGCTTAATATATGAAATGCACGCTTGCGCCTATTCGTTAGAAATGAAGTTATGGTCAAGAAACAAGTTGAAACAATTCTAACAGTTTTCTGACTTTTGTTCTGACCTCCCACGCGCTTTCACTTATATTTATTCTATAATGACCAATTCTTTATAAAAGTTTTCATTCACAATCACCATGTCGTTATATCAATGAAGAAAATAAACAGAAAAGCCTTTTCTACTGTATCATTTGTTCCGAGATTCACAACAGCTGAAATATGAATTAATGTGATTGAATACCACAGAACTTTTTTTTAGCACTTTTCGGCTACCATGTCCATCGCTATTCTCTCTCATTGGTGAGAAATTATTAAGGCTCAAAGGAGAGGATGCAGAACTGAAAGTAGATTATAAGACCGCAGACTTATAAAGAAACTATTGTATTCAAATTAATAAAGAAATATACAAAGATAGCGAAAACCTTTTAATGATCGCATATACCACTTGTGATGAAATATAAAAATGATGGGAGAGGATTTAATTTACCGTTACGAACCATTAGAGATAAAAAAGAGCATACAAAGAAACAGCTTCTCGCCCACATAATCGGAAAATATTGGTTTGAACAACACAACTTAAAATCCATTTTTTGCATATATATTTTCAAATTTATAAAGCTTTCACTTATAAGTAATTTCTTGGACAATGATTGTTAGTGGATATGAAAAAGCTTTAACCATGTATTATTCCCCTTAACTCATTGTCCACAATATGAACCACCACAGAAACGGCCTGACCGATCAACCATCGCATCAATAAGGTTGTTGATGAAATCAAAACCAGTCTTCAACTGGGTCGGAGCAGTGCCGGTTGTATCGGCTACGATCTAAAAATAACAGATTGAAATAAATTTATTCCGCAAACATACAAGAAAAAAGTTTGATCCGTCTGATCTTCTTCAAAATTCCATTGACAAAAAGTTAGACTAATATAATTCGTTTATTTTTTAGCATAAAAAATTTTGAATCGTTTATTTAAACTTGAATCTGATATCTAATTTTTCAAATTATTCTCTTTTACCATCAACCTATAAAAAATTTTAAAAAATAATGGAATTGTAAGAATTTGTTACTTTTCTACATCCAACGTTCAAAAGTGAATCGAGTCCAATCGTTTGACCATGCGGCTTATTAGAAATGCATCGGCTCAATGCTGAATCTACTACTTCAACCCAATCATTTACTTCAGTTATCCTGAAAATTGTGCACAATTCTATTATTTGAAGAAAGAACAATGAAGAACAATGCTAGAAGCAATTTTCTATAGCTTTATAAATTCTTTTTCTTTTTACAGCTCTCAGCATTACCGGTTAGGTTAGGCTAGCTCCAACGGCTACAAGGATAAGACATTTCCAAGCTGCGCGATCTGATGCCATCGTCGACAGCAATAGCCACTTTTTTTTCCATTGTCTAAGTCGATATAATGTTGGTCCACCTATACGTTCAAAATCTTTTCTGACCATATCAGTCCAGGTCTTAATTGACCCACCTCGTTTTTGACGCCACCCATCACACGGTTTAGCAAGTAACGAAATATGTATCAATTCCTGTGATAGACGACGAGGAAAGTTCTCTAGCCAGCCAAGGAGACGTTCTGTGATAGTATTATTAACGCAAGTGGTATTTTAACGAAGGTGGATGCAATCATGTGATATTTTATCCGCTCGGCGGACTCGTAAAATATATCTTAGACAAGGGTGGCCAAAGGCAGACATCTTCTTAATATCGTCCACCCTCACTGGCCATGTCTCAGAGCCATATAGCATGATCGAATGAATCACGGCTATATGGAAACAGATTTTAGTTTTTATGGTGATGATGATTTCGCAACGGCTCGGTAAAGACTTCGTCAACCGGAAGAATGCAATTTTTCCAATTTTTAGCTACTATTATCCGGATTATAATTTCATCTTTTGCCTGACCATTCGGCATTAGAATGGATCCAAGGCATTTAAAGTCGGGCACTTCCTCAGCCGGCAATGAATTTATAAAAGGGGCATTTTATCAGCTTCTTGTATGTAAGAAGAAAAGGCTTTCGTTTTATTTATATTGACCCTGAATCCGGTTCTCGCTGCAGTTGCTGACACATCGTTTAGCATTGTTTGCGTTTCGTCATAATTGCCAGCAAAAAGGACTAAATCGTCAGCGTATTCAAGATCTGTTATACGATGCTCTAGACTGATTTGGACACCACTTGAGTGCCGACAAGCGGTGTCCATTATTTAGTCTATGGCATAGTTGAATACTGTAGGAAAAATGACGTAGCCTTGAGGGGCACCAGTTCTTATTTTGAAGAAATCTGTCAGTTCCCACAGTCCTATGCCAAAGTGTGCTGATAAAATGCCTTTATGAGTCGAGTGGTCGTCTCTGGAACACCGTTGCGTTCCATCACCCTCCAAAGTGCCGTTCTATCAATTGAATCGAAAGCAGCTGCAAAGACGATGAAACACGTGACGGTGGGTTGCAGATATTTGAAGAGATGTTCCAGCACTTTTCTTAACGTAAATATCTGGTCAGCACATTCGCGCTCCGGTCTGAATCTAACTTGATTAGGGCGCATCCTGCTGTCCCGTACTGCTATAAATCTATTGAGAAAATCCTAACATCCTTAATTTAATTCCAGCGACACAGGAATCCACTTTGCTCCCTGAACCAATTGCTGCAGCTCCTCTCGCCGTATCATCAATACTCTAAAATATAACAAATACCTATTAAAATTTTGATTGAATATTAATTATTTAATTCGTCTAATTTCTACAAATATATTCCAAAAATTACTGTTTTTTTTGCACTCATTCATACATCTTATTGCACAAAAACTTGAGAAATTATCGGTAGTATTTAAAAACTTACACTTTTAATCGCCTCACTGATGCCTGCAATTCTCGTTTTGAATTCCCTACGTGATTCTTCTATGCAGCTGCAAGCTGCCCTTTTTGTATTCTGAACATGTGGGAAACACGCACTTTGTTGATTACCACAGTCATGTAATGCTAAAATAGAAATTTTGCGAATTGGCAGAACTGCTGAAGCCAAACTTTGCATAATAAGTTTATCATTAATTATTTTAAGTTTATCATTAATTATTTTAAGAAACATCAATTTGTGATATTTGTTATGTTAATCATTTTAAGGATTTCTTAGTTGGTTCAATCGGCATCAGTGGTCGTCTTAATGCTTAAAAACACAAAAAAAAACTACGAAAATCGCCTATTATTAACAAATTCCTCGAGTAATAATTTGTTAATCAACCTAGCATATACCTTTGCAGTGTTTTTCTAGGTAGCCCGAAAATGGATTTCGTAAACATTGCCTAGTTGTTTCAGCCCTGGCTGGCTTACGCTCGTTGCAGAATGCGAGTCGGCTGCGAATGAGAATACTGTCTGAGATCGAATTAATGCTGCAAAATATCTTTCAACTTCTTTTTTTTAAAATTTTTTTAAATTTTTAAAAAAATTTTTATTTTCCTTAGATTTGACATTTAAAAAGAATATATGTAATAAGGACTTATTTTAATGATAAAATTTCAACAGGTAAACTTGAAGAAATTTAGCCATTATAGCAATTATTTTATTAAATAATTGACTAGCAAGAATCGTTAGCCGAAGCCCATTCGAAGAATATCATTTTTGAGTTACTCTGTCAAATCTTACATATAATACGTACTTCCATTAGAATAAATTTTTGCGATTCGACATTTTTGCAAATTTTGATATAATGTATCACTATTTTATCATTTAAATGGACGACTATTCTATTATAAATCTGAAGCACTAAATTAGAAATAAAAAAAACTAAATTAGAAAGAGGTTGGACTAAAAAACCAGAAAACTTACACATCGTCCTTGAAAGCATACGAATTTTCTTCAATATCTGGAATGTCAGGCATACCAGGAAAGTCGGCTATTTTCTTTTTGATGCAATGGTCTGCTTCTTTCATTATAGCTTTAGTTATCTCAATACGAATGCATTTTTGTTCTTCACGACTAGTTGATAAAACTGCTTTTATAGCCCCCGATGCAAACTGCAATTTGCATGTTAATAAGAATAGAAATTAGTTTTGAGTTGATCAATGAAAACTCAATTTGAACATGAGCTACCGTTCTGCATATCGCGCAGTCTCTAAGTGGACCATTACGGTCCCATGCCTTTGAATCGAGATCGGTAAGTGCTAATACGCAGAGTCCCTTTTTGTTGCCTTCTTCAATAGTTTGTGCAAAGCACTGTTGAACAGATTTTCTGGAATTTTAGAAGATGTGAAAAAATTCAGTTAGTCTTGCATATAAAATGAATTTATGTAGGATAAGACCAGTTCACATTAATAGTATTCAATTAATAAGACCAGTAAGTTCACATGTAATGAATAAGAGGTTAAGAATGTCAAGAATGTTTGATCAAGTTTGCGATACTAATTGTTGGATGATGCGAGTCAAATATTCTTAACGGTATTTCTTTTAGCAGCTTTTTAATATCAATAAAGTTTAACAAGTTTTCGCTAACAAATTTAACTATTTGAACTAATAGAACTATTTAGAAGTAAAATAAATCTTCCAAATGAACGGTGAAAATGAAATAATATGGTAAAGTCGCAGATTACAGAAAGGAAACCTCAGAAGAATGCCCCGAGCAGGTTACTAACTAGAAGAGGAAAATTAATTCACCTCGTATCTTCTTTGACTTCTTTCTCGAGTATTCCATAGTCTTTATCAAGATTATTTTTAATGCACTGCAAGTGATTCCCAAGAGCTGTAGTAATACCCACTGCTGTGGAACAGTCCTGACTCAAAGAAGTTTCACTCTACAAAATAATACCCTACAGATTAACAAAACTTTTATAGAACACATAAAATGAAAGTAATCAACAGGCGATTAGCAAAAAGAAAAAAATAAAATTACTTAATTTTTAAAAAATCCATTTGAAATTCAAGGAAAATTCAACTTACCACAAGTAAAAAAACAAATAATATTATCATACTTCTGAAAAAAATTTACGATGAAATAATCGCATATCAACTGTTACACAATTGTTACTCAAATGATATTTTTCCAAATTTCTCACTTCTAGATGAAATACCTCGAAATCGATATATCACCGTAATGATTAAAACAAATGAAAAGAAAACTATGATAACACAATATCGAATATAGTAGTTTTACAGTAGTTTTCTTGGTCTTTTAACGAGAATATTATAGTAGAGTTTTCTAAAAGAGTAAAATGAGCATAATTATAATAATAAGCTTATCTAAATTATATTGTACAATGGAAGGAGGAATGAAAGGAATTGGCTGAAGACATCTGAAAAAATCGCGTTTTATTGTTACTACCAAAACGATTAGTTAGCAGATTTCAGTAAATGTCATATAACTTTATGAGTAAGAAACATTATTTACCATTGTCAACTAAATTAAGATAATTAAATTGATCGATAAGAAATTCCCAGAAATTTTTAATTCCTTATGAATTCTTTTACGAGATCGAAAAAATTAAATTAAGCGTATGTTTTTCTATACTAGAATTTTTTGAAATTATAGTTTTCATATATAAAAAATACCTTAGGAAAGGAAAGCTGGTTGCTAAATACATCCTCGAATATTAAGGGTCCGATATTGTCTGACAGGAGTAAGCCTGTCATTAAAGAGACATGGGGATCTACTAGTATTTCTATGACTCCTTAATAAAGATTGCTTATCAATTAAGCGATCTTAACCGGAAATGAAGAGATCCTGTCTAGCTTATTTTCTTGCACATAAATGGCGTTTTTTTCCCATACTTTTGTTTATCAATTTTTTAAATAATAACAAATTAATTGCATATAATACATTCATAGCAGAAAGGTTTTAAAAGAATAGCCATGTGGAAAATATATACAGGGATCGATAAAAATGGAAAATGATGAGAAAAGAGTTCAACGATATTTTAACTTCGATATTTCTAAATTTCTTTACAATCCATGTAGTATAATAAATACAAATATTTATGTCAAATGAATGACTTATGAGATTTTCCATAAATCTTTGCTTTTTTGAAGTTATAATGTCGACTTGTTAATAATAGCGTGAAAGGCAAAAAATTTCTAGGTGACAAACCAGTTGAATGTCATTATTTTCACCGCTGGGCATCAATTCTCGTTAACGCGCAGATAAATTTGACATATTTGAGAATTCGATAAAAATTCGTTAACCGAAATAGAAAAAAAATATCTCAAGAGAATAATAACCATTGGTTATTCTTAATTTCAAAAAAAGATTCGTTTAAATAAAAGTTCTCACATATAACCTTATTAAATTTTTGATCAATTCGGCAATCGACCAATCATCTTATACCACTTTTTATTGAAAAAGGATCAGATATATGAAATATCTTCAAGTATTGGAAATATTTAGTTAACTACTTGGTTAGCAAATAAGGTTACAATGAATAATAATTTTTCTATGGCTAATAATCGAGAATAGAATCTCGCTGGTAGAACGTCAGAAAAAGGATATTAAAATGGGGTTATGGTGACTTGGAAATACCGAAAGATATTTGCGAAATATCATATATAATAGCGATATCAGTCGGTTCGCCACTTATCAAACATACTTTATCATATTTGCAATTAAATAGAAAGTGTAATTTCCAAATAAACGAATGGGTCTATGAATTTTATTAATGAATTAAAACTTAATCTACAAAACATCTAATCTACAAAATAAGTCAACATATTCCAAGATTTAAATAAAAAAGAAAACTATAATCGATGCCCCAGAACGAGTAATCATTTTCTGATTCAATCGATCGTTACCGATTCACGTTTCAACAGAATCGTGTTTTACAACTATGAGATCACATAATCCATTACAATGGCGTGGCGCTTGAATACGAGAAATTAAAAAGAAATAGGCCAGAACACCCATAATTTTAATAAGAATATTAAAGGAATCTCTAAAATAATAATCTGTTGTGGGGTTACCTCTTCCTAGTTCGCAGTAAATTTATTTTATTTTTATAGAATTTATTTTAAAAAAAAATAGAACTAAAAATTTTTTATGAAAATCTCGCATGAATAGCCAAAATATTCACACAAATACTGTATCTTCTATAAAATCATGGAATTATAATAAGCTTTAAGATAACGAAAGACATTAATTATCGAATTGAATGGTTTTTGTCGAGATCAAATTGACTATTTCTATATACTAAAAGGTACTAATTTAATGCGGACTGGGAAATTTTAAAATTTAAACTCAACAGAAGAAAAAAATCCTTCTTGGAAAAACTCGACAATTTTCAAAAACTTTTAATGAAATTTATTGAATTTTTGGAGTTTTTAATAGTTAAAGGGCTAAACTCAATGGAAACTATTATAAATTAACAAATTATTATTATTAAATTAATTAATGAAGTTCAAAAAAAGGATAACAAAAAAGAATGTATAGAAAATGAAATTTTAAAAAAATGATAAAAAATAAGTAAAAATATTTTAAAATTTCATTAAATTTAGTGATTCTCCTTAAAAAGTGATTAAAAAAATGGAATAAATCGAATAAAAGTGCAATATTTTATAAACACCGTTCTCGTACTGCCGCAGCATTTTACAATAAATTTAAAATCCTTTTTAGTACGAACAGGAATTATTCAAAATTGTTTGTGATTTAAATTTTACGACCTTCAATTTTGTTCTGTCTAAGATGATTATTTCCTATGTGGATTTTTTCATATCATTTTCTAATTTTCAAAAATTCGCTAAAATTTTTAATACAACAAATATTTAAAATGAAAATATGAACATACTGAAAGGATAACAAGAAGGAAGAAAATTTTGAAATAACTGTGTAGCATAACTATATGATAAATACTTCAGTATTTTTTAACAAAATTAATGAGTATCTGTATTTGGTGACGCAGAAATTGGCAAGTCGATGCCTTTTCACGTTTTTATGATGAATCGCGCAAAGGCGAAATTTCAAAGTTTTCCAACTAGTTGTTATGTTTAACTTTCTACAATGGAATTCTCCTAGCTCTAAAAATAAATATTTTTAATTTGCCCAAGATTTCAAATTTGTTTATTAAAATTTTTCATTCGGTGAAAATTTATTTCTTGAGAAATTTGTTATAAATACAAAAAAATAAATTCCATAGTTTATATTAAAAAAATTTAATCAAAATTTTGCGAATTTTCAATTAGTTGTTTTCTACAACCACTTTAAAATATAAGCAATTCGCTTAATTGGCAGCCATTTCAAAGCCAAGAATCGTTAATTGCCCTTAATTTAAATTTCTTCCACTAAAGCCATCTTCATTATGTGTTTTTTTATATTACTTTTTATCTTTATCGAAGCAATTAAAAAATTAACAAAATTTGAAGAAATCTGACATAGCTTATCTTATTTCAATGGAATCATCAAAGAAAATTAACAAAAATTGAGAAATACCACCTAATAATTATCAAAAATGCATGGGCATACATCTTCAGCTGTTTATTTGAGCATTAAGAAAAGACGAACTGGAAAAAAATCAACACTGAAGATAAACTGATAAAGCAACCGGACCTCCGATAAGATTTCTTCGTTTCGCGTCATATTTATACACCTTATCGTTCGTGAACAGGCTAATGTTATTGTCTTCGACGATTATTCCTAAAAAAAGCCAAAGCATAAACCAAAGTTTACCTGTCGCGAAATTTATTCCAATTTATTATTAGAAAGTTATTAAGAAAGTAAATTTATTATTATCAGTGAACAGTCAGAAGAGTTTTATTCATTATTTTAATTAATTTTCTTGCAAATGTCGTTGTTTATAAATTTTCAAAGGATTAACTCCATAATTATATTTGTTTGAAGCGTCACATCTACCAAACAAATTATTTTCTTGTTGTTTTATGACCAATGCGGTTGGCCCCAACTTTTATAATAATTTTGTTTTTAATTAGTAATTTTATTTTTTATTTATCAATAATAATTTTAAAAAATAAATTTTGGAATTAATTTGTGAATTTTCAAAATAGGATTATATTGTGAAATATTTCTCTCAGTTCGTTTACTGTATTTTCCGCTTCTTTTCATATTCTTATTGTTTTCTATTGTATGGTTTAATTATCCAAGTTTGAGGTGGAGAATAAAATTTTATTGATAAGTGCGGTGAAGACTACTGCACTGTTAAAGCAGCCGGATCAAATGATTTCTAAAATATTTCCGGGTGGCAGGCAGCTATCAATCCGCTGTTCATACAACAATTGTAATTATCATTTTTTCAATTTTTTATATTACTAGTGATTCAACAGTTAGTATTTAACCCGAGCCGATGCGCTTATTTCGCTTTATTACTGATTTAGAACAATGGGCAATATAGCCCTCTAAGCGCAAAAATATTCCAGGTCAATTGTGGATTAGCCAACATTGCAATTAGCTAGAACCACTAAACCACTAACACGCAATATTTATACATCCGTCAGAATTCAGAAACGTTGTAGAAGCAATCAATTTAGCCTATTTATAGTATCTTTCCGATGTAAGCAACTAATATAAAAAATATTTGACCTCTTATCGGTTCTCTGGGAAAATTATCAAAATATTTTGCGATTCTATCTTGCATTGTTGCTTGGTTCCAATAATCATCATAAATCGCAAAATCGAGCGCCTGCAAAATAGTTAAAATTTCGCACAAAAAATATTTTGAGGTCATTTTAAAAATAGCTATATATCTATGTAAAAAGTTCCTTTCATTACAGTCGGGTAAACTTTAACCAGAAGGCTATCTAAAATTGTCACCTTCAAATAGACCGGATATTTATCAATACTGACTATTTGCCATATTCAATGCAGCTATGCTTTTTAATTTTGCTTATATGATTTATATTTTTTATTAACATTTCCGTTTTTGACAAACTTACATTAACTAATACTTTACGTCCATCGATCCATGTAAAAGCTCCCATAGGATTAAATGTAATGGTGGATGAAAGACGCTTTGGATATGGTCGAACTAAACTAAATTTAGCTGGAGATTGACTTTCTTTTTCATACGCATACACCTGAAAAAATTTTATGTGAATTTTATGCAAATTCATTTACTTCACTACGAGTTTTTGAAACCTTTTTATAAACTTAATGAATTTATTGAAACGTAATTTTCAAAGAATGAGAGAAACTATAATAAAGTCGACTGCAAGCTGGAAGAATTCGATGAATCTTTCTAAGTTCACTTTTTTTTTAAGAGTCCTCACCATTACTAGTTGAACTCCGCTGGCTTGTCGCATTGGACAAATATACCAGGGAGTCCCTTGGCGAAAGAAACACATGTGAGTCGTCAGCATCACCCGGATTTTCGGACATGTTTACTCCTGTGGAGAAGAGAACCTTAGCATCGTCGCCACGAACTGAGCAACAAACCATTGAGCCATCCTATCCCCAAGTCCATTAGCAATTTAAACATATTCGTTTATTTTTTAAGGTTTCAATGTCTTAATGTAACGAAACTGATGCCAACCTGTCTGCCCTGGAATAAAATTATTGATCGCGAAGCTGGGTTTGATAATGCTGCTTGGACATATGGTGGACTATTCGGAAACAATTTCCTCAGCGAATATATTTGCTGCACTTTTTGGTTAATTATTTCAAAGACTTTGCTACTGCTGAACAAATAAACCTCATCTCCCACTGAAATAAAGATATAATTTTAATTACTTCGTGCAAATATCTAATTGTGTTTAAATATTGCATAAATATTGCAGATTCTGCAAAAACTCGAAAATAAGGGGAAAAAAAATGCAAAAAGTAATGCAATTTACATGCCTTTCGTGATTGCATCAACATCATGCGGACATTCCACAGGATCTTTTGGTGTTCTATTATCTTTGCCGCCAAAACGAAGAGATGTTGGCGGAATTGGAGTGGTTGCTGTATTTGGTTGTCGTGATGAAGCATTACTGGATGCCTTTTCTTTTCCACCAAAACCGAAAAAACTTTTGATTCGGTCCCAAAAACTCGTACCTTGATTATTGATCTAATTATAAAATTCAACCCGTAGATGGCTAAAACCACTTGGTTACTGAAAAAAGAAAAAAGAAATACTGAAAAACAGCCCAATTCAGAAACCTGAAAATATAGATATAAAAACTGAACCTGGACCATGATTAGAAGCATCATCTTTATCTGGCACATTCAGTGAAGTTTCTGTTGGTAAACTACTACGATAACCTATAAATCATTGCAAAAGTTCAGTTTCATAGACAGAAGGGAAACAAATGACTAAAAAGATTTTAGAATAATATAACGAGCTAACCTAAAGATAAAGCATGATGAAGCTTTCAAGAAAGAAATGAATTCAAATGATTATCTTTGCCATACAAAAAATGAAAGACAGCGAAAAAAACTCAGTTTTCCCTCAGTTTTGTCAGAGGGTTTAGAAAATACATAACTTTTGACAGGTTTGTTAATTAAATGATGACTAAATCTGTAGTAAAAAATAGGTTCTTCATTGAAAACAAAGTTATCGAATCACAGAAATTCATGATCCCCGTAGGCAAAATTCATTTCATAAATATTGGTCAAGGCCGAATGTTGTGGGCATAGATTTTAAGAAATAAATTTGCTGAAAAATAAAAGGATTATATAAGGGTACAAAAGGAAATTTAACCATATATTTCTTGCACCATGGAAATGTCATTGTAATGTAGCTTCGGCAATATATAATTTCCACGTCGATCGACGGTTTCTTGATAATATGGAGCCATAATAGAATCCTTGTTCCTCGAATGTTCCAACCCAAGTGTGTGGCCAATTTCATGAGCAGCAACGGCCAATAAATCTGTATAGTCATATCTGAAAATTATACCTATCCATCTCCCACTTTGCTTATTAAAAGAATGATTATTAATCAATAATTTTAAATTAATTATAATTAGTTAATAATTTTACTATTTTATAACAGCAATAAAAATAAGATTGCTTGGCGTGAGTCAATAATAAGCATATAACCCAAGCATTCATCAGTCTTCATCAGTTATCAGTTTAGACCAGTTTGAAAAATTTTAAAATAATCATGACCAGCTATAGGAAAAAACTTCTTTTCGCTCTTGATCGGACTAATATTTCTATCAACCTTCTAAAAAAAGAAAAAAGGATATGATATGAAAAGGATTTGGATTTCAAGGTACCAAATAAGTTGAATATCAAATTTTTATTTAATTTTTACTAGTGGTATAGTCGTTTTTTAGTCACTTTTTAAATTAAATCGAATAATTCTGGAGGAAAATCCTAGATACCTGTCTTGCGACATATTTGAATTTTTAGAAAATAACCTGAATATTTTCTGAGCATCCATGTATGTCCACTTTTCTTCATCATCCAAATGAAGTAACCCGCTCGGTGGCATAGTTGCGTGTGCTAGCACGCCACCTGAATAAAGCATATGGTAAATCCTCTTATTAAAAACAATATCTCGTATAACAAAGCTCAACTAACTTTAATAATTGGAATAATTAAATAAAAGGGTAAAAATTTTGATAAATTGTATATTATACCTTTACCATCGAAGGGCCATGGATCACCATGACTTCGCTTCGCAAACTTTATCCTAATATCACCATTTCTTGGCAGTTCATTGAAATCCATGGGAATTACTTCAGCCCATAACTCAAATGCTTTTGAAATCGCCGACCTAATTATTCATGATCAAGATTGTGGTTTCCTAAATACAAATATGTTTTACCTATCTACGTAAATTTCATTTAAAAGCGCCTTTTACTAAAATAAACCGCCTGATTCATTAAGAAAGGATTGTACTGCAATTGTTTTATTTTCAATCTCGAAATATTTTCAGAATTAGTCACAACTCAATAGATAGTAGTAAACTTTAGTTACACTCATATAGAAACAGTTCAACCTTGTTAACCTGCCATTATACTATTTTAGAGAAAATATTCATTAACCTTCTACCAGTGAAGATTTTGCAGATCCATAAAAAATATGGCAAACATTGCATATGCCCCCAATTTCGAAATTTAAGAATTGTTGAAGAGTGAAATTTGCACAAAAATTTTAAATTTTATGAAGAATTTTCTATATTAAGGTCATTTTTGGATGAGGGTATGGAAATTTTAAGGTTTTTCAAATTAAGGCTTCAAAGTGTGGTGTAATATTTTCCTTGGAAAAATTGCATTTCACCAAAAATAAAAATTAACTTTGTATCTTTATAGGATAAACTGCCGGAATATGACTGAATTGAATATGACAACGTTTTCTTATTCCATTTGAAAATTGTACCTGGAGGAAATTAGCAAAAAACAAAAAGTAAAAAAAATTGCGTCCAGTGTAAAATATATCTTTGCATATGTATATATAAAAAAAAACGATTAATTTGTAGTATACCTGGTTGCCTAATCGCATATAAATCTGGCACTCCACACCTCGGTTCTGCCATTTTTTTTCTTGTAAAATCATCAAGTTCACCACTTGGTTGCAGGCCATTAAATTCTTGGAATTTTCTAGGTTAATTTATATCAAATGGAGTGAAAGAATTTTGTTTGCTTATTATTTCATCATATCTTCTTGCTAGAATTATGAGAAATTAGCCCTACTTTACAGCCTTCTGTAACATTGATAGATTATCATCGAGTTGTATCAAACCATCGGATCTGACACCCAGAACATTACTGCTTGTAATATAACCAAAATTTGATAAAAACTTCTGAAAATTTCCGATTTTGTAAATACCATTGCTCGAACAGTAAAAAGATTCATTTACTGCATAAAAGTTTGGAGCTGTCCTCATATCAGTGGATATTGCATTTGCAAAACGGAGCCTAACTTTTTACTATGGTTCCATGTTGGATTATTTTTCAGATTTTTCAGATTTTTCATTACGAGCGGTATATTAACACAAACTATGATCAGCATAACTATGCAGTGAAAAATAGTGTAAATACATCCATAAATAGTTAAAAATTTGGTTAGAAATTGTGGAATATACATAAGCTTACAACGGCGTCTGAATCAGAAAGTGGAGCTTTGACACTTTTAGCGCGAAATTCCACTAAATGCGTTATGATTAGCAGTAATGTGAAAAGCACCATCAGATCGACCTAAAAACAAACGAGACTTCATATCACACGCATGGTGATATTGCCTGAACTTAACCTGATGTATTTAATATCATGCATGCTCTTTCTCTTCAACCATGCTCTTTTTTAACCAATCAATCTTCAAATTATAATATCGGAAGAATCTTAATATCGGAAGAAAAAGTATTCGTTCTTCTAGTATGCGTGCAGTAAAATGACTAGTTAAATGCAGTTGTATTATCAGATTAACTTTGACCCATGGATAACACATTGAATGAGTTCTCTTTGAAAGATTGAAAGTATCGGGCTAAGATTATGGTGAAAAAATTTGTGGAACACTGAAAAGGAATTATTTTTTGACTGCTCATCGAAAACACGTTATCAAATTCATTAATAATTTATCTCCATGGTAAATACAATAAATACTTTGCCACTTTTATCGAATTTGTTTCGTGGTAACATACTTAAATAACATTTCACAAAATATCAATAGGTCGCCTGCTAATCAACTCAGGTAACTCTCGTGCATTTGATCTAAACTTATATTGTTGATAACATATTAAAATTGCTACTGCACTGGAGAATTTTAGAAAAAAACGAAGGAAATGAAAACTTTAATTCACATATTTTGCCCGAAAGTGAATAATCACAATGAAATCAAGTATTTTAAATAAAATTTTATAATTGAAATAATTAAAACTGAAAATGAACAAAATTGAAAAAAATTGAAGAATCGAAGAAAATAAGAAAATTTCCATCCAAAATCGCATAGGATTTTTTGATCTAAAAAAGTATTATTGGATGAAATCAGAGAATCAAAACAATTTAAAAAATAAAGTCATTTTCTTAGAATCGAAACAAAATATTGGATTTAAAAAAAAGCAGCTTGGAGACGTCTTGCCCTTGTAGCCGTTGAAGCCAGACTAACCAGTAATGGTGACAGCTGTTAGAAAAAGGATTTCAGAAAATTAGTCCAATCCCAGTTCCATTTTGAAACATTCATTCCATACTTTTTAACATTAATGAATATAACTTTTTTGAACGAAGAAAAATTCAAAAAAAAGGATATTAGATATAAAAACTGATATGTCGAAGCACAGTTCAATACTTGGTGATTTGTAAATTTGCAGTCATAATGCGTTAAAAAGCGACGAAATACTTATTTGAAACCGGTTCTTCGATCACAATCATAAACTTCTTTCTACGAATGCCCGAAGATAATAAAAAATTCATCGAAATATACATTCTGATTCATACGTTAAATGATCCATTGGAAACATTTAATTCACATGTGAGGTTATTTAACGATTCAATATAATCATTTACATAAAACATCTCGAAGACTTAATCCATTCTCGACAACAATCGAGCAAAAACGGAATTTTCAAAGTTCACCGCTAATATTATCTCTTAAATATTTAAGCAATCTATGCCCAACAGAAAACAAAACTATGCTCAACTTCAAATGAACCCATATTCAAATGCTTATAAGAAATAAACTGAACTGCCTTATTCTAATGCCCGATTAAAATTTTAACATGATTTTAGTCAAAATTAATTAATAAAGATCGAATGTTGAAGGTTGATTCAAGGTGATTCTAAATTCAACAAAATTTATTTAAATGGCAATGTGCAAAATTACTAAAGGTGCATAGACTAAATGTATAATGTAATAGACTAAATGTATAAAATTTACAAGAATAAAGTTAAACGAAAAAAAGATCAAATTTCAACAAAAAAATTCAAATCATAATAAAAATGAATATATGATCTTAGATTTTACCTTAACGACATCGCAAAACTGATACACAATAATACACAAAAACATTCTTCTTTTCCTTATTCTTTTTAATTCACCACTAAAAAAACAAATTACAATAAATTTATACAATCCCTTTTAAACTGGAAGAAAAAAAAATGTCAACATATCTAAACAGTTTCATCTCAATCATTTCAAATCGACAATCAACAAATTTACGACCTAGCATAGAAAAGTACCATGCAAAGAATAAAAAAACATCTTATTTTTTGCTAGTTTTAGTATCCATTTCCTCAGCAACCTCCTGATCGATTTCTTCAAGAAAAGTCTCCTGTTTCACGGCCAAGATTGTATAAAAATAAATGGATATAGCCAGAATTAACAGCGCAACCAGCGCTCGAATATTCTAAAGAATTATATAATAAAATACTGTACATTCAATAGTATTACAACATTCCCACTTTTTACTCATTTCATGACTGAATTTCCAACATATGGATGTTGCAACCTTCGTAAAGTTCTTTCCATGATTTACCATTAAATTTTTCGGCAATTGACTTTTTATGTTAGGATTTCCATCCAAACCTTCTAAATTTATTGCGTTCGCCATGTAATTTGCTAAAAAATTAAGTCACCTTAAAATTCTTTGCAAAAATTTCTTTGATTCTGATAAGATTCAATTCGTCAACTTGTTTGGCGTATCGTCGTAGTGCTCGAGGAAGATTTTCTATTTCTATGGTCTGTAATATTTCAATGTCAATGCATAACTAGCTTCACAACTATTTTATATATATATATGTTTTAAAATGAATAATTTTAAAATGATTCGTATGGCTCATGATAAAGATCTCTACAAGAAGAAAAATATTTATGCGAAAAAATGTATGTGTCCACACATTCCAGCAAAAAAGTTATACCTCCAGCATATCACCATCCAATTTCTTTATTTCACTCTTTAAACTGTCAGAAACTGTAGGTATTGTTGAATAAGCTCGTACATAACCCACACTCCACCTCGACCTCATCAACTTATAAAAACGTGGTGATATAATGAACTTAACCATATTCTGAAAGCTTAAAATTTTGGTAGAAGCAATAAGATTCCAGAGATTTAATAATGCTATAATCTCCAAAGAAAAAAGGAATGAACCGGAGATTGAAGAAATGAACGGATGAGAAAATATGCATTAATAACCTGCAATAGTAAAGATATTAAATTCATTCTCAATAATAAATAATCTCGATTCAAAAAAGAACGAAACTGTTATTTACTTATAACAAACCCATCCGATTTAAAGTGTAAAAAACAATGTAATCTACAATTCAGCAGAAAAATAATCTTAAAGGACATTACACAAAGTTGAAATTGAAACATATTTAGCTAATAATGCATATCCTATAAAATTTAAAGTTCAAGGTTAATGGAGAGGTCAAAACCTACATCATTCTTTATTAACTAATGTAATAAAAAATGTAAATTTACAACAAAATGGCAAAAAATATGAAACAACAAAAATTGGACCAATCCTTCAAAATATATGAAAAAAATGCATTAACAAAATAAAAGTCAAGAAAACATAAAAATATTTAAAATTAAGCCTATTCTCGCATTGCCTTTTTAACTCGCAATTACTGCGATTTCAAGAAATATTCCAATTATTGAAAAATTATTGACTGAACGCTCCATCCCCTTCGAATTGAGCGCACATGTTCCATTCGTATTTGGAGCACAAATAAGACTATTCTCGTTTTCATCGTTTTCGTCAATAAAAAGTGCTTATTCTTGAATCTACACTTTCTTGAATCTAAAAATAATTTCGAAAGTATTCAAAATACAACAATAAAATTTGCTGCTTATTTTATTGCGATTTTCGCCGTTACTTTTCATCATTTCGACAAAATTAGACCTTGATATTTAATATTAGCTGTTGTAAGTTCAAAGTTCAAAAAATATTTTTTAAAGATGCCGCAAATTTTTGCTAAAACCAATTCACTGACGCAAATGTTCGCAAAAGAATGTTGCAAGAGTTCTTCAGCAGTAGCTCGAGCAGAAGGTTCACTTTGAAAACAATGGTCGAGAAACGAAAAGCAATCCCTATCGGATTGAATATTCTGGGGTATAGTTGGTCGCATCCCACTACCAACACGAAATACTATTTGTAGAAATTGTTCGCATTCGTGCCAAGGTGGCTGAATAAAATTTTGTTAAAAGATGAAAAATAATGCACAAATTTAATAAAAAGATCCTTTAAAACGGAACACAGCAATAAAAGATACAACTGAGATACTTTGCCAGTGCACATTTCCAACACCACACATCCAATGCTCCATATGTCGGAAGCACGACCATAACCGATGTGTTCATCTTTACCGCTCAATTCGATTTTACCACCTAACGTTTGCACTTCTGGAGCCATATATGCCGGTGTACCGACCCACTCAGCTACTTCACCTCGAGCTGTCAAGCAACCTTTAAGACGAACTGAACTGCCGAAATCACCCAGCTTTAGAACATTTTTCTGTCCCAAAAATATATTTGCAGCTGAAAAGAAATAATTCGAGGGTAAACAAATGATTGAGGCTGATTTCTAAAAATGAAAAACTGAAGAGTGAGCAGCAAGAGAGAATTTTTCAGAATCAGACAAGTCATACGTTTGATATCACGATGAATTATCAGCTTTTTGTGGATATATGCGACACCTTTTAAAAGAAAATGAGTATAGCGACGAGCGCAACACATATCTAGATGACCTTCTCGACAAACTGTTTCGAGTGTACCTTCGGAGCAATACTCCATAAAAATAAATAATTCTTCCTAAAAATGCTGGAAATAATAACAAATAAATATTATATAATTCCAAAAGAAAGAACTAATTTTTAAAGAAAGCAAAAATTCAAATATTTATTAATTTATTAACTTATTATATACCAGCACTTAACAATCGCGCTTTAAATTTATTTAAATTTATTTAAATTTTCAATCATTAATTTATTCTGAAAGTTGACTCACGATTGGCAACAAAATATTGCACTTATTATCGCACATTCCTGATCTTTTTAAAATAAACTATTTAGTTATGACAAAAAACAACAAAAAAAAGGCAAAAAAATGCATAAATGGGAGCGTAAAATTTCTTTAATACAATAGCATATAATTCCATTTATTTAAATATAAAAAATATTAAGGGAAATATTAAGTGAAAAAAATAATAATATAAAATTAAACTAACTCTATGTACTTCGACGGCGAAATATTTTACTAAATTAGGATGATCCAGCGATCTCAGATTTTCGACTTCATCTACCAATGCATGCAGCGCTTTGTGATTCCTCTCAATTCGTATTTGCTTCATCGCCATTAAACAATTATCAGTTAAATTCATCACTACATAGACAGTGCCGAATTTACCCGATCCTAGCGTTAAATCGGTCAAAAGAATCCACAAAAAACAAATGAATGCAATATAGAATAGAAAATAATTCGAGAAAATTCGAGAAAGTAGAATCAAACCAAGATATAACTAAATATAACTCAAATTTAAACAAAAAATACACTAAAAGTGAAAAAGATAGTTTTACGCTTTAAATGGTTTCTTTTCATGGTTTCTTTTCTTTTCTTTGGTGATATTAATAGAAAAAAAATTTCAAAATAATTTTTTGAAAAAAATCTAGAAAACCGATTTTTTTCTCCAATCTTTGCCATTCGAATGGTGCACGTTTTTTCGGATTAAAATATGTAGTAAGAGAAAAAATGTGGCGGCCATCCGCTCGCACGCGACCAATCTTATTTTCTGCCTAGAATTCTTTAAACATAAATAAATTTAACAATTTTTTAAATGGGAAACATTCAACAACTAAATATTTTTTCTAATTATTAGAAAGATCTGACTATGCAATTAAACAATAAATAAATATTTAAAAAGCTCTCATTCTTATCCTTCTTATTCTTATTATGCCATTTGTCTTCACCAAAAAGAAGAAGATCGTAAATTGAATTAGCAATATCAGTTTGTGATACTTTAAGAAGCTGATCTCGTTTATCATCCAGCTGATTTACAGCCAACTGAATTCGGTGTGAGCGATTCTTAATATCCACTTCAGTATCGGAATGCTTTGCTCTTCGAACTGCCAATGAAAATTCCTTTAACTGCGGTTGAATATAACTGCATTCATCAGGATAAGCAATTTCTTAAAAACAAATCTTGAGTCAAAAATTAAATCAATGTAAGATGAAATCGCAGTATAGTAAAAACAATAATCACAGACCTGGGCGACCTCCTCCGATAATATGTTCTACATATAATTCAATATTGCTAACAAGTTTCTGAAATAAAACGGAAAATGGAAAACAGAGAACTTTACAAATGAATTCAACAGAATTCAAAAAATTCAACAGCGAAACCAGAAGAAACAATAAGAGGAAAATATAAAACGAAAAAAACCAAAAAGAATAAAGAAAAAACAGAAGAGAAAAAAAGCAATAAAACTACTTACACAATATATTTGATCGGGCAATAAAGAAGTTAATTGTGGATCAGATGCTACAGTAAGAAACTGGAAAGAATGAAATGACCATAAAGGAATAGAACCATCACCTCGGTGCATGAATTCTATAACAAAATTAATCCACTGTTCTGACCACATAGCAGTTTTTTTCGCAAATGTTTTCCGAATTTTTTGCGGTAGAATTCGATATAATTCGCGATGATACTGAAAACAAGCATTAATGAAAATAAGAATAGTAAAAAAAGTAAATCTTCTTCACCACACACTGCAATCGTTATTAATGCCATAGAACATACCTCAAAAGCAAAATTATATGCTTGGATGACGGTTGCCCTTAATGATTCAAGCTCATTTTGATCAAGAGAGCATAATACACGATCATCGAGAATTTCTTCGAAAAGTCGGCCGGCAAGATCATTCCAAATCATATCACATGTTTCCACAGCAACTTCCTGAACCATTCCTTTTATATATGTTTGAAAAATTTGGATGAAACCGGAATATAAACCCTGAATAAAAGTCAAATTTCTTAATAAGAAAGAATTAATAGGAACTCAATATATATATATACAAAAGCAAACAGAAAACCATCGAACGAAAATTCACACTATTGCGAAAAAAAAAACTTTTAATTGCTCCACATGGCTTGAGACAGTTTCATGACATGATGCTTGTTCTTCCAATACTTCCAATAGAAAATCCAAATCGGTAGTCAAATTCTCCGATAATTGATGGCGCATTGCAGGAAGTACTGTCCCATTAAGTGCAACAAGGCAAGCGTCACCGGAAAACTGCAAAAGTATTTTTAACTAATTAACCTTTTCACCACATTATTATAATTTTTCTCACCTATCAAATGCACTTCCAGTAATTATCATTCAAACACTTTGTTTTACTGAGAATAGCGGATATGAATAGAAATGTAAAAAACCTGAAGATAGCCTAAAGAAATTTCAGTATCTGCATCCAAATCAACATGGACTTTTCTTCCTTTCCACATATCACAAGTAAAACCTTTATTAGTTTCAACGGGAAACAAAAGCAAATAACCATTCCTATAATTTCACAGAGAATAAATAAGGTGAAATATCTCAGAAAAATCACGAAAAATCATTTCTGAAATAACTATGAAGAGAGAGGAAACAAATATTGCCCTAATGCATATCTATTTTCTATTGAACAAGATGACATAAAATAGGAAATTTATTTTTAACAACTTCAAGGTTGGGATCTTGAAAAAAAAATCGGTTGAAGCAACATAAAATTTGTCAAACTTCATTAGAAATTGAAAACCGAAAAAAAAGTAAAAAATTTACACATTAGCGATATTGGTTGGTAATTCTTCTCCATATCGTGAACAAGTGATATTCAGCAAAATTTGGATAAAATCAGGATTTGATGCGGCAATAGCATCACAAAATACTATGAATCGATCGCTGATGCTAGATACGTCGACCTTTAGTGCAATTTTCCATTATATATTCACCGCTTTATCCTATCATTTTAAAAAATGGAAAACCTCAACTAAAAAAAAAAAAAAACAAAGTTCAATCAAAAAAAAATGCAATAAATCGCGATAAAATTTCATTGGAGATGTTAAAAAGTAATGTTATGTAATGTTATGTAAAAGTGATGTTAAAAAGTAATGTTATGTAATGTTATGTAAAAGAAATGTTAAATAAAAGTAATGTTTATTTTTCTTATCAATAAATAAATAAATTTTCTAATAAATGCTTTAATGCTGATTCTTTGAAATTATTTCTAATTACAAGCATTTTAAATGAGCGAAAAGATAGTTTAAATTCGAATTAAAACATACTAAGGAATGTGAGGTGATGTATAACTGATATATCAAAGAACAAATATTGCGCGATTTTAAGCGATAGACCGTACAAATTTCCATATCATTTAATAATGTTCGAACAAAAAGTAAAGCCCGTAATGAGCGTTCGCGCAACTGAACAGTAAGCGATTTAAAATAACGACATGCAATGAAAATTTGCCTAAAACAATATTGCAATGATCAATTACGCCAACAAAAAACAAAAGTTGGTTTCAATACCAAGTAAATGCGATCGAATATTGTCCCAAAATATTAACTTCTCAAATATATATCTTAACTTAACGGTGATAATGAGCTACGAGCAAAAATTGATATGGCGCAAATTAATAGAAATCAAATCAAATAGCAATTGACTTCAAAATTCCAAAATAATAATATGTCCACAAATCTTTGTTATAATAAAGATAAAAGAAATATTCTAAAAAAAAGCTTTGAAAGACCTTCGTGGTGAGTTATGTTCTTCAGACTCTGGGCAGTATTCCATCAATAAATCCTCGAAATTGTCTCGAAAATCTTCTACGAGATTACCACGATCTAACAGATAACTCTTAACCATTTTTTCCAACAAATCGACTCCAATCACACTAAAAAAAATTAATGTATATATAATGTTAGTCTTCGAATTATTAAGCTCACCTTCTGACGAAGAAGTTAACTGTTATACTTACCAGAAACGATGAACTACTTCGCTTTCACCAGAGATAACGCTGACTGCATATCTTCTAGCCACTGTCCATTCATTTAATAGATTTTGCATAATTCGCTCAATCCATTCGGTTCCAGACCCTCCCATTGATACTTCGATCTGAGCCCAATCTCGCACGCATTTCAGATATGCCTGAATAAATCAATGCATGAAGCTAACCTATCATCCGAACCCTAATTTTGAATTAGTGGTTTAAAACCTGAATTTCTAAGAAAGTTTCAGAATAAAAGATCGGCAATTGATAAACTTTTACAAATTTTATTTTGAGTTCAGATTCAAGTTGAGTTCAAATTCTGAATTCAGTTAACGATTAAATTTTTAAAATATACCTTAAAAACGTCACTTAAATGATCTTCAAACGGTGCCAAATTGTTTAATATTGTTTTACTGTCCAGTCCTGATAGCCCAACCATTTCCACATATTTATGTTTTACACCTATGGCGGCACGAAGACAATCACGGTAATCTTCGATCATCTACATGTTGTATATATGTAATTCCGTCAATAAATTGATTAAATATTATAGGTAAAAAAATACAAATTTTATGGAAATTTCATCGGATTAAATATACTTATTGCACCAGATCATTACCGTTCGCAGAGTCAATGAATCAGATGTCAGCTGTGGAAAAGCTCGCATTTTAAGCCATTCGTGTACTAAATCCAAAGGTACTCGGACCAAAAACAAAAAGAGATTTTCGAATGATGGCAAACCCATAGCAAGGAATTCGGCATGATGAACTGTATATTTCGCCACATCAGAAATTTTCTGCAACATATAGTATCAACCTCAAATAACAATTTAAAAAAAATTAAAGTTTGCTGCGATAACAATTCTTAATGCAGCAAACGGCGATTGAAAAATCAGATCACCAGGACACTAACCATATTTAGAGAAGAGGAATATTTGCTGGCACATAAAAAACGAACATTTGTTAGAGGCTGCAATCAACATAAAATAAGAAGCTAAAAACATTAATATATAGATATATACCTAAAATATATTTAAAACAAAAAGTTAAAATATACTTTTATAGTTAAGGATTGATCAGTGCACTTAAATAACACTCAAATTACTAATGACGAAATAATCAATTTACCAATGACTTGTTGCTTGAAAAAAATCGAGAAGAACCAACTGCTTCAGCATAAGAATTCACAGGCCGTTGCAATAACACAACAGCTTTTCTAACAGTGGTTAAATAGACACCTTCCAGCCGTTCAAGAACCTTACGCATTCCTTTCAACCGTAAAGACTTTGCTACAATCAGATTAAAATAGAGCTATGAACAGAAATTTTATTCAGAGTGTAAAAGCACGTAAAAAAAAATGTAAAGAAATTAGGACTAATAAAAATGTAAAAAAATTTTATTTTTAGATGCTAAATCGTCATCAAATCATATTCCACCAGTGGCCCACTAAATTTTCATCAAATCAAAAAGAAATCAAAAAGAAACTACTTTCCTATGAACTAAAGGTACAAAGCCAGAGAATAAACCTTTCAGTCCTCCGCTATATCGTCCATAAATCAATAGAAATTAATTTTATTTTTTTTTAAAATTAAGAGATTTATAAAAATCAACGAGATATGAAGTTATGCCGGACAAAAAAAGAAATTAAAAAAATTATCAAGTTTATTTACCTTTCAAATGAATACTTCGAATTAAGGAAATTAATACAAAAAATACTAACAAACGAATCCGGTATAAAGGCTATCCGATGGGCCGAGCAAACTGGGCAAATCAGAAGAAGTGCTGGATCGACCATCAGACACTTGCGACGAATATAAGGTACAAGTTGGTGTACTCCCCTAAAAAGGACAAATGGATAAAAGTATCACAAAAAGGTCAAAAAATTTGTCATAAAGGTAAACCTATATTTGAAAGAAGTACAATCGAATTATATATTGCACTAAAAGTAAAACCGTGGTGAGACCTCTATCCCCTCTAGTTATTAACTGGAGAAATCATCTCATTCAGATGACCGATACAGTAAAAAAAGAATAGAAATCGACATTTTAAGACAAAAATGGCAATAATAATAATGATACTTTTCGAGATATCGTTTCATCGATATTTTCTGGACTATCCAAAGTAGGCCAGCTGAATACTGCAGTAACATTTTCACCGCTATCACCGCTATCAGCTTTTATTTTAGGAGAAAATGAATGACGTCTTAAGGTCTCATCTTTAGTCATTCCTAATATAACACCAACCTAGAAATTAAAACCGCAAATCAATAAATTTATAATACAAAAAAAATTTGCATGATATTAGGATATTGCATTAGGATATTTGATGATATAATGCATTTATAATTATTTTATAAAAGTATATGACGGGATTTTGCTATAAAAAATGGTTTCTAAGGTATAATAAAGAAATCAGGATACTCGAGTCAGGATACTAAACACTTCATTTGATACCAGACGTCATGAGTTTAACTTAGAGCCTTCCTGTTAAAAATAAAAATGACTTTAAAGAAAGAGTGAAGACTCCAACCTAAGATTGTTTTGGCTGATGAGAAATAGAAAGGACCATTAGAAAAGATGGAAATAAAATTAACCTCTCGTATTCGAGAATATAAAGCTATAGTCATATTGTACCACATGTAGAGAAGAAATATGCGGTCTCGAACTTCTTTAACAGAAGGATAAATTTTCTGCAATGATGCGTATGAAGGAAATAGGGATTCGAATTGCTCATATTTTTCAAGAAGTTCATGAACTTTGTTCAACTTGAATTTCATTGAATCGCGAAAAGCAGCCTCAGTTAACGAAGAGTTATCTGAATCAATCGAATTCACAAAGCGGAAATTTTTAATTTCATCCAGAATGATACATTGTTTCATACGACATTTTGCGAGAAAAAAATCATGATCGGAAATCGATCGGCTCTGCTCTTGACATTTCATTGGCCTGAAGCAATGAAAAAATTATTTCTTATGCCTGATAAATCCATCACACAACTTTCAGAAAAAATGTGAAAAAACTAAAAAAAACTAGTTTAAGGATACTATTTCGCTCCGACCACTATATCCTTGGAAAAAAGAAGGCATTAATTCATTTAAATATTAAGTAAACACTAAGAAAATATGTGAAAAAAACGAACAAACCTTCCAGCAACAACTGCCTGCAATTGAAGCCAAAGTACATCGCTCAATTTATACCTTTCATGTCGAGTACCAATCAAATAAAACTGAAAAATAATGAAATTTCCTTGCCTTTAACTGAAGCAACAACAAACTGAAATGATCTTGAATTTTACAATTATCTAAAAGGTCATTACTAGATAAGCCAGATTTTTTTTCTAAAAAACGCTCACTATTTTTGGTTAGGCTCACTTTTCTGGCTTATCGGAAGAAACAAATCCTTGCCACATAAAGTGGTGATAAAAAGTATAGATGAATCAACAGTATCATAGGGATTTTTGAAAGATAGGTTTTTTTAAGAAAGATAAGATAGTTTTATTTACTCCCACCAGGCGTAGAACCTTAGCATCGGTGCTTCAAAATGAGAATAACATCCCACTGAACCGTTCTCACAGATAAGCTATATTGAAAATTTTCATCAAAAAATTCATTAAAAAAAAATTTTATTACAGATGTTCCAAAAAAATTCACTAGAAGCTTATCAAATTTCATCAAAACTAGTGTCGAGAAATGCGATATTTCTATTATTTTTAATTTATTATTTCAAAATAGTGATCCCGACTCGCCAAATAAAGCCTTGCATTTATTCATTAATTCCTTATCTTCACATATGTCAATAAAAAATAGAGGTCATAAGTATATAAAGGATAACCTTTCCAAGAAAACTGTTCTTTTGGTGCCAACAGGGGGCACGAGCGGTTGGGTCCCAATATTCTAGTGTTCAATTTACTTTATTATTTTGCATACTTTATACTGTTTGATCATTCCTTATTTGTTTTGCGATGGATATCCTTTTACTTTCTGGATTTAATTTGTGTGAATATTGTTTTTCGTATAACTTTATATTAATTGGTTTAGTTACCCAAGTATGAGGCAAAGAAATATTTTCATTAATGCGTACGGTAATCAGTGTTTATTCTGCCTTCCTGAGAAAGCAGCCGGATCAAGATTATCTAATGTAATTAGCGCATGGCAGGCGAGTGTCCCACTGCTTCAAATCAATAATTTTACTATTTATTTTTTACACATAGATTCTAAAACGAAGATAACCTGTCGAGAATATTTCCGTACGCTCTCTACCGTTGACTGTTCAGAAGTTCGGTTTAATTTGGTTGAAGAGGACAATAAATACATAAGTTTGCGATGAAACTCATTCCGATCACTTGCACCTTTCGCTAAATCTTTGGGAAAAATGGACGAGTTTTTAGCAATATCAAGTGAATTATTCTCAACATCGATAAGATCTTCTTGAGCTTGAAGGCTTGTATAAGCAGAGATTCCTGTATGCTAAAATATGCTTAACGACTTTCAAAGCATTTTAAAGGTTTTTAAAAAATTTAAAAAAGCAAAACTAAAGCTCAGATTTTCTAAATCGTTTCACATTTCCATAGTGAAAAAGAGTGAACCTAATAGGCATAATATTTCTTCAGTTTAATTATTCTGCTCTATTACTACTGTTAACAGTAAGAAGTAAATAGATATACTGTTGCCAAGGAACAAATATGTTGCGTATGTCCACTTCTGGGCGATCGATTCGACGAATTCTTATTCCATTGAGACGTTGAGTGATCCTCTACTCGACTAGCTGAAATTAACAAACTCATTGCTAAATCATCGAGAAAAATTGGTTAAACCAATCAAGAAAAAAGAAACCTCTTTGTAATTTCTGAAAAGTGAGGCTTAAACGTCCCTTATAGTCTCTCTTATAATGAAAATATTTTCTTTTCTTGCCAGTGAGGACATCTTGCTCAATCCTAAATTTCAATTCGCTGTAAACGAGAAAGAAAACCGGTAAAAATATCCTGCCAAAATATTGTAATTAAAAATCGATGTTATTTAAAAGGATTATTAATTACTAGTCAATGAAATTCGATACACCAGAATAATCTGCTTCTTCTATATTTGAAAGGACAATGATGTGGATGAAAGAAGCAAGGACGGTAGAGCTGTGCAAGTAACCAATCGAATTTTATGTTCAATAAGAACTCATAAAAAAGGATAGCAATCGAATCAATAGTGTAAACCTAAAACGCAACAAAAAAAACCTTATTTTCCATACAGTGATAATTTTGAGACGAATTACCTGTATGGTTCACTATCTTTACTTGAATAAGGCAAACTTGGCAGACTTGAAGTTTTCCTCATTTCATCCCTAAAGTGAAAAGGTATAACGTTATAAAAGCATTTTAAAGCGAATTTTACGGCATTAAAATTAAAACCAAAGAATGGAAGGATGAAAGGTAGAACTGTGGAAGAAAACTCACATTAACGTCTCTATTTCAAAGCTATTAAAATTATTATCAAAATAAAATAAATTTTTAAAAATTACTGAATGATTAAAAACAATAAAAAATTGGAAAAAATTAGAAAAAGTTAAAAAAATACGAAGACGAAGAATTAACATAAAAGATTTCGTAAATAAAAATTCTGCTCATACGTAAAAATGAAATTCAAATACAGAGATCCTATCAAATGATTTTCAATATGTTTTTTATGACGAAAACTCGAGAAAGTGCCTCCAATTTCAATTATTCAGAAATGCCGCTTGGCGATGGAAATGCAAGCGGGCCATCAGCAATACTCAGATTCCTCAGTGATAAGTTCACTCCTCCGGGGAAAATGAATCAAATAACCTTTTTTTTAAACTTAATTTGAGTCATATTTGACAAAAATTCAAAAATTACCGTAATCGAAAAATCACTACAAGACATTACAAACATTTGCGCCAATGCAGTTTAGATAGTTCCCAGAAATAGATAATAGCTGGAAATAAATGGAATGCTATACCAAGCTTTTAAGTGCTGTTGTAGAAGGCAAACAAATAGAACAGAAAGTTGACTATTTAAAGAAAAATTGGGAAATTTTGTTTGCATTTATCAGATTCTCAAACGAATCCATAGCTTTCACCAGATTCTCAAAAAATTCCGTAGTCCGCACCAAACTCTTAAAAGATCCCGCAACCTTCACGAGGTTCAAAAAAATCTTCCAGCAAAATCTCAAAAATTAGGTGGTCCAGAGAGTCAAGTGACGACCTAAGTACAACTAGGCTTCCCATATTTCATTTTAAATGACGAGTTTACTTATTTCATGAACAGGAATCGAACCTATAATGAACTGACACTAGTGAAACAAAATATTCGACCATTTTACCTTATCTTCTATATTGCCAGAAAGGATGAAATTTTTTGTCTTTAACGAATGATTTGTGATCATTTTAGGACGACTTTAAGTCGTTTTCTTGTATTATTCGTTGATTTCACCACAATTATTAATATTAATCTAATGCAAAACAAGCGCCCATCGTATTCAAATTGCTTGCCAATTTATTTTTGCATTTTAATTTGCAAAACAGTCTATTTATCAACTTATCAGCTATGCAATTGTTGCTTACGAAAGATTTTTTTCAACATTTACATAGAGAATGGTGAACGACAGAGGTACTGGTCAGTCATAAGGGAACAACATCGTCTATTTACCGACCAGTAACCTGGCCTCCGTACAACGTGGAAGGCATCTGACAAGTATTATAAAGTACTATCATAACCACCAAGTTACACGATATGGGCCAGTATAATTCACAATGACATTGGGAACTACAACCGAAGCTCAAAATATCAGCTGCTCATAGGCAGAACTGTTGCTCGAAACTCGAATTCCTGACAGATTAATTTGAGCCTGGATTTACTATAGGTAAGCCTATAACCCACACATGGATCTTGAATGTCTTGCTGTGTGCGGGATCCGAAAGAGAACTCAATGGGATCAATGGGATTGTGGAAAATAGCACTTGAAGTCAATTCAAAACAGCCAGCACAAGTTACCATCAAGTGTGACACATCAACGTGTTGCTGCTGTTCTGAGTAAGTCCAAACCACTTTAGCCAGATAACCACAATGATCATAAGAATTGGGTATGGATACAAGTTCAAAAACGAAACTATCATCATGCGTCTTCTTTACCTGTATGACATCATGTTATATGCTAAGAACGAAAAACTCACTCGCTCAGTCATTTAATGCTAACCTATACTGAAGACATTTAGATGGCACATGAACTGAAGCAATGTGGTGGAATGGCAGAAAAAGGAAAAAAAAATAGTTAAGGCTGATAGGGTGGAACTGCCAGCGAGACGTATAATGGGTATACAGGTCAACTACAAGTACCACAATAAGGAAGTAAGAAGGATAAGAAAGATAGCACCATCCAATAACTACTAAAAATGTCAGATTCTGAACTGCTAATTCAATGGAAAAAGCAAAATCCATACCAGCCATCAAATATGCAGTTGGCACTTTGAGATGGACAAAGGAAGACACTGAAACTGCCGATGTAATTCGGAAACTCTTCAAAGCACAGATATTTTCATCCCAAGTTTAACACCAAAAGACTGCTGGGAAAAGCAAGCGGCACTTAATGTACATCAAAGCTACCATCTAGAGTGAGATCTAGAGCATTCAGAAATACATCAGGAAGATGGTAGCAGAAGATAAGAGAGCGATTGAAGCATCAATAAACAGTGGAGAAAGACAAGATAGAGGTTGAGGTGGTTGACGAAAAATCTTATCAGTGGTTAAAAAAAGCTGGTCTAAGACACAGCACTGAGGCACTGAATACAGCAGCAAACAGATACTAAGCACCAAATCCATCGAAGCAGAGATCTGCCACATTAGACAAGATTCAAGGTTCAGACTGCGCAGAAAAGCCTCAGGATATGTCTAATACATAGTGGCAGGATGTAAGATGCAGATGAGAATAGCATAGGACAATCAACTGGTTGGCACAGAAAGCGCAGCTCAGTATATAGCATGGGCTCTCCCAAAACCAGAGGGGATTTTCCAGAAAATCGCGAATTATAAGACCAAGATCACATGGCACTTCCCCATCCAGATACACAAAGAAGTACTTGCCAATCAACCAGGCATCGCAGTAGACAGGAGTTAGAAATCAAGGTAATAGATACAGCAATACCAAGTGACAGGAATATCAAAAGAAAAAGCAATATTTATTTGTTTATTGAAAACCAGCCAACGAACGCCATGCACTTGTATTAATAACAGTTAAAATAATAATAAATAATGATAAAAAAAGAAAATAGGACAAAAAATTAACAATTTAAAGAGGAAATTATAAAATAATGAAGTAACTGCATTATGTATAATCGGATGGTAAAAATCGAGATTTCACACTTTCTGCATGATGTGAACTTTTTAAATAATATCATAAATGACATTATCTAATCTTTTTTAAAAGATAGCTAAGGATGACACACAAACTATATATAATATAATTTATATTGTTCCAGTAATTAATAGTACGAATAAAGAAGTCAAGTCCTCAGTCTAGTTTTGCACATAAGTTTTAGTAATTTTAGCCCATTATTGAGAGGGAATCCAGGTTGAATTGTTGAAATTGTGTTTTATAATTATAATTAAAATTGCAATTAGGGAAGAGGTGTTGTATGAAATATTTTTGGAGTACTTCAATTATTTCACTTGATTTGCATTATCTCGGAGAGTAACATATAGTATTGAAGTCAAGAAAAGGCCGAACGCTTTGTGTTATTGTGATAAGAAAACCTTCAGTTTTGTTCTTAAACGAACGAAAAATAAAATCTAATATTTTTGAGGATTACTTTCTCATGGTTCTGCAGTGAAGGTCGAGATCGAGATTTTCATCCATGATTATTCCAAGGATCGGAATTGTGTAAGCTTTTGATTATATTACCATTAATACAAAGATTAAGAAGATCGAATCTTTTAGAATTGATATGAAGAACGCTTTTGAAAAGAAAGAAAGGGTTTGCCTGTCATATTATAACCAATTGGCTATTCTGTTGAAGTCCTCTTGCATTGGAGATAGATTATCCGCTCTACCATGAGAATAACAAATTTTACAATTATCAGCATTTTTCTTCTTCTTCTTAAAAGTCCTCACCATTACTGGTTAAGCTCGCTCCACTGGCTTGTCGCATTGAGCAATATGCCATGGAGTCCCTTGGAGATAGAAGTACAGGTGAGTCGCCAGCATCACCCGGATTTTTGTACAGGTTTGCTTCTGCGGGGAATCGAACCGCAGTTTCGGCTGCTCCAAATTGAGCAACAACCCACTGAGCTATCCTATCCCCTTACAATTATCAGCATAAAGATAAATGATAGAATTTAGTACCACTTTGGTGATACCATTTATGCATAATAAAAAAAGCAATGGCGCAATACGATTACCTTGGGGAAAGCCAGATTTAATAGGTGTAATATCAGAAGGAATATTGTTGACACATACAGCCTGGTGACGATCTTTTATGTAGTCTGACACCCAGTTATACATGTACCCTGTAATGCCATAACTATTAAAAGTGATCAACTTGCTATGGGAAATAGTATTAAAAGCTTTGGCCAAATCTAGGTACACAACTGGTACTGTTTTTCCAATTGATGATGACCGAAAGATTTGCCAATATTTGTGAAGAAGTAGATTTTTTCACAAAAGCCATGGTGATAAGGGGATATAAAATTATTGACATCAAGATAAGTAACCAATTTGTTGCAATTCAACCTTTCCAGTACCTTGCTACCAACGCATATTAGGCTAATAGGCCTATAATTAAAAGGGTCATAGGTGCTTTCTTTTTTACGAATGGGAATTATAAAAAAAAAGAGAAATATGAGACAATTTCCAAATTTTGGGAAACTAGAGCAACAACACTGGCTGGAAGAGGTAGAGAAGATGTAGAAAGGGAAGGCGAAAGTGATCCAAATTGTGGCAAAAGCAGTAGAGGCTGTAGCCCAAACAACCTTTCCAGGAACAACATCAGAGATCTCTGCCCAGAAGAGTGCATTGCTAGAAACATTTAATTACTTGGTAGAACACTCAAGTTTGCATGCATCTGGTAAAGGTCTCTTGGTTAACAATAGCCCATACAATGGCTCACATGGGGCTAAACAGATTTTTTTGGGTAAATTTCCAAACAAAGTGTCTTCGTCCTAATATTATTTTCTTTTGTTGTGCTCACTGATTCAGAGCGTTCTGCTTGTCGAGTGTTTTTAAACTTTTTTTCTCCAACGATTTGTGCGCTCAATTCTTCATTCGTTTCATAAATATCAAACAAAAAAATGTTAAAAAACATGATATACTTAAACACAAAGTCATATTGAAAAACAAAAGTAAGGTAAAGTACATGTGAGCTATAACGAGTTGATTTTAAGCGACATTACAATCCCGATGGGAGGATTGCAATCCTCATATTAATAGTATGCAGGCTTGGTATATTTAATAGTATATAGATGTGGTCAAAAGATTCTAATTTGGTTCCAGAGAGCGGCTATTGATTGCTTTGTCCAATAATTGGCAACTTATGCCTTTCCTCAAACATCATTTTCCACATATAACTATCGCTCATGTTTAAGAAATATAAATCGCGATTCAAGTCCAATATGTATTTAACGATATTCTTTCGTTGTAATATAGCACAAACCAATATCATCGCCATTCCAATTCCCAAGAATAAACTTCCCGTTATAACAAATGGTCCTTCCGTATGCTTAAATTTTATTGGCATCATAGCTGAACCCATGGATAAATAGGTCTGTTAATTTATAGAATTTTTTTTTATTTTCTCCGTTTCTGCTGGCCTTACTGACTATTATTTAGGATGAGACCCTTTTACTCAAGAAGTCTTTTGGGCGAAGTAGAGCCTTCTTATAATATTTAACGTTTGATTTTCTATAGCTAAAGCTTATCGGAAAAGTAAATCTTTAGCGAATTGGCAGTTATGTACAAAATATAAAAATTATATATTAATAAAGAAATACTTGACACAAAACGATGATTCCACTTAAAACGAGCGTAATTCCAACAACAAATAGACCAGCCATTGTTAATACGGTTTTTGGTGAACTTGGCCCATCTTTTTTCACCATTTTCGACTATGGAGAAAAAAATCACAAAAAAATACACGAATAACAATGAATGAAAAAGCAATTAAGAGGGAAAAAAATGAAATCTAATTGTTACTTACCTTATCGAAAACAGGAGTTTGCATACATTTCAGAGAGTCTTCTCGTTGTAAGGAATATTGTCGTTTCGGTATTGTTAAACGCAAATTAGCGCCACCAGTTGAAAACTCCTAAATTTTTCCTAATTCCCCCTATTAGTTAATTCGCTCTTAAACATATCTAATGAAAAACAAATCTAATGATAGCTTTCATCCTAATCAACCTCAACAAGCTTTTCATAAATTTTTCATCATTATAGATTGTTTTAAGGAGTAATATAAAGTAAGAAACAGAATTTTCGTGAAAACTTTTTATTACTTAAATTAATTACTTGCATTACCTACTTTAACATTATCGTTTAATTAAGCATTCAGTACATTCTTTTTTTTTTTGCACTCAGCAATTATAACAGAAATTGCTCAGATTTTCATTATTTAGCAAATTTTTGTTTTGTCTATATGAGCTCATATGAAATAAATTTTATTTTTAGCCACAAATTAGCCATAAAATAAGAAATGTTTATTTCAAACAACTGCTAAACTATAATGATAATCGATTTCAAAATCTAGAAAAATTTAGAAATAATTGCAGCCTAAGGGTGAAAACAATAGAAAGTAGAATATATTACTGGAAACAAAAAAATAATGAACTGCAGATTAGGAAGTATTAAAACGGAAAATCTTATTTGCCCATTTTTTTCTGGTTTTTTCTTTCCCTCAATATCTTGATGAGTGTGTGGAAAATGGAATCCAAATAGGCACGGATTTAGCGCTTACCGTTTCAGGCTAATTTCGCTGGCTATCAGTAGAGCTTTTTGCCAAGAAGCCACCGGCGGTAGAAGTAAGGGTAAACCGCAGCGTTACCCGGATTTCATATAATAATTTGGTAGAGAGAATAAGCCAAGAACATAAAAAACTCTTAAATATTATTTAATATTACCATTTAATATTATTAATATTCATTATTATGACTATATGTTATTTATAATTTATATTGTTTATTGTTATTGATTATCATTGTCATCATCAATAACGATTAACAGCATTACTATTACACTGTACTTGCAAATATTGTTATCAGAGAACTAAACATGATAGACTGTGGTGAGGGCTCGTTTCGCTTTTATCTGCTGTATTTGTCTCTCTGTATTTTTAATATTAGTGATATTTAATAATAGTGTAGATTAATTCGTCCCAATATTTTCGGGAAGATTCTTTGAATATAACAGTTGGTGAAGTTTTTTGACCTTTATGTACAAAATAATAAATTAATTTTCGAAATCAATTGAAAAAATAAATTTATTGAAAAAAATATTAGAATATACATAACATAAAATAAAAGAAAAACAAATTTTTTTCTTCATAATTTCGTAATTACCGTAACACCTCTGAGACTACTGAAGACTGCTGGTCTCAGCTACCTTCAGAAGTGCTAAGTCCACTCTAGAATATATGAAAGAAGACAAACAAGAAGTTTCAGAAGAAGTGCTTGAGCTATATGAATATGCTGCCAAAGTTCATATACAGGAAATGTTAGCCATCGGCAGTTACATAAGCTACAGTTTCGGCTAAGCGAATATAAAAATCGATACTGGAACAAATATGGCTTTGAATGCGGAGACAGCAATTCAACTATGGGAAATTATTCTACCTCATTTGCAAGACAACCGGAGGTCGAGAAATGATCATTGATATGATTCGAAAAGATCGAAATTCCCTTTAGACCATAAAGATCTCATCCGATGGCGGGAGCTCCTTCAATCTAAATGACGGACTGTCCAGAATCCTGGACATGACTAGAATATTTCGAACCGCCGTATTGTAATTGCGAACCACCAACCAAACACTAGAATCTCTGTAATTCACAGGCTCAAGTCCAATAAATCCTCGGAGAAGATAGTCTGCACAGAAGAATTGAAATCTTTAATGGTGCTCATAACACACCTGCAAATTTTAATTTTCTAGATGCAGAAGAAGGAGCAAATGCCATGTGAATGTGAAAGGCAATTTTGCTCCTAATTTCCAAAAAAATTGATCAGCGCACTGCGACAATTATCGAAGAATCAGTTTGATAGAAGTTAGATAGTCAGTTTCTAGGAAGTTTTATGCCCATCTTTTGCTGAATAAACCCATATCATTGGGTGATAATTGAAATAATCAAGCATAACCATATTTGGACCAGGACGTGGTTGTGCTGGCCAAATTCCCAGCAGCATACTGGAGCAGTGTTCGAGATATCAACAACCTACCTTTCATTTTTTTTTTTTATCAACTTCGCTGTTGCCTTTGATTTAATAACAGTGCACCGCTTTGGCAAATCATGCAACATGATGGTGTTCCAAAGATGGAGTCAATCTTCTTAACCAATCTTCAAAGCATTTTATCAGCGTATTTTACATATTTGTAAGGGAAATTAACACAACCTTTTGCAATATGTGCCGGTGTGCATCAAAACTGCATTCTCTCCCTTACAATTTTCAGCTGTGCGTTAGAATGGATTATGAATACGTCTCGTAACTAATTTACAGGTAATTCCAGCGCAAAATATGACGAACCTTGAATACACTAATAATGTTGTCCATTTCACTGACAGTTGTGAGAAATTGTGGCCGACGCTAGACAGGGTCGACAGCAGCAGTGAAAATTGTCTTTCAAATTAACATAGATAAGACGAAATTCTCTTCTTACATACACCAGTTTACAAACCAGACGCTGACAGAATTACAATTGATATACATCAATGTCACACTTTAAATATCTCGAATCCACTCTAATGGCCAGGAGAAAAATGAAATTCCAGCTTTGATGGCTGCAGTCTCTGAATCTCAAAACAAAAATTCGTATCTGGCTGTAGCGCGCAAGACCTACTATACACCTGCGAAATTTGGACAACGAGGACAGAAGATATAGAAAACTATGAGCCTTTAACCATTCTTGCTTGCGGTATATCCTAGGTATTCGCAAGTGGACAGAGTCTCGCTTGATTGCATTCATTCGTTCGAATACCATCTCCTTTAAGAACATCATCACTAAGTGTCGCGTGCGCTGGTCAAATTCTTCCTCATTCACCATAGGAACCATAGGAACTACTTGATAAACCTGTGATGGATGGTGCTAAAAGTGAGGAAAGCCAGTCAAGATCTGGATCGGTATAATCAAGGCAGATTTTGAACCGACAGATGGCCTAGCGACATACTTGGGCGATGCAACAGTATTCTCGAAGATGATTGAAAGCAATTTTACGAATGGCGTCGAATCAGGAGGAAAATCTTATCCTAATCACCACTGCAGCGAGATCAACCAGCAGTGGTGCTACTGGAAGAATAGATTTAGAACGATAAGAAGAAATTCAAATATTATCAATATTTATTTAATATTAAAAAAATATTTGGCTTCCACGTTGTTTTTAAAATTTTTCCCCATCACTTCACCTGTTTTCACTGAATTGTTTTGTCGTATTCATTGAGAATTAATTCATTTTGATAACCTAATTTAACTTTTAAAAATGAGTTGCTTTGTACCTGTTTCAACGCTGAATGTATATTAGAGTTTAAATCATTTGCATCTAACTGCGCCACCGTAGACGATGGTCTTTCGACGCCGTTAGATTGCATTTTAACAAATTAGTCTCAAAGAAGATGAATCGTTTTGCGCAACCAGTTTCTCTATCAATCTGAATGAATGTCACCGTGCAATGAAACAATAAACAAAAAATTAGAAGAATCTAATTTCCAAAAGAGCATCTTTTACAGAATTTTATCTCCATTTTTTAAATTTGCGTTTGATCGAAAATTTGCTTTTCTAAATTATGCAAATTAATTGTTGTAAGATAAAATAGCTTTTATAACGAAATCTCGAAAAAGATGCAAATTTAGTTAGCTATATTTCACGAAGCAACTCAATAGAGCTTTAAAATTTGTAAAATCATAAATTACGCAAATAAATTTTATACAACGGTCTTCGGAAATTTTCGGTATAGCAAGAATGCAGCCAAAAATTCAATCAGCCAACCAATACTTCAAGGGTTAAATGGCAATCTACTTTTTGATTACAACCACAATTCTACCAGGTGAAACCTACGAAACTTTCTTCATAACGATCAGAGTGAGTGGCAAAGTGCATATTATCATTTTAAAGCTTCATGATTCGGCCACTGGTCTTGTAAGGAGCAATCATCACATTAAAAAATCATTTTGCTTTTTCATTTTCCCAGGCGACTGGCAAAGTTGCAATAGCCGATGGAGCGAGGCCAACCAAAACTGCATTGCTAACTTACTTTGTCTTCTTCATTACTCCAATTCTATTCTCATTTTATGGTAAAACTTTCTCAAATCACCTGAAGAGAAGTCTATAGAAAACTTGAACACAAAAGCGAAAAATTATTACTTAGAAAAAGCACCTTTGTTATCGAAATGAATTCATTGATTGGTACGATGAATCAGAAATTCTATATTATATTTTAAATACGAAATCGATTCGACAAACAAAATTTAGCGTATGGCCAGCGAATTCCGCAATATAGTAATATTATTGTTGATTTATGAAGTGAAACTGTACGACAGTGTATGCAGCAATCAGTGCTGAGATGCAGTGTTGTTATTAAAAATTTAAGAGACTAAGCCACTTTGGTTTACCGATATATTCATTCATATCGTAACATTAGCATTAACAAAACTTTAAGAAAGCTGATCAAAATACAAGAAAGTAAGATGTTTACAAGATTAAGAAAATTGGGAGATTAAGAAGGTTAAAAGAAGAGGGGATGACAAAGGAACTTCAATGTTGCTTCAGCACACGACAAAGGAAAATGCATCATATCCAATTAATCGAGAGGTTTTTTCAAGTTTTTTCCATCGATCACTCGAAAGTATGAAAGAACCTAGTTTTTTCCATCTGCCACAATAATTTGTCTAACCTAATCGAACACATTTCAAATATATAAGTGTTTGCGAAAATGGCGAGGCTTGAAATTAACAAGACTTAAAGAAGAACGTACAAACTTGTCAAATAAATTGCCACCTAATTTGCAAACAACTATGGTTTGTTGTGCATTCATCTACAAATTACGTAGATCCCTTTATGGCATTGATCAATTTGGTCATTAAAAATAAAGACCGGATGATGGTTGGGAGCCAGCTGTATTTTTATCCTCAAATGACATTTCACCTTAACCTTAACAGTGAGTGAAAAGCATCCGGTGAATTTAACTGCTTGAAACTTTTAACGCACTTTTGGTGGACGACTTGTCATTGAAGTATTGAAAGAGACGAAAAATGCTTAATGGTATTTTCAAATTGAGCTCGATTAGCCAATTTCATCGTCATTAATTTTAAAATTGTTTGTTGGAAGGAGTCACAGCAATTCCTTAACTTTCCGTTGTGTTTCATCCGATAGCCAGAAATTCGTCTCCTGACATTCGTACTCTGGCAGACTTTTCGGACAATTGGATAGTTACTATCGATACCCAATTAACCCATTTCCTACTATATATCCTAATATGGAAGTGGCTGACTTTCGGAAACATCGTCATTCACAAAAAGTATTTCAATCAATTCCACTCAATTTAACTGATATTTTTAACGAAATGTGAAGTGTATGGATTAATGGAATGTCGTTAATTTATTATAGTTAATCGCCGATGAAAATCTCGGTTTATTAAATAGATAATTTGTTGATTAACGCGTAGTATCTTTTATCTAGATCTTATACCGACACTAATACCCATTTGTTTAACTGCCAAATCTTTAGTCATGAAAATCAGTCATGAAAAATTTCACCATCGCATTCATACTAAAATATTAGCAATGTTCAACGGCATATCAATTATTGACAATGGCAAATCGCCTTTGTGGGTCATAATTCAGCCGTACAGCCTTTATCTACAGCGAAGATTCATTTTAAATGGGGCACTTTCGAATATGATGAAAAATTTTACCTTGCAAAACGCCATCAAACATCGCTCAAAATGGCGCCTTCTTTATCTATCGTTGAAAAATTTCTTATTTCCAAATTTCAACATTTTCATTAAACCTCATTCTACAAAAAATCACATTTTGCTCGCGCATAGTTATCAGTTTAGTGCATAAAGCTATATAACTGCCGGTGGTTCACTTTAGATTAATAGTTTCTCCTGTAAGATTAAATACTAGCCAGATCTTGGGAAAATTTTAAAATATTCAATTCGAATATCAACCTGATTTTTCAAAAATTTTTCTGCAGCTATAAGAGTTCAACAATGTTGTTACTTAAAGCGAAGCTAAGATTCTTAAATTCTTGCTTTTTTTAAAAAAGATGATTGGATGAATAACAAAAGAGGAAAATATTAGTCCACTAGATCAGCAATGTACGTTGAAATGATCTAGTGTTAAAAAGATTCTTTATTGCACAACAAGGAATGATAATAGATAGCAAGATATGAGGAAATGAAAAAGGATTTATTACAGGAAAGATATGAATAACAATGAAACGATTAATGGAAGAAAAAAATTGGTAAGGAAATAACCGAATGGCATATTACCATATAATTCTTGCAAATTATTTTAGCAACAATAATAGAAATGAATAATAATGAAATAAAGATCAAAGAGAATCGTTTGTTCCAACAAATATGCATAATTAAACGCCAAAAAAATTTACAGATAGAAAAGAATAAATTGAAGGTAGAAAACCCGACTTTGAAGGTAGAAGAAGTGGTAATTGCATAGATAATGGACAATTTTAATGGACACGATATTGCACAGTGATATTTCGTGATATTCCGTGATATTTTTAGCATTGGAAAGGAGGTTGCGAGTTAATACATAAGAAGCCTACAAGCCAGTTCTTTTTGGTCAAAAAACAGTCAGGTTATTGGATTAACATGAATATGAACCAAGTTATTATCGCCGAGTTCCATCTTCAAAAAACACCCCGCCATCTATAGCACAGTATTTCGGACAAATACCTTTCTCACCTGGAGCACCAGGAGGACCAGGTGGCCCAGGGGGACCGGGTTGACCATCAAGTCCAGGAGGACCATCGGGCCCAGGTGCTCCCTTGGGTCCAGCTGGTCCTGGTGTACCGTCTGCTCCCGGTGCTCCTGGAGGACCGGGAGGTCCGGGCGGCCCTGGATCACCTGGCTCTCCTGGTTCTCCTGGTGTAGGTGGTTCACTTTGTGCTGGTGTACCTGGTTCTCCGGGTGGTCCTGGTGGTCCGGGCTCTCCAGGTGGGCCTGGTGGACCCCGTGGCCCTGGACTACCAGGGCTAGCGTCGATCCCTGGTCTTCCAGGAGTTCCTGCCTCTCCAGGGTCTCCGGGTGCGCCAGGAGGTCCTGGTGGGCCTGGTGGACCTGAAAGAAAGATTTGTTAGCACTGAATCAGCTGTTCATTTTTTTCATTCAACAGAAAATATTGCAAAAAAATTCTTAATAAGCTTACCTTGTGGGCATGGTTTGCATGGCGGAGGCGTGGCTGCTTCACATGGTGCCGTTGGTGGCTTGCCAGGTCGCCCTGGTGTACCGGGGGCACCAGGCTTGCCATGCTTGCCTGGCCTACCTGGTACTCCCGGTGGGCCAGGTGGTCCAGGAAGGCAACAATCTTCGCACTGCAGATTGACTGACGGATTGATTTCTGGCCCATTAGGCGCATATCCAGATTGACGAGCAGTTCTATTTGTTTTGTTATCCATTGGATTATTCTTCAAATAAGTTAATTCGGTGTAGATATCTTGTGCTGAGCCCTGTAATCGAAATCAATTTTTACCTGTTTATGATCAAATATTTAAAAATTTTTAGTATATTCACATTAATGAAGTGAAAACGAAATGGGATAATGGTATTTGTTGGTTGAATTATCTAATACATGAACAATAAATGCTTTTGTAAGTACAGCTTATTTATAAATTGTATGGAAATTTCGTTATTAATAAAATCCGAATAGGCAGTAAAACTTTCGTGGATGTCTTAAATACGTCGAGCACATCCTTTCTGCAGAATTATGAACAATGATGAGATTCGCGAAGTTATCGAGAATAAGCAAACATGGCACCAGAAAAGTGTAAGGGGAATAGGATATGAACATGGATATGAAATAATCACGCGAAACCTAATTCCATTTTCACGCAATTCCAATATACTTCAAATTGACTAGAATAGAGCAAAACGTTTAAATTTCCTATGAAATATGCCTTAAATAAATAATGTTTGGCAAATCGCTTTATTTCACGAAATGATGCAAATATCGTTAAGAGAGGCGAATTATCTGAGAAATTGTCGAATTGCAGAATAGGCTAAATGAATAGCGCTATTTCATCAGTTCTACTAATCCGATAAATAAAAAAAATAGCATTAAGACAAAAGTCTTTCAATAACAGTCTCAGAAGTCTTTGTCTGTCATAGTATAAGTAATGATTTCTTAAAATTTCTATCTAGCCGAGAGGATTTGTTGAAGAATTAAAAAACAGTAAATATAATAGTTTTTTCTAAAAGTTTTTCCTTTATGCAGTTTTCTTTCAATAATTTTAGTAATAACTTTATTGACCAAAATATTTATAGTTTTTTTAAAATTTCCGAAAAGAAAGAAGAAAAATAGTTAATAGTCGGTAATCCATGTGAATGTAAATGTGAAAGGTAAGATAAAATACAAAATTTAGAAAATATATGGAATACGATCATAGATGGAATAAACGGTCTAAGATCACTTCAGGTTTCTCGATAGTCGACTAATAACGCGTTTTCATTACGTAAAATTTCACTGAGAAGATGTAAGAACCTATATGAGAAGAAGGATCGTTTTGGACCGCTTGAAAAAAGCTGCTGATTGAATGGAAATTTTTTAGATAAATTTATGAGAACTTTTATGTTATACAGTATAAGTATGAGAAGAACAAATTTTAATTTTCTAGTGGATTTAAATAAAGAATTAATTAAGCAAACTGACTTTACAAAAGTTAATCTCATGGTGCATTTGTCGTCTTACATGTCCAACATAATTGTATACCATGGGTAATGTGACAACAACAGAGAGTACTGCGACAATTGAGAAGGTTACAGCTGAATAAGCGACAAATTTATACGCTTTTATGCGACCGTCCGATTCCATGACTACTAATGGAGTCAAAATGATTTTTAGGTGCAAGAGATACTAATCTAAGTAAGATAGTTTGATTAGGTCAATAGGCTCTTGCAAGATGGACTCGACAGAATAAAGTAGGATGAACAAGAACCCAAGTCGAGTTTTAACCAAGACTGTTATCCTAATTTAAAATCTAACGAAGATTAATACCCTTTATATAGTGGGTGATAATACAGCGACCCACATCTTAACAAATATGTAACATCAGAAGGCCGATTGAGGAAACGATCTAGGTCATTCCCTAATTTATTTTAGGAGCTAAAGAATGAAAGAGAGAAAGAGAAAGAACGACTAATTTTTAAAATTGTCTTTTCCAGAGTTTCCCTGCCATCATCATTTCATACTGATTTACTGTTTTCTACCTATAATCAATCTCTTTTATACTTTTTCTTACTTTATAGCCAAAATTTCCTCCTTTTGAATAACGTTTTCAATCAATGAATTTCATCTAATTTAGAGAAATTTCCGCGATTTTTTTTCCATAATTTTGAGTGAAATTTTTGTAATGACAAATTTTTTAAGTGAAATTTAATTAAATTACATGGTGGCTCGTGTGTTATTTTCTTTTATAATGGACCATCGAAAATATTGCGATTTCTAATAAAAAATATTTTTTATGCACGCATCCTAACTTTTCAAATTTTTTAACGATTTCACTGATTTTTCATGATTTTTCCCATCATTCATATTTTCGCTGCAAGCGCTGCGATTTGTGTGAAACGATCTGAAGAACCCACGACTATCGATATATCTCGCTATGTAAAAGTGCATTTTGAAAATCCTATGCTGTTCCTTCTGAAAGATCTGTGATAAGATAAGCCTTTCTATTTTCATAATGTGTGGAACTAAATTATGCTCGCTACTGTAATTTTTTAACAATTTCTACAATTTTCATTTCTTTTCTTTTCACCACTTATCACAATTATGAATTAGTCCCATTGATAAGCTAATATTAGATATGGCCATTTATATCAATTCCTAATATAATCATGTCTGATGAGCTTTTATTGAATTATTTTTTAATCCAAAAATTATTCACACGCTGAAAAATAAATAAGATTCTTTTCTTTTAATTAAGAAAATTCTTTTTCCAAAACACTTAAACATGCTATTTGTTGAATTATTATTAAAAGTATTAAAAATATCGCAAGGATTCTCTTTGATTCGCATTAAAGCCATTTAAAGCCATTGCTGCTTTTCTTTGCGTTTAATTTTTTAATTTTACTTTCTAATTAAAATATGTGCATTGTGGGCATCAAATCACGGATTTCACTTAACAGATGAATGCAGAAATTACGGTTTGAATGAATGGTAGAATATCTTTTTCGAAATTACTTTTATTTTTTATTCGATAATTGCTCGACAAATCTTTTAAACAAATCTTTTAAAATTTAAAATCTTTTAAATTTCTCCGATCATCTTAGGTACGAAGATTTTAATATTTTGGCAGTTTAGAGGTATGCCCCATTCTTTTTTCTTTGAATTTGACTGTTCTTAATTTAATTTTTGAAATGACATCTAACAGAGGCGAAAAGATTTCAAGATCTAATGAATAAAAAATACATCAAAAAGGATAAAATTAAACTACAAAAGTAATATTAAATTTTAGAAAAAAATAAAAAATTTCGATAATCTAATAAAAAATTGAATCTGCAAAATTAGTTGGTGTTCAGTTCATATTATTTCTTTGCAATGCTGGTGGTCCATATCTGTACTTCTTTCCTCAAATGAATTTTTCGAGAACTCATCCCAAAGCAGAAATTGCGAGTACTACGAAAAATTCATTTCGTTATAGAAAGAAGTGCATATATGAGTAAGGAAATACAGAAAACTTTGGAACACTTTTCTTCTATTCATATTTTCCTTTTAAACAAGATTGTTCTCTAAGCAAATCATCTTTTTCTTTCAGATGATCATGAAATTCCAAATCATTTAAAAATTCATTATCAGTCAATCATTCACAATCAGATTTAGAGAATTTTTTAGAAATATTCGAGAAACCACCATCAAAGTTCGACAAATTTTCCAAAAAAATAGATTAATTTTACGAAGGAAAAAACTGCCTCGAAACTATAAAATCAGTTAATCAATACAAAAGAAATAAAATTTGTTAAAAGAAAAATTTTAAAACTGAATTTGATTGATTTGTGGAAGAAAATTTATGATTAAAGTTATTATTTGAGACATTTTCGAAATTTCATCGATCTGCATTGACAATTTACATCGAATGATACTTGAAACAAACAGACAAAATTTTCTATACAAGGAAATTCTGAGAAAACCTGTGTGTTTATATGCAAGCTATTTGAATAAATTCCTTAGTTGCATCAATTTTTTTTATAGTTATATGATGAAAACTGTGAGCTGTAAACTTTCCTAGGATATAATCATATGGTAATCATATTATAACTTCACTATTCTTTATATATATATATATATATATATATATATATGTATATATTTACTGTAAAGATCTCATAGTTTGAGATTTAGAGTTAAAGAAGTAAGAAAATTGTAGCAATCTTTGATAAGATAATATATTTAACAATTAACAATTATTACAATTTTTAAGAAAACAATTTTTACTATTGAATATATTTTATTTAAATTTGATGAATATTGAGTAAAGATTGAATCCGAAGAGGAGTAATAATGGATTTGCGAGCGAAAATGTTGCGAGTCGAGGATCGTTTCAGAATTTTCATACGGTACTAATTAATGGAAGTGATGAATCGAATTTCTTGTAGTTTAGAGATATACGAATTTTCAATTTAAAATTTAAGATTTCAAAACAATTATTTCTAAATTTCGGAAGAACAGCGGAGTGGTTGTCCCTCAGATCACCGTCTCGTCACTGGTTCGGACCCAGTCTTCGACAGATAAAAATATATTTATGTCTCCATATCACCTCTACCAAAAATTTCTCATTTTAGCCAGTGCAGAGAACTTCAGAAATGCTAAGGAATGGCGAACTTATTTTTTTGGAAAATACTGTAGGAAAAAATGAGTGCACCACTTCACCTAAATTCATTTTCTCCAAAAGCAAAAAGCTCGGGCGTTTACAACTTTTGTAATTTCTTGGAACCGTTATAAATGAAAACAATATTTCATATCGCGTTTTGTTCAAAATCCGCCTTATCATCAAATTTTACTTTTAATTCCACCACATAGGTTTAGAAAACAAGAGAAATTTTTATTACCCGTCAAATAACTATTTAAACATAAAATTGACCGTAAAATCGAGAAAATTCTTAATAAATGATACTCGGAATAAAACGATTCTTGTTTGGTGACGTCATCGATACCTTTCAAGTTAGAAAACCGTTCGAATCGCTATCTACCGTTCATTTCTATTGTCCGGCTAAAACTGTTAATATAGGTGAATGGTGACAACCGAAGAACACCTGGATGGAAGTAGGTAATTAAAATTAATGGCAATGGTATATTAATGACTTGAGAATAATTTATTTGTGGTTTATTATCGCTAATTTCAATTTCTAATATACTCATCATATATTTAATATTTTTTTTTGATACAACAGCTGATTCAACACTACTAGTTTCACGTTCTTCTTTGTTTCCTTTTTTAAAATCCCTTTCAATTTTTCCACCATGAAATGAATCTGCAATTATCGAATATTATTCAAGAGGTTCCTCTTCTTTTTATAACAAACTCTTTCGCAGTCCTATGCGACCTACTAACTCTTTTCTGAAATCTGTGGATTCCTCCAAAAAATCCGTAGAATAAAATATATAGCTGAACATTACAAAAATATTTATGGTTTTTGTTATTGACAAAGTTAAAATTCAAAGACTGACCAGAATGGAGATGCAAATAAATTTTTAAAGTTCGTAGATTTCAGGTTAAGAATAGCTGACGCAAATTAAACATTATAAGATGCATTAAATTTTTAAGACTTTTTTTTTTCAATCTATAAATTAATTGCTCTTCATATAATGTAAATTGGTCTGATATGCCAATATTATAAATTAATTATAAAGTGAAGCAGCAGAAAAAGTAGCATTAAAAAATGGAAATAAAAGGATAGTTGCTAAAATTTTTTAAATTTGAAAAATTGATAAAAAATTTGCAATTGCAAAAACTGCATAAAAAATAAATATTTCCCATAAAACATAAAAGTAAAAATTAAAAATATTTTATAATAAAAATTGTGCCATTATTTTAGTAATTAATATATTTGAGCCAAAGTTGCTGCGAAAATGAATAAATTGCAAAAAAAGGAAGAAAAAGTATTTGAGTGGGAAAGCCAATTTCAGATCCATAAACTCAAAATTATTATATTAAACGTATAAGAAAAAATTATGAAAGAAATTAGACAATAGACTTTTGGACGCTTTATGGATACTTTAAAACAATAAACAATGTAGCAATAAAGATTATTGTGGACATCACAAGCCAAACAATATGAACCTCTAAACCTCAGTTTCATCATTAAACGACCTTTACAAAAGGTACCACACTTCCTACCTTACTTAGAAAGGGGGTACAAATTTACTAGATCAGTTTTTTTTCGTTACTACGCCACGTCTATGAAATATTTTTTCCAAGCAAACTTTTATTTCAGAATTAACATTCCCTCTTAATCAGTTGTTTAACAATAGAAATCGAAAAAAATTCAGCTAAATGTACCCAAAATGAACTTCCTTCGTATTAATTTGTTGACAGTGACCTGTGACCTGTGCACATCGCGTTTTAAAGAGATTTTTCCGTTTTGCGAAAAACCCAAATATTTTTATCTTAAAATAGAACGAAGTGGGAGGACAACCAATTTATGTACGAACATTGAATAATTAAATGGCGAGGCAGAGCGTTAGGATAAGTTATTCAAACACAATGACTGCGATCAAAAAAAATTTCCTACTTTTTGGCTAAAATAAAGGAATTATAGCAAATAACGTTGCATTTAGTTGTACTTATTGTAATCATTTTCAATTTACGGCACAAAACTGGATGTAAACTGGATGCCGTTTCAAATGCCATTTTTCACCTCGAATATAAAATAAAATGAAAAAAAGTAAAACAATGATAAAACGTGAGAACACAGCGATTTGCAATTTCTGGGCACTAATTACGAAAAAAAATTTTGTTTGATAAGTGCTATAAATTATTTATGAGGCGACGCTTTTTTTGCCGAAAACTAAAGCCGCGAAAAATTTTGCTGGTTTTGTCCACCACAGCCATGAGGAAAATAAAATTATTGTAATTAAGTTTAAAATTATATCCACATTTTTCAGTGTAAATTTTATGCCCACTTCATTAATTTGACAACGATGGATATAAACTGGTAACTGAAATGGAATGTCTCCTCAGAGTCCGTGAAGACTTCAAAGTTGCTACCTCTGCCTTTGCTTAATTTTATACATTGTACTTTCGCAACCACAAAATGCAATAGAGCATATTTCATAGATTTATTCCATAAAAAAAAGTAAAGTATTGCATATAGAAGTCTGCCAAGATTTTTTATATAATATAGCTTTTTAGCAAGTGCAAACAATAGTGTTTCTGAACATGGTATTAAGAAGACTTTTAAACTATTGAATTTGGTGCTTCGACCGTTTAAAATCAGAACGATAGCCACCATGTTAAATTATATAAAGTTTCAGCTATTTTCTTCCTGTTGGAATATAAAAAAACTATTACTTTATGAATTATTGCATCTATTTGTCGAGCCACATTTATGCGATTTTGAATGAAACACCATTTTTTTTTCCATTTTGGTTTTATAAGTAGATTTTGAACCACTCAAAAAATATCTTTCCATTTTAATTAGAGACAATTTTGGTTTCCAAGTCTTATGTATATTATAGCATTTACGTTGATAAATGAATTCAACGGTTCATCCGATAAATATTTAAATTTCCACAACTCTTCAAAAATGACTGAAAATAATGAACATGGTAGCCTAGTGCAGCAATAAAAAATTTCTGGATTTTCCTTCTTGTTGCGAGATTTCCTTTTCACCGTCTGTGTCGTTTTTTCCAGCCTTACAACAGGGGTCATCTTACTCCTGTTCATGAACGGCGTTCAAGACTTGATCCCACAAATATCCAAATTCTCTCAAAAATAACATAAATGATAAACAATGGGAATGGGCCAGCGTCATCTCCCAATATTTGAATCATTGAATTTCAGACCTATCTGTTCTTAGATTTCATGGGAACGATTCCACTGATAGTAAACTATAGTTGAGTCGTTCTGACCTGATCCGAGTACAAGTACTGTGGTTCCATGTATTTCGAAATTTTAAATATTCGTTGCAGATTGAGATCCTGTATCAATAATTTTTTTATTAACTGACATGAACATTCTTATATTCATCTATATTCAATTCCAGTACCCTTTAGATGTCCGTAAGACTATAATGATTATTCTGCTTTCTGAATTTTAACGTTCTCCACGTAGATATTTCGTAATAAATTTTTCGTATATAAGTCTCGAAACCGAAAAATTAGGGAGGGAGGATCATAGAAGTGGGCAGCAACAGACCATCATAGCAATTAATATAATATCAGTTAATATAACTTAAACTCGAATAAAAAGATGGAAGGTACCTTCTCTGAAGAATGTATAGAACCTTTCGATAACTGATTTATAATGCAACAGAGAATAAATCACTGCATTAAAGATACTCATTTTCCACTTATTTATTATCGCGCGAAATGCAAGATTCATGAAGATTTTTCACTTTTATTGGCCATGAAAGACCTCGACCGACAATAAATTGTTGTTTTATTGATTTGAAAGCATTCATTAATAAATCTGCACCATTTGTCACTCGACATATAGTTTCAATGGAATATGGATCATTTATCCATAAAATATTCCGAAATTCATCGCAATCAGACCTGTAAAAAAAAGATTGCTGAGCAAAACCATAAAGCGAAGGTAATATAAGTATTAAAGTGTCTGGTAATTTTCCATCTATTAAATTATGACCGAAAAGAATATTAAACTACTGTAAAGAATAAAAAAATATTAACAAAGAAGGAAAAAAATTCATTTTCCCGTTCGGTGAAAGTGAAAGAAAAAAATAAATAAGAGGCAACAGATATCCTGAAATTCTGGAAACTTAGACCACAATCTTCAGCAGTAATAGGCGAACCATACCTAGAGATGCAATTACCAGTTTTCACTGATAAAGATATAGAATTTAAATCAATTGACGAAAAATAATCAATAAAGCTAATCAGCAGCTCCGGGAATTCAGGATAGACTCCAATTTTCTGCAATGCTGGCCTTTCATACCTCTGAAAAATTTCAGATAAAAAGGTTGGCTTAATGAACGTGAGAAATCAATGCTACACAGTTTACATATCATGCAATTCATGATTATTACAGTAAGTTAAGAAGTGAGTTTTATATAGTTGCCTAAAATTGTTTGAAATTTGGTTCTGAATGGATTGAAGCGTTTCACGCTAAAATTTAAAAAAAATTTAAATTAACATTGAAGTACAAAAAAAAGATTAAATTAAGTGTTCAAACCCACACCATTTCATTCAATTAAGCTAAATGTCTTTAAACGTTCAAGTTTCATCATTTTTTGTTTAAAAATCGCTGGCAAACATTTTGGCCATATTCAATATATATTTGTAAAAATTTTTCATGCAACATAATTATTAATAAAATTCAAAAAAAACATGAATAAGAACTAAAATGATACCTGAATATTATCAATTTCAGCTATGATATTCTCAATGGGAATTAGATTATTGAGATGATCGTTATAAACATCATATACTAATGGAAGAATAGGATTTTTCTGACCAATGCCGATATGCTAAAAACATACTGAGTAACAAACTATATATTAAGTACTAATTTAACGTTTACCACTTTAAAATTACTTCATTAATTTTATTTTGCTTACTGCTTCATGCAATAATGAATTTTAAAATGATAAAAATCTCACATATCAAGTCGACAATCGAATTATTTATAAGGTTTTCGTTTTTCAATAAAAATAAAGAGAAAGTGCATCACGAAAACGAAAAATATAATATTCTTAAAAAATGATTTAATCATTTTTCTGCTCCGAACAAATGTATTACTTTGCATCTAGCTATATTCATGTGAAACCTTCTATAATACATTTAAAATAGCCAAGAAAAAAGCGATCCTTAATATAAAATTAACAAACTTGCAGAAAATAAATAACGATCATAGCAATATGGTAACTGGAGAATAATCCAATTCTACTATTTTTCAATCCCATAAGCTTCAAGAAACTTTGCGCCCATAAATTGAGCATTTCAACTCGAAGATCTTCCTGAAATTTGCGATAATTAATCAAACCTTGATACATAATAATGTACTGCGAAAAGGAATTTTTGAAGATAATTAAATTCAAAGAATCTCACGGCACAGTCATCGAGCTTTTTTTGATAACTATTGGAAGATATCCTGCATAGTTTTCGGATATTTAGCAATCTCATTTGCTCAAGAGATGAGTCTGATATTGCTAGAGGCATTTTACCAAAAACAATGTTAAAAGACGTTGGACATTCTGGAGGACCAAGTTAGAAGTAGAATAATTCGATTAAATATCGTCCAACTGTATAAACATGGAAATTCCAAAGAAAAAGGAATTAATGAAAAAGAACGAATAAATTTACCTTGACACAATATCGAAGGAAAAGTGTATTTCTTATAGAACATTCTTGATCGAATTGAATATCAATACGAAAACCAGAATTAGTTTCTAAATGCAAGATAGGTACAGAAGCGTTATGCAGTACAAGAGCTTTTTTCCAATCAAATTCTCGTTTTAAAGAAGAAGACTGAAGCACTTTAAGAGTGCTTTGCAAATACATCCTATAAAACAAACATTACTGCGCTGCACCAAAAATAAAATTGGTAATAATGAAACTAAAAATAATCATTAAAAATCAATTTAGAAATGGTCTATAAAAGAGAACTATAATTTGCACTAAAATATTTATATATGCATAAAATTTTTTAAAAGCTCTCATCATTACTGGTTAAACTTGCTCCATTGCCTTGTCGCATTGGGCAATATATCCCTCGACGATAGAAATACAGGTGTCACCAGCATCACCTGGATTTTTGTACAGGCTTATTCCTGCGGGGAATCGAACCTCAATATCCCAATTTAACAACAATCCACTGAGCCATTCTATCCCTTATATGCCTAATACAATCAAATTTAATCAGTAAATTGGTCAACGAAATGATTAGAAGCTAAAATAATTTATTAAAATTCCACATCGAATGCCCGACTTAGACCTAAGCCAAAAAACATCTGAAACCCATGTTTTTCAACTATTTTGCTTCTCAACTTTTGAATTAAATGCTCTTGTACAGCAAGCACATGACGATTAAATTATATACTCAACTGATCTGCAGTTCATCAAGATATTTAAGAAAAAGGGAAACCTTCTAAAAGAAGCGTCAACGAACGATTTGATAATATCTATTCTTTTGATAGGATCTGAAGAAGTTATAAGAACCAAATCAATATCAGATGCTTTAGTGGCCAAACCAGTTCTTGAAGATCCTACAGGCACCAAAATTCGTTGTCCTGTACCCGATAATACATCCTTCAGACGTTGAATTATTCCATTACGTTTGTCGTTGTACTGAATTTCTCTTTTTTTTTTCATTTTTCATTCTCCCAATATAATTATTCCTTTGTCAAACCATTTTTTAAATGAAATTTAACAGTAAAAAATGTTTAACATGTTTAATATGTAAAAATACTTTTAAAAAAAATGAAAGAAGGGGCACTAATACTTCGCTTACAGCTAAAATTTACATTTTTATTTGTTTTTTCTTAAAACATTTTTCTTTTTTTTATTTTTGTCACATAATTTTTAAACGTTGTTCTCAAAATTTTTATAAATTTTATATTTATCTTTTTTTTCATTTCTATTCACTTATTTGTATCTTTTTTTTTATAATTTTGTTTCATTAACAAATTTATGGCAAAAAAGTTCTTTCGCATTGTCTGATGTGGCATCGTAAACAAAGTATACTCCTCTCCATCAATCCAACAATAATTTGGTTCCCCTCCCTATCTTCCATCATCCTTCCACTACTTCCACAATCTTTTCTTATGATCGCTGCATCAACAGAATAGATGAACTTTCATACTCGACAATGCGAATGTATCAAAATGACAATAAAAACTGCTGGCAAAAATTTTCAATAACCAACTGACTTTATAAATTCAAAAAATTATGAAATTACCAAAATTATAGAACACAAAATTATAAATTATAAAATATAAAAGATTTAAGAAACTAAAAGACCTTATGAAATTCCTCATGGATTCGATTAATATCGTTCACCATCAGGCGACTTAAATTCGACAAATTAGCGAAATATTTTATTAGCACAAATTCTTTAAAATCCTTTTCCATATAATTTTTCATTGCATCATTTTCTTCTTTAGAAATTTTCTTTCTCATATACAATTTCCAATTTTTTATTGCTTGTTTCTGTTCGCTCTGCCCATGTTTCTGCGATAAAAAGCGGCAAAAAATCCAATTTATTTTCGCTCTATTTAGCATAAACCTGAAATGAATATTATACTTGCGTAGTATTAATTACAAAAATAAATCTTGCTGTTATGTTCATTCAGTATATATGAGTTTCGCCTTCAAAGAGTACCCAACATGGTTTTCCAGGCTACACTTAAGTACCATCCCAACCCCGTATAAATATGAAGTTACAAAATTTAGATTAAAGGATACGTCTAAAACTACGTAAAATCTTACCCACCGAAGCTTAATTTCAATCCACTTAACACGAAATCTATTTTCTAGCTGCACGACATAAAACTCCTTCCACCAACTTGCAATGGAACAAAAATAGAATAAAATTCAAATGAAAGGGAATTAAAGAGTACTAAAAGTCAGAAAGAAATGTTGCGTTAACAGATTACAGTTTAAAAATTTGGTAGGCGAGAAGTGGGCGACACTTTCTTTTAGTATATATCTATCTCACCATGACAATTACGCGCTGGAAGATTCATGCGTTTGAATGCAGAATAAGACTATTTAGGTACCATGCGCATTTCATTCTCATTTGGCTTTCATTGATTAGCTTGAAGGAGCACAGCCAACTTCGCATTACCAGTAGTTAGTAGGTTCATAACTGCGAGGAAGTGTTTTGTCCATTAATGCAAAATTTTCATATGCTCAAGCTGTCGATGAATTTATTCCGAATCCGCCCGTACTTATCCGCTCCAACGTGTTTTTTAAACAGTGGAACCAACCCAGCCAGGAATGATGTGTGATGTCAGAAGAATGAAGAATTCACAAAAAATAATCAAAACAATCCATCATTGTTATACAATATTGCTCTTATTTATAATCAATTTTTCTTTTATCATTAATTGATTTTATTGTTAAATTTATCAATATCGACTGTTAATTTGTTATAAAATAAATATTTTTAAAAATTATTTTTAAAAATATTTTTCAATTATTTTAAATGAATTCTAGCGAAAAATTTGATTAATAAAATAAGCTTTTATTTCTTCAAATTGTTTACATATTTTAGTAAGAAATATGCAAATATTTGTTGAAGGCATCGAAATCATCACACTGGGACACTGTGACAATTTCAGCGGGGAAAGGCGCAAACGGAATGATTGCCTCGTTTTCTCGTTTTTTAAAGACAATCTAGATTTCACTAGAATTTTGCTCATTAAGCTAAAATTTATCATAGTAAACATTAATCTATTTACTTTTTTGATATTCGATACGAAAGGAGAATCACAATTTGCTGAGGAAATAGCGTGGCTAAGAAGAATAAGTTGGCAAATGAGAAAATGGTACCGCGGTAATATGAAACAACGTTTCGTCTCGTTCTATGCGACCATATAATGGAAGCAATGAAATGCGATCTTTAAAGCAATGACGATTTTCGCGCATATTTCATGGCAATTTGATAAATTTCAACTTCTTTTTTTATGTTCTAATAATTGTAAACAATAATACTTTAGTGGTCTTTCGTGAATGATAGCAAAAAATATTAAATGTTTTCTTTTTCTTTCATGTAAAATCATCTCGAAGTTTTTCCATGAGTGGGGCAGTGAGTCGGCGGCGAACGGCTGCCCAGATCAACCGTTGTGAGTTCGGTTTCTCTTCACTGAGAGCTGTGAACGTTGTTGCTTGTTCAACGCGATTGGATTCGCTTCTTAAAGTGACGACAAATGGAGTGTTTTATTGTGAAAAAATTATTGGAAAGCATCACTTGAAAAGAAATTCGCGTGCTTTTAGAAAGCCGTTTTCCGCTCAAACTCAAATGATTCTCGCGCTCTTCCGCTAAAGCTTATACAATTCAGCCAAATTGAACGTTTGCTGGTCGAAACAGCGAAATTTTATGGACAAAAATGTAGAATTGAGCGAAATGAAGCAAATTTAATGGCGAGTGGAATTCTATTTTTCCTCGCGTTAAGCAACTGCGTTAGCGTTTGCGATTTTTTCGTTATTATTGATCACTTGTTTTGCAATTTAAATTATTTTTATATGAAATATTTGAATATATCCTTTAAAAATTTTGTTATACTTTAAACTATTTTTTTCAATTTCTTCTTTTTTTTGTTTTTATTTATTCTTATTTATTTGTTCGCTTTAAATAAATAATTGCGGCTCGCAGTTCTATTGCTTTTTCCTTTCAGTATCTAACATAATTGCCGATTTTGCAAGCTTCACTCACCACGCGGTGCAAGCTTATCGCTTGCTAGTGATCTATTCAATGTGAGGGTGAATCCATAGCAACCATTCAGTTTTCGCTTTCCATGAGAGGTTTAGCCCCGTCAAGCAGTTACAGTCGAAACTGTTCTGCTTACCATTGTGTCGAAGCAGTATACCACTTAGTTGTTGCTAGCAATTATAGAAATCCTCGTTTTCGCTGTATTATAAAGCCTATCGTTTTCACAGTTTCGGCGTTATTATTAATCGCTTATATAGAAAACATATACTTTTTGATTTCTTCCCCATTTATTTACTACTTAGTTCCACGAACCTAATGGAACCTTCTTTCATATATAAGTGAAATTTTAAAGAGAAAAACCATTCGGAAATAGTTCTTTTTATTTTTTTTAAATTCTTTTTTTCTAATTTCGTATTGTTTTAATTTTTAATACAACTTATGGCTTTGCTTTGATTTATTAAATATATAAAAGCATATAAAGAAAAACCAAAAAACATTTAATGCAATACTTGTTAAGATTATTTAACTGATAAGAAATATTATTTATCACTTGCAATTTTCATTATTTTGAGTTTCACATTTCTTTTGTCATTTTTCAGACTAAATTTGCATCACAAAGACCTAAAAAATTTACTGAAAATCGCCGGAATATCGCATAGAAAGTTTACTTTTCATTGTTCACATACTAATTTTCACCATTTTTTTAAGTTTATTTGAGAATTTTAATAATTTCCTTTTGCAGGAAAATAATAAATAATATTTCACTTTTTAATTGGTAAGCGTTCAGGCAGCAATCTCGAAACATCATTATGGTAACGCTTTACTTTTAATTTTTCAAGTCAAAAGATGGAATTTTATGTTTTTTTTCAAATTTTTATCGAATTTTGTCATATAAAAATATTTTCTAAAAAAAATTCTCGCATGACAGTCAAAAGCAGAAATACAGGATGCACCGACTCTCCTGATTTTACAATGGAAAATTTACCCTTTTGTTTTGGTTACAACTAAATTCGTCAAATGAACAATGTGGTGGTAGTTTATTTGATTTATGAATGGCAGAAAATTCTTGTTGTTCACTGCTGCGAAATTGAGCTGATCTGAATCTGAACTTAAGCGATTTTTAAAATTTTGATTTTACATTTTACATTATTTAGGGTAACGAATCGTCATTGCCAATGGAAATGTGCAGCAATTGTACGTCGACTTTGTTTTTTTTGATTGCTAATTCGATTATTTTCAAAAATTTTTTTTGGAATTCTTTGATTACAACGCAACAAATGTGTAATAGAATCCTCCGCATTGATATTATTTGTAATCAACATTTCTGGTTCCACAGACCGCATGGCTTGGAGTGGGGGCTAGAAGTACAGGGATATACCCAGCACCACCCGCATTTTATGTTTAATGGCAGGTTTTCTCCCATCAAGGAGCAGAGACTTGCCTAGTTTGTCCTTAAATCATAGCAGCCTACCATTCGCCTATCCTTCTCCGTAATGAACATGTTAGAATTCAGTTCTCTATTATTGCAAGTGAACTAGTGAAGTTTTAATTACTAATTTAATAACAAATTATTATAGTTGATGCATATGAATTGCGACGTTTGGCTCGGCGCTTTAAAAAACTTGATCTTGATGGTTCAGGTAGTCTGAGTGTTGACGAATTTATGTCACTTCCCGAATTACAGCAAAATCCTCTCGTTCAAAGAGTTATCGATATTTTTGATGAAGACGGTAATGGTGAGGTGGATTTCCGAGGTGTCAATTTTGATTTTGTTTTTCTTTGCGTTTTTTTTCATTATTTTGATATTGAGAACTTAAATAAATAAAGCTATTTGTTTTTTACATTCTTTTTCGTTCGTTTATAATAAATAAGGAGATTATATTTGATAATTCCTTTTATATTTTTCTGAAAATCAAATATTTACAGAGTTTATTCAAGGAATTTCTCAGTTCAGTGTGAAAGGTGATAAAACTATCAAATTAAGATGTAAGTTTTAAATCTGAAAATAGTTTTTATTTCGAAAATTTGGATGAAATTTATGCAATAAAGAAGAATGAGTGAGTGTTCGAGAAGAATGCAAACACATACATACATGAAATGCATACATTCGTATTAATTCGTATTAATAATAAAACGTTTTGCATGAAAATTAAAAAAAAATGGAGTACTCTTAATAAGAACAAGCAGGGAATAATAAAAGAATTTTAGAAGACACTGATCGTAAAATTCTTTGATTTAATTTAAATTTTAGTTGCATTTCGAATTTACGATATGGATCGTGACGGTTTCATATCAAATGGAGAATTATTTCAGGTATTTTTCGTAATAAATCTTGACAATAGTCATACTTTTTGGAATAGAAACATAAAGAAATTACTGGAAGGATAACCAAATTTTCTTTCGAAATATTCCCTTTTACTGAGCACTAAAAATCTTTCAAGTCTCGTTTAGACTTTTCATTTTTCTCTGTTTTACTTTGACATTTGATTCATGCTTGAGTCGATTACTTATTTTAAACTAATAGTTTGTCCTCCAATGAGTTAGATTCAAGTTATGCTAGTGGTTTTTTAATTTTTGATAAAACAACATTCAATATCTCAATTATCGTCTTATTGGACCATGCAAATTTTAAGTTTTTCATTATCGTTATATTAAATCAGTTGATTCAGTAGCTTGGATGTATAAGTTAATATTAATACAGTATTATAAGTAATAATTTTGGTTTCCAAAACTAATGTTGCGAAAATATTTTAGGTATTAAAAATGATGGTTGGTAATAATTTAAAAGACAATCAGTTACAACAAATTGTAGATAAAACAATTTTATTTCATGATAAAGACGGTGATGGTAAAATATCGTTCGATGAATTTTGTGATGTTTGTTTATTTTTCAGTTTTCAGTTTATAACCATCATTTAACAATTGTTCCTATTCCCGACACTTTCTCTTTCCTCTTTCTTTCTTTTAGCGTGGATGTATTTTCTTTATGTAATAGGTATGATGCATTTGTAAGTTTTACAAGTCGCATTTCATCAGTCGGAAGCCCAGATGTAGTTTTTTTTACCTAAAGTTTTTTATGTTGGTTTTCATGAGCAAAGAAAGTTATTGGAGCTTTTCGAGAATTATTAAGGTTGTTTTTGCTTTCTATTTTCAAGAGCTTCGGCCTTTTTTTAGGTAATTTTTTAATTAATATTTATTAAGGTTGTTGAACATACCGAAGTTCATAAAAAGATGGTATTGGAGAATATATAGAAAGAAGAGCAATCAGTCTATTATCAACACGAGCAGATCTCTTTCTTTCTCGCCTTTATATATGATATTATTGGAGCAGAAAAATTGTGGCATTACCTTCGTCCTTTTCCTCCTAACGGTATTTATTAATCAAAATGAAAAAAAATGGATTTTTGGTTGAAGGCAGTTTGCTTATATAGCTTTCGAATAGTTTATTAAAAATTTTCTTGTAATTAAATTTGTAATTTATCTTATTTGCATTACACGTATTTTTTATAAGCATCAATCTTATCATTAAATCACTATCGTGTCATTCTTATCACTTATCGTTCCATAAGAAAAGCGATTAAAAGGAGAAAGGAAAAGGAGAAGGGAAAAGGAGAAAGGAGAAATACTGCAGTTACAATAGTAATAATTCAATTATTGATAATAACTGATCATCTTCGATTTAATTATAGCAAATTTTAATAGAAACGTTTAATATTTTTTTCACTATTCGAAAAAATTTCCCTAGTAATATTATTAAATTATTAAATTGTTATTAAGTTTTTCCTCTTTTTAATATTTCTGTTTAAAAACAAATAAAACAAATAGTTTGGAATATATGGAAATGGAACCTTTTGTTTATAATTATTAGTTGTAAAATTAAATGAAAATAAAATGAGTGAATAATTTCAGGCAATAGATTCAAATTAGACTTAATCTTAGTAGTTCATTTGTTCTCAGACTTCTAGCATTTTTATATTTAATAATAATATGGGGAATATTTTCTTAAAAAAAAAATTTGAAACTGCGTTTTATCAATTCATGGTAAGAAAAAATTTGCATAATATGGTGATTGCTTATTTGCATCCAATTAGACTTCAACTTCGCATAACCAATATTTCTATTAGCAAGTGGATCTCATTTTAATATCCGATAAGGATGGTTAAATAAATAACTATGAGCAATTGTTTCAAAAAAAGAGCGACCTGCCTGATTGCTTTTGTACTTCGACTTATTTTACCTCATTTCATAAGATTTTTGGGTTTTATTATATTGCAAAAAAAATGCGATTGCAAATTTTACTTATAAAAAAAAGTAACAAAATATGTTTCACTTTTCTACAAAGAGAAATGAGCGAATTATAAAGAAAAAAGAAGCAATGAACGTGAAGAGAAAAACTTATAAAAAAATTTGAAACAAATATAAATTTATTGAATGAAAAGAAAGAAATCAGAATAATTCTACAAAAAAACGCGAATAGAAACTTTTTAATTAATGTAATTTAAAAAATTAAAAAATATAGAGAAAGCTAAAAATTGAATGAACACAGCTTTCATGACTGCTCAAACAATAAAACGATAAAAAATAAGAAAAATTTAAAAATATTTCAAATTCCGCTCATCTCTTCTTAAAATTTACGAAAGAAATACCAACCAATTGATAAGTCTGACAGTAATCTAGTAAGTACCACGCATAAGTACGTATAGCATAAGCACACACTAAGGGAGATTAGGGAGGAAACTGATGAAAACAAAATTGGCGAGAAATGAGATGGGCGAATTGCGAGTGAAATCGATGGAAAAGATAAAATTAATCAAAAAAAAATTTTGATAAGAATTTCAAAAACTAAAAAATTTCTAAAAAAATATGAAAATCTAATATAATTTCGAAAAAAAAAGAAATGGTTGAAGAGAAATAAAAGTACGTAAATATTCTTTAGAAAATTTAATCGACGAAGCAATTAATTAAATTTAATTAAAATAAAATTTAGCGAACCAAAATTACAAATAACAAGAAGAGACAGATTACTGATAAACGCTAAAAAATGTGAAATAAGAAAGGCAAAAAATATGTTCCTTGTCGAAGCGCCCTAAGCCATTCGATCATTTCCTAAATATATTTCTTAGACGGTCAATTATAATTTCAAGCGGACATCTTCAATAAACAAAATTTCCCTCCTTCCACTAACTTACCTTTCTTATTATATTTAAATTATTCTATCAAAATTACTTTCCTCATATTCAAATCGCTAATGCATAACTTTACGGCAACTTATAAGCCTTATAAATCGTTATAAAGCAGTAAAATCTGAGAGGAATCCGGCGAAAAATCGGCAAACTGTTTTGTCCGTCCAATCTTACGAGAAAGAAAAGAAAAGCCAAAATAAATTATATTTATTTTACGCTAGGAAAAAGCAAAAGGAAGATTAAATGGGACAATTAATCGCCTAATTACCAAAAATAGCTATTGAATTTCGTTGAGTAGCGAAAAAAATAAACGAAAGACGTGTTTCAACTAAAAAAAGGAAGATTTTTTGAAAATAAAAAACATTAATGAAAAAGTAAGCAATAACAACGATGACAATAATAATAAGCGAATAATTAAGACCAATATGAAGATGAATCGCTCAACCACATGAAAAATTTACCATTTTGACAAGCGAATAATAAAGGTATTCTTATGAGGTTCAATATTACCAATAATTAACAATAATGATAATATTGTTATATATAGTTATTGATGAACATAATAATAATAAAAGTGCTGATAATTATTATAAATAATAATAGCAATAATAAATTTCAATATTAATAAACAATAGTAACAGTAAAAACAATAAGTATAATAACAGCTGTAATAATAAATGATAATAATAATAAGTGATAGTAATATTAATAAATAACAATATAATTGTAATAATAATAATAATAATAATAATGGTATTAAAAATTAACAAAAAAATAATAATGGTATTAATTAAAAAACAAAGAACAATAAGGGCAATTGAATACAAAATTAAAAGAGGAACAAAAAACGGAGATGAAGGAGGAAGAGTTCTTGTTGCAATCATAATGATAAAACAATGATTACATGGCAGTGAAAACAATACGTAAGTAACATTTTTATGATGTTATAAAAGTTATATATACATCATCAGTTTTCATTATTAATTCAGATCAGCTGGAAGAAATGAAATAGGAAGGAAATTTCATAAAATTCCTAAGTCTTAGAAACCATTCATCAAAAATGTATTCAAATAATTTTTAAGAAAGGTCACTATTTCTCATTTGACTCGCTCAGGCTTGCCACAAATTTTGCCATGAACTCATTTGGAAGTGCAGGTGGGTCGCCATCACCATCAGGATATTTAAAAATGACTTTATTCCTGCGGGGCACTCCAGCATCAGCGCTCCAAAATAAGATCAACAACCTACTGAGGAATTCCACCCCACCTGAACGTGGTGAATACTATAGACTGTGATTCCTTTTAAAATAATAACGAAAAAATAATATAAAGTGTATCCGAAAAAGTTTCGCCAAACTTTACCAAAGCAATTATTTTATTGTTTATTTTCTATTGGTTCTTTTTTCTAAAAGCACTTACTATTTTAATCTAAATTCGCTAAGCTAACTTATCGGACCAAACAAACTTTACTAGGGCCATTGAAGTGTCTGTAGATCTCCAACATCACCCAATTTTCGTAAGACAGGTTCTTGCCGGGATTAGAACTCCAGCACCGATTTCCCAAAGTGAAAACTCACTGAACCATTCAGTCCTACTCTTGCCGACCATTAATGCTGATCATTACTAAATAATTATGTTAAAATAATTTGGAAACTCAAATTATGAAACGACAAAACTATAAAATAATAACGAAGATAATAATAATAATGATAATTTCGTTTTTATTGCACCAATTGATATTTACGTTAAAATCAGGTGAAATTTTCTGGAAATCCTAGAAAAAAAGAATCGGGTGAAACTTTTTGGAAACCTTAGAATAAATGAATAAAACAGCAATAAACAGAATAAAATAGAAATTGCAAAAAAAAGCCTTATAAAACTGAAATTAACACGGGAAGGACGACATGGTAATGAGATATTAACGATAAGACTGACACATAACTATTAAGCACTGCACTGATAGCAAATTCTTTTTTTTCTTTTTTAATAATGTATTTTATTATGTATTTTTTATAAAAGCAAAAAAAATTATTAAAGCATTTGCTTATAATTAAAAATTCAAATAGAAATAAACCAATGTATGAAAAAAAACAAAAGAAAAAGCAAAAAATTAAGAATTTTTTCAAAAAATCTACAATTAATATATTTAAAGTTTTAATGAATTTGTTGGTTAATTGATAAAAATTCATTTAAAAATTACAAATCCTAAAAATTTAAAAAAACTAAGTTATCTTGCAATTTAAAAAATCTTCGTTAAAACCGCTATAAAAATATGATAATTTAAAAAAAATAATTCCTAAAAAAAGGCCAAGTAATGCATTAAAAAGTAAAAAATATAAAAAATAAACTATAAAAAAAGCAAATTAATAGTTAATCACCGGTAAAGTTAAGAAACAGCAAGAAAAATCGTCGGTACCGTTATAATTAATACCCAAAAAATTTAACCGTCTTATTACTGCTTCGCTACAAAAGAACTAATTTAAATGCAAAAAAAGAAGTTGAAAGAAGTAATAAATTGGGAACAGTACCTAAAAAAATTTTAAAATTCTATTTCTTCGATAAACTAGAAAGTAATTTACATTAAACCCGAATAAAAAACTGGAAAATTCAAAAAAACTGAATTCTGAGCCAAATAAACAAAAAAAATCCTCAGGATTTATTGAAAAAATAATTCTCTAATTTTCAACTAAATTCATCAACTACAATATTGAAAGTAAAATTATTAAAATTGTTCAAGTAAAAAAAATTTAAAAATCAGTATTATTAAATGTAAGCGCAGCTACATCTCTACAAACAGCATTCAATTCATCGACCATTCCACATTGTTCATTTGCAAAATTGTATACTCTTAAAGCAGGTGGAGTACCAGCTCCAGAACTTCGTCCACTTGCACTTGAACTACAACCCGAACCACATGCATTTGAACTCAACTGATTGCCTGAAAAATTTCAAATTTATTATTTATTACTACAGGCAAATAAGATAAAAATTAAGCAAAAATAGAAAAAGAGTACATTAAACAAGAATGAAGTGAATTTTTTTTCCATAAATTACTAAAAATAAGCCTTCTATGTTAAAATATTCGCAAAATATTGCAAAAATAAAAAGCTTACCGGAAGGAAAGATATACTGCTGAAGTTGTTCGACGTTTTGCACGTGTATAGGCGATGTTGGGGGCATATTTACAGATGACGGACTGAATATCGACCAAGTATTTGTCGCGTTAGAGTCTGATTCTCGTTTATGTTCACTCATAACACTTTGATGATGATGGTACAGATTCTAGAGAGAAATCGTTTACAAACTGAATTGTGCATCGAACTATTATATTAAGTGCTAAAGTTTAGATAACCTTTATAAAAATGCTCTAAAATCTAATTCGCGTTCGGTGGTACGAAATACGATTTCTTACTTCACTGATTGACGGTTTCATTGGAAAATTGTTGGTCTGATCGATTAACGCTCGATCATTAGAATAATTGCCAGTTTTCGATGTGCATCGCAGTGAAGGTAATTTATTGTTATTAATCATTGTTGGTTGGTGTGAAACGTCAACAGTTAGTGGTTCAATAAGCGGGTTAAACTGAATTGAACCAAGATAAGTTCGAGTTAAACGCGATTCGTTAACTGAAGCTTCTTGTGATGATAATGATGATCCTTGTGTCAATGCCTTTGATGACATTGCTGGAGATGTTGTGTCCAACCGATCACTACTTTTACTATAATACAGCTCAAGAAAATTAAAATGAGAAAAAATTGGAAATACTTTTACTATATCGTGAAAATACCGCTAAGCACAATTTATTCTTTTTTACCCTGTCGTACCATTGCCATATTGTTATTAAGACAGCCCTTAACTTGAATTTTTTACATTTCTGGAGCATAAAAAACCAAAAATTGAGCAGAACAATATTTACCATAACAAAGGGAATGTTTTCGACTTGAGAGTGTAAAAATAAGCTTAAAAAATAAAATAAAAATAACCTTAAAATGTTGTGCGACGAATTTGTTTTCGCCACTGAATTTTGTTGCATATCAAAAATTGCCGAATTATTTTCGTAAAAATTGTTCCAGAACTGTTGTTGTTGAGAAAAATTATTTGCGTACATTAGTGAAGAATCTTTCATATTTTGTGAATTGATAAACTGGTTTAGTGGTTCTTTAGGTTTATTAAAACTCATTTGCAACATCATTTCTTCAAAAGTCATCTTCGATGAAGCAACCTTCATTTGTTGTTGTTGATGATGATGCCGTCGTTGAAGGTGATGGTGATGACGCTGTTGCTGTATATGGTGCTGCTGATGCTGAGAGTGAAACTGTTGATTAGTTGGTGAGAAAATATGAGGCGAAAACTGATCGTTCATTTGTGGATAATAATCATTTGGACTGCACTGCATATTTCTTGCATTTATCTGATAAAATACTTGTTATATATTAAACTTTTCTTAAAATGAAACAGTTATATAGAAAAGTTTAAGTAAGTTTTTAAAAATAAAGAAAAGTTTTTAAAAAAATAGAGAAGTTTTTAAAAATATAAAATTTCCCTTATCCACATTAAAACTTATAAAAAAGCAAAAAGCGACAAACTTTGAGAGGAAAAGTACCACTTGGCATATCTAACCAGCTTTCTGCTTTGAATTAAATCGCTTCTGTCTTCTGTATTAATTAAACAAAGAAATAAAACTAACAAGATCGTGAAGTGATAGCATATAGTGTGGTAACAACGAGGTGATAGAAGCGAGACCTAAATAATAAGCAGTTGCAGCAGCTTGAGCATTTCGTGTCTCTAAAAAGGTTTGTAATGCAGACTGCGACACCATTTGAGCTGCTGTTTCACAAGCAGATAATCTCGTTAATAACGCTTCTCGCAATGTTCCTCCATTTGCCTGTTTCATTGGTACATTTCGTGAACACTGCAGAATACAAGTTATTATTCTTTAAAATTTAACTCTATTAAAAAATGCCAAATAACTTTTTTATATATTAAGGATTTTTTCATTGATATGAAATTAAATGATTCACTTCATTGATTCATGATAACTTCAATTTTTATAACAAATTTATTAAGGCAAATTACACTTATAAAGATTAAAATAATAAATAAGAAAATAAAACCTGATTACTGAGTCGACTTTTCGTCGAATAATTTGTTGACGAATAAGATAAGATCTTCTGATTTCTCAAACTGTTTAAAATACTATGCATTGCACGCAATCGAAGCCTCCAATTCGCTGTACAACGTTTTTGCACTACAGTGAACGCCTAAATATGGACTATTTTATTTTTGAAATTCAAATAAGTACTAATGGTACTACGATTAGGAACTAACTTCGTTATATTAAAAAGCTTCAAATGATTTTTTACGACGAAATTGGTATTAACGATTAATATCCAAAATAATTATTACTTATAACCACTTAGGATTTTAGACAAAATAGAACAAATATATCTCCACTTCTTTAATGTTAGGAGTATCAAATGCAAATTAACTAATAATAAACGAAAAAAAATATCTTCAAAAATTTGGATAGATGATAATACTGGAGATAATAAGTGGAGATCTGATGGGCTGAAACACTGCATAAGGATTGACTTCATAATGAAAATGAATAGAGATGTAGGTTCGCGTTTTTTTTGCCATCCACTATAAATATAACTGATGCCGTCCCTTAGAATTATATTGAATCTGTGGTAGTTAAAATTAATTTTAGTAACAAAGATATTTTTCTCATTGATTCTTATCGACTTTCTGATAATGGAATTCCGTCTACCATTTTAATATTTTACTAACTGATCTGCACCTATTTCACCAGAATTTTGCCGTATATGAAACTCTTAACATGAAAAATATAGACTTTAACAATTAAAGAAAATAGTGACTTTTCTTTCTTCAAAGTTTTGCTCCTAAGGGAGATTAAATAAGCATGTTAAATTTGCCAACAGAAACAATAAATAATATTTCATAATATATTAGACATTACATGAGTTACCCCCACCCCCTCCCCTCTCTCGATCATTTAATGCTAGTTTTAATGCTAGTTTTATGTTAGATCCTTTTTTTAACAATGACTGCGATATTATTTAATTTACATACAGAGGGCTATTTTCCAAAAAGCGCTCGCCATTTCTGGTTAGCATCGGCTGGCTCGTTAGAATAGAACAGACAAATTTGCTAGGAAGTAATCGGAAGATAGAAGTGCCGAAATACCCGATTTTTAAAAGGAATTTTAACCATTCATTCCATTCAGGATTAGAAACCCAATATCGGTGCTCCGAAAGGCGAGCAACGACCCACTAAGCCACTGCCTTAATTTACTACTGCCATTACTACAATTACTTACTATTTTGAAGGATACTATTTATATATCTAAAATAAAAACAATTTTTAACAAAGAACACAAAACAAATAAAAATTTCTCCATCATTTGCCACTGATTCCCCAGGTGGTTCTAATTTTTTGAATAACAGAAGAATTTCATTTAAAGATATGGGAACATAAACCCACTTATTCACTACAGCTGGGAATACTATGCAAAAAATGTGAAATAATTTTAATACTTTTTAAGTTAAAAACACATTAAAGATACATTAAACACAGTTTTGAGAACTACTATAATTCCTATTTTTTAGAAATTTGACAAATACGATCCTCCCAGTTATTGTTCAACCAGATCTCACTGTATTTTCACTGTGTTTTTTTCTTTTTTAAGAATTTTCACTATTATTGGTTAAATTCGTTACCCCATTGTCTTATCATACTGGACAAATATGCCAGAGATCCTTTGCTTCTTGGGCGATAGAAATACAGGTTAGTCGCCATCATCACCCATATTTTTGGACAGATTTGCGGAATAGAATAGAATAAAACAGTGAATAGAACCTAGCATTGGCGCTTCGAATTAAGCAACAACTCATTGAGCCATCTTACCACTCATATCTCAGTGTTCACTGTGTTAAAAGTAGGACACTGGAGATACTTTTCAGTCAAAATATTTTATTACTTTGAGAATAACGATAATATTCATATTCATTTCATAATTTCTGTTAAGAATACCTCAAGGTCCATTGAATAATAAATATCTGCTCTTCACTACAGGGAAACTTTAACAGCGGTCAATTTATTGTTTATGCTGATTATGGTAAAACGATGACACTGCTCCTCACAATGCCTTTTTGAATATGATTAATAAATTAAATAAGAAGGGTATACAAAAGCACTGGATTACTCAAGTGATCGTTGTCAGGTTCATATTTATATATACTTCATTGTTCAATACTGCTTTAAGTTAAGTACGCCTCGAGAAAACTACTAGGCCATTTATTCTGATGGCTTAACCAGGATAATAAATAATATATTTTTATGCTCTTGACTATAAATTTATTCACATGGTATTATTTTCCATTATAGAACGAAAGTCTTCACAAAGACTTTCTAGCAGTGAAACTCCGATCCTCCTTCAACACTCTTTTAATTCGTGAAGGGATCAGATCTTACAATCGATGAAAATCTCGGTTAGCAGGCTCTTGAGCCGGATATCTACAAAGAAATCTTCCAAAATATCAAATTTAGTATCCATAGCATTCAAAATTAATTCTACTCTCCTTACTAAAATGTATAAAATTGTAAAAGTATTTTTTACGTTGCCTTAATAAGGATTCCACCATGATTTATAGTTCTAAACTTGATTGGTGCATAATATTATTTCTCGAAGAATTGGAAGAATTAAACTGAATTTGGTTTTACTAACAAAGTTATATAGTCAGAAAAATTTAAAGTGCCATAAGGATTGAAAATTGAATAGTCAGAGGAATAATAAAATTGAAATTAATTGGAAATAGAATGAATTAAGCTAAAATGCGATAATTTTTTTATTCTCATTACTAATTTCAAGGACAAATTACCCATTGATGTGGTACTTTCTCTGTTTAAGTAAAATTATTGTACTTATGAAACTTTTTTACTCGCTTTACGCAACGCAAAAAAATTAAATTAACTGCATTCTTACTAATGCATTTACTTCATTTACTTTATTAATATTTGCTAAAACTTTATTTTCTTTTATTTATATATTCTTTCTTATTACTTCTAACATAGGAAAAGTATATGGTTTCGCCTTCTCAATTTACTTTTTATTTCTAAATGAATAAATAAAATCAAAAAGTCTCAATTTTTTCCAAATTTATGAAACCCAAAAAAACCTCATGCATAGCAATTCTATCAAAAATCTGATCCAAACAATAGAAATATTCATCATCTAAGGAAAATAATCGAGTTTCGCATGGATCCACAAGTACCGAATAAATTTTCCCAAGTAATCGTATAATATGACCAGGAAGATTCTGAAATGATTTATGGAAAGCTGTTTAAATTGTATATTTTTGTGCAATTATAATCTATTCATCATAATCTCTATTGTCGGTCTTTGTATAAATCGACGGATGGACACTAACCAGATTTCTTTTACAACTAAAACATATTTTTTATATTATTTTCAATATATTATTTCATAAACTTATGGTCTGCTTAAACTGCAAACATACAACTGCAAATTGCACAGAAATGAAATGAAAGGAATTGCTCAATGCTTAATTTTTCTTCTAACATTATAATGGTTTGGCTCGTCGTGTAATATAATCGCGGAATACTACAGTGAGCAATCAGTTGGATTTCACCTTTAATGACTATTCGTTTTGAAGGAATGGTAACCAATCCATATAGCTTTCCGATATAATAAGCCAGTTAAAATTAGAAAAGTATCTTTAAAAAAATAAAGCATATCTACTTCATCATCAAGTTCACCATCATTTTCTTCACGATCGCAATATCCATTTCTCGCCAAATATTTCGGAACAAATGCACGTATCGGTGTATTCATTGTATTTCGAAGTTCCATGATAACGCATGCCATGTCACCACTTTTCTCGTCGATCGACTACAAATCACTGATCAAGTAAAAAACTTTTTTGTGTATTCATATTCATATTTATTACATTCATGGATAGGTTGAAAAGCATGAAAAAAAGAAACGCTTTGATTGTTCATTTACACAGTCATTCTTCATAATTTAGCTGCTTTTTTTCTATTAGATATAAATCAGCGCTTTATCAAAAAAATGACAAAACTGCTAATGAAATTCTCGTCCAGTGAAGATCACTTTACTAACCAGTATCATAGAACTGCACAAGCATTTTATCGTATGTACGTAATCTAATAGAAGACAAAAAGAAAAACCGTTTCAAGTTGTCTGATTTGATGTACACGTTCATGAAGTTTTTGTATACTTTGTAAAATTTTTTTTCGTGCGCCTTTCGTAACATTTAATTTCTCAAGTTTTTGTTCAGTTAACTGCATCATTTCATTATAATCCATTTGTTGAAGCAATTGAGTATACTTATGTAAACGAAGTGATTTCAACCAACCGGGCACATCTAAAAACAAAACATAATTTAAATATAAAATGGTACTTAAACAGATGAGAGTAATTTTGCATTTAATATTTTACATCGCCTTAGGGTATCCTTTAATAAATCTAATAAAGTGAGACAATATCAAATATTTTTTTGAAAGCAAATAATCAGTTTAAAAATTCAATTGTCTTTCTCCTTAAAGCCAATTTATATTTTATAAAAAAATTCCATAGAAATAAGCAAAAATCATCCTTCATATCTCCAACCTATTTGCTCATTTTTTGCGAAATTCAATAAACTATAATTTTTTTCTTTTTTACTTCTCTGAGCAAAAAAATATAGTGAAAAATTTTCCACGTACATATTTATAATTTTCTTTCTTTAAATTTCTTTCTTACTTTATTTAGCAATAAACTTTTTCCCAAAAATTTTTAAAATTCAACCATATTTCAGCAAAAAATGGTACGTAAATAAAAATATTATTACTTAAGTAGTTAAATAGTTAAATAGTAAAATGATTTTTAAATTTTTAAATTTTTAGATTTAATTTAATAAAATACTTTTTGATAAAAATGCATAAATAAGACTTTTTAAAGCATATGTTTCTAGCGAAAATAATTAATAATAAATGATTTATTAAAAAATTATAGTAAACTAAATAATAAAATCGGCAAAATGAAATGTTTTTCATTATTTTAAATTAAATTTTTCCCATAGAAAATCTTTATAAGAAAAAAGAAAATAAATCTTTTTCTTAATAAACTAAAATTTCTAAAACATCAAAGATCATTCGAAACTATACAATTTTTTTCGCTCATTTTTGTTCTTTTTTCTTTTCTTCAGCTACAAGAAATCAGATTAATAAATAAAAATTGCTAACTTCCCATCTTTCTTTCACCACCCAAATAGTTTTTCTTTTTTTTCGCAAAAAAATTTTTTTCATTTGTTTCTTTAAGCCAAATGATTAAATATTTCGAAAAACGGATTACGAAAAAAAATACGAAAATTTAAATTTTTGAATTAATTTTATTACAATTTTGATGAAAATAGAAGAAAAAAATTTTTTTCCAAGAATGACAAAAAGGGGCGAATTTTGAAAAAAACTGGAAAATCTCGAGGAAAATTTTTGCTTCATTTTAGATTTACCCTGGAAATTGAAAAATTAAAAATTAATTAAATTAATTTTATCGCAATGTTTTTTATCGTAATTTAATAACAAAAAAGCGAATTTCAAGTGCATAAAAATTCCGATAGACGAATTCTCTTTTTTCACAAAAAATTTGATAGACACAAAAAAGTCGCTCTTGTTTATTCATTCGACATTTACAGATAATTTCCTTTTTTTAACTTAAAATTTATTTGAAATTTGCAATTACAGAATTTTTTTCCTAAATTCGAAACTTTTTTGTTTAAATATTTTAATAGCGTAAAAGAATCAACTTTTTTCCACATTTTTTAAAATATAATTTAAAAAAGTGAATTTTCGATTTCAAACCTTTTATTCTTTCATTCAATTTCATGGTTTTTCGAAACCTACTGCTCATTATTTTTATAAATTTTTCTCCAGAAGTGTTACAGAAATTTAAAAATTTTTTCTCACGAAATGAATATAAAAATCATTAAAAAAGGAGGATGGAAACGATATCTTCTTTATCAACCTTCTTTATCAATCACTTATCAGCAAAAATTATCAGTTCGACTCATCTTTTATCGCTAAAAATTCCAAATTCCCCTTTCCTCTTTTCTCTTTAGTTTTAGAAAATTTCATTTGTTTTAAATTCAAAAATTTAATTTAATAAAGAACATTAGATAAGAAGAGATGAATAGTTGTTGCTAAGATTATTATTATCTATTTTTTTGGACTTTATTCCTAATAGGAATAAGAATGCTGTTGGAGAAATCCATGTGGTACTAGTTCTTTTCTGCAGTCAAAACAAAATGATGAGCGCTTACTAATTTCGAAACAAGCAATTAAAATTTCTTCATTTCAGAAATTCATTTTAAAAAAACCTTATTTACCCCAATTTTAAACTTCTATTCAAATAATTTTTTTCTTCCATTTGCGTTTCTCCAATGGTCTTGTGATCCAAAAAAAAGGAAAATGTTAAAATGACAAATGGCAATCGCCTCAGCAACAACTGTCGTTCCATTTTGTAGTATATGAAAAATAACAAAAAACATGTTTCGTTTTTACCCGGAAGAATCTCACTCGTTGCACTTCTTTTCATAATTATTTTTAGTTTAATTTACTCGTAAGTCTCATAAAAATAAACAAAATCGAATCTTTTTCCACGCCAATTTCTACTTTCGTCGATATGGCGAAACAGGTAAAAAAGGTAACCAACCTTTGAACCTAAGCAAATCGATTTTTAAATTCAAAATATCCAAGAAAATTTAGCGCAAGATTTAATAATAAAAAGAAGGATTTAGGGAAAAATATCACTAAAATTTTTTTCAACAAATAAACAAGCTACCTTTGTGCGTTTAACTCGCTGAATTTAACTAATTTTTACAAACAATTATTATCAACTTGGGAAAAATCATTTCATATTCAAGTTTTATATGTCCTCTGAGTATTATTTTAAATGTTCTCATTTCCACGTACGATGAAAACAATAAATTTTCAAGAGAAATTATTCAATAAAATTGTAGCGATGGATCAAATAAAGGATTTCTTGTTTTAACAGCTCACATTATTAGTAATTAGGCTGAACCCGCTGGCAATAAAGGATTCCAAGCCATTCAATCCGGTGACATAGCTGAGATCAGAAAAAATTACTCCTTTTTCCACTGTCTAAGCTCGTATATCGCTGGACTGTCTATACGTTCAAAATCTCTTCCGACTCTATCAGCCTAAGTCTTAATTGGCCATCTTTGCTTAAGGCGCTGTCCATCATAACTTTGCAAATGAGCAATTAAATGTTAACAAGCTTTAGAAGAGCTAAAATTATGACCAAAGTGCTGCTACTCACATTCTTTCATACATTTTTTCATCATTATCATCTTCTAACAGTACGCGCCATTTGTGGTTTGGTTAACTCCACTGGATAGTACGATGAAAATATTTCTTAAGGAAGATAAAAAGTAACTACCTAGACTTCACTTTTATTGAGATGGACTCTCAAGAGACAAGAAATAAACCCAAGTTGCTCGCCTTCAATAGAAACAACTCAAATACTAAAGCACTCTAAATGCTTTGTTAAAAACAGTTTGAAATATAATTAATTTCAGACATAATTTTTAATACAAAAAATGAGATGAATCTTCTCCATCTTCATTAATTATTCCAATTATTCCAATTTCTATTCATTAATATGTAATTTAAAAATAGAATAAATTAGCAAAAATGAAGAGAAATAGATTGGATCAAATAAAAAAACCAACCAATTTTTCTATTTGTATAGCTGTACGAAATTTTTTATCCATATCTGCTTTAAAATATTCATTAAATAATCGTAGCTAAATGGAGAAAATAAATGATAGGAGGAAAGAAAATGAGCAATAGAGGGAAAGTATGTGAAGGTTAAGCGAAAGGAAATGGAAGAAGGATAAGAGGAAAAGAAGTTAAAAGGATGAAGCTAAAGCAAGAAAGGAAATGGAGAAAGGAAGGATAAAAATATGGCAATGGAAAAGAAGAAGGGGCTTTTTGCACTCACAATAATATAAATTTTTCTTAAAAAAAAAATAAACAAAATATTTATCTTATTTCTAAAACGCAAAAAAAATTACATTAAAAGCGTTGAAAAGCAATCAAAATCGTAGGCAACAAACGCAGTTTCCAAAAAATTTTATGAATCTTCTTTTCCTTCCCTTTTCTTTATTCAATAAAAAATGGTAATAATAAAAATTATTTAAGTAAATAAATGAAAATATTTTTTAGTAACTTTTATTATTTGTGTTTTTCTAAGTTAAGAAAAAATAAAGAACAAAAAAATAGCGAAAAAGTTATATAAAAACGTAAGTGAAATACAGAAATAAATCTTCACTCATCTAATAGTGCTCGTCGCCATTTCTGGTTTGGCTCGCTCATATAACGACCACTGTTAAGCATGGACTCTTTCGTCGCAGTACAGGTGTGAATTATTTAGTGTTATTCGGATTCCCCTTTTAAAAATTTTCTCGACGCATTGTTGATCGACCTCGCCGATATTCGTGTCATATTAAGTGTTTAAAAAAAAAGAAACGAAACGAAACCTCTCATTCCATCTTTGACTTCATAATTGTTTCTCAATGGTCGAATCATTCGATTATCAACACCATTGTTATTGTTATTTGCGATGTATTTCGAATGATAATGATTATTATTATTATTATTCTGGTGGCACGGCTGATTGTTTAACTTTGATATCGACTAAACTTTAATCAATTTTTTACCAATTTTTGATTTTTTAAAATTAAAAATTCATTTCATAGAATCGACATTTTCATTAGACTTTTTTCATAATTTTCCCTCTAATTCCATTTTGAATTGTTAATCAATTGATGTCAAAAAAATTCTTCTTAATTTCGATTTAGATTTTAATTTTCATTAACTAATCAGACATATTTTTTTGTCAAAAAAGTGGATAAACCTCGAACAGGTGAATTAAGCATTTTCAATCTTTTGATTTTTTCGTCTAAAATCCAATTCACTGTAATAATGATAACAATAATAATAGCAATAATATAATAATAATAATAATATATCGCGAACCTGTGGCGTTTGATAAAATATCGCATTACGTAATTTTTGGCCTTGGCAAGCATTGTGGTGATTGTATAACTTATTTAAGGGCGCTGCATGTTGCGATAAAACCATTTTTTCAAAAATCAATCGAGTGATAAAATTTCAAAAAATTTGAAATTTTAGCGAAAATTATGGATTAGAAAAAAATTTAAAAATTGAACCAACACAAATATTTTAGTTATTTCCTTTTGTTTTTTTTGTTTTTTTGTTTTATATTCAAAGTGCAACCAAAAAAGTCTGAAAATAAAAAAAATGAATTTTTTTTATAATTAATTAATTTATCGAACGAATATTTACTTCATTAAATGGCGTTTATAAAAAACAATTCGAGCAATTCGAAGACAACAAAAATATAAAATTTTAATGAATATTAATAAAGAATATATATTAATAAATATTTCAATAAATATTTATAAAGAATATTTGAATTGTTATTCATTATTACAAATAATTTCTGAAAAAAAAAAATAAATTGATCGAATAAATTATAAAAGTTGAAATTTAAATTGTAATTTAAAGAAAAATACGCGGAAAATCGTGAAAAAGAATTCATACGATAACGCGTTTTTTATACGTTTAAAGTATTGTAAAAATTTAAAATTTTTTAAAAAAATTTATCAATATAATTGAAAAAAATATGAAAACTATAATAAAACTACCGAAAAAATTTAAATAAAAATTTTTCGGTATTAAATGGCGCATAACAACTGAATAATCATAAATCACTATAAAATTCATCTTGAATAAAACACTAACTGGGTGGAGCGAAGTAAAAATCTTTTTCTCGAATTCGTTTCCTTTTTTATTTTATTTTTATTATTTCATAAAATTATTAAATATTAAATTATTAAATATATTTTTCCTAACGAAATAAATCATTAAATACGAAACATTTCATTTATTTAAAACTCTAACGACGATGATGATTTTCAATAAAAGCATTCACTGAGCCTTTTAGATTCATGTGAGTGCTTAGAACGCTCACCATTTCTAGTTTGATTCGATTTTACCGGCTCTTAGCTGTTAATGAGAAATTTATGCCACGAAATCGCTTGGAGGTAGAAGAAAAGACAGATCGCCGGAAAAGCTTTTTTCTAATAATGGGCTTATCCTTGACGCACGTGGAACCCGAGCCTTTATGCTTGAAACCTAAGTAATAAT